CATCCCGGATTCAGAGCTTCCCGAATCGCCAGCTTCATGGTCAGAAGGTCCAGTCGGAGCCATCTTGACAGCGTTGTTCGCTCTTCATGAAATCAAGAGAGTTGAAGTTCAATTCGCCGTTGGCGATGCTATAACTATTGCAATTGCTCGCTGGGATTCGAATTATGTGAAGCTGATGGTGGATGTGGAATGGCGAAGCCGCAACTTCCAAGCCAAAGCCCGAAGCCATCTGCTCACGAGTGTCCTGGACAAATTGTTCGAAGATTGCAAGGCTACCAAGCCATCTCTCTTGAAAGCTTCTGGCATCTGGCTCTTCTGCATCGTCCAATACTGCTCTGATCTCACAGAGGTGACTTCCCGCCTACGGCAAGCACAGGCCGCTTTTATGCGCCTACTCAGCTCAAGGGACGAACTCGTCCAAGAAACCGCCTCGCGTGGTCTGAATCTAGTGCATGAGCGTGGAGACAATGAACTCAAGGCCGCCTTGGTTAATGACCTTGTGTCTGCATTTACAGGATCGACCACCCAGCTCAAAGTGGAACATGAAACCGAGCTATTTGAGCCTGGAGCGCTACCAACTGGTGAAGGCAGCTCAGTTTCCTCCTACAAGGACATTGTCAACCTCGCAAACGAAGTTGGTGACCAGGGTCTTGTTTACAAGTTCATGTCTTTGGCCAACAACGCGGCTACTTGGTCGACAAGATCCGCATTCGGACGCTTTGGTCTCACTAATATCCTCTCAGATTCTGCAATCGACCCCAAGATATATCCGAAGCTCTTCAGATACCGATTTGATCCGAATACCAATGTTCAACGAGCCATGAACGAGATTTGGAAAGCGTTGGTCAAAGATCCAAAGACGGTTATGGAAACCCATTTCGACGCCATCATGGAAGAGCTCCTCAAGGGCATCTTAGGACGAGAATGGAGAATGCGGGAAGCCAGCTGTGCTGCCATTTCCGACATTTTGACTGGTGTCCCATTCCACCAATACGAGAAGTTTTATGGAGATATTTGGACAAAGGCTGTCAAGGTCCTCGACGATGTGAAGGGAAGCGTCAGGGAGGCAGCTTTTAGACTTTGCAGAGGCCTTTCTACTACTCTCGTTCGACAGTTGGAAGAGGGAACTCACGAGTCATCCGCCAATGCTATGATGGAGAAGGCGCTGCCTTTCATGCTTTCTGAAAAAGCTGCAGAGAGCTCGGTCCAAGAGGTCCAGGCGTTTGCTATCATCACAATTATCAAGACTGCACGCCACGGCGGTAAGCACTTGAAGCCGTTTATCCCGGAGATGATCCCCAAGCTTCTGGGACTTTTGAGCACCATTGAACCTGAGCGAATCAATTACTACTATCAACGAGTCGGCGAGGATAGCCGAGAGCAGATTGATAAATTGCGATCCAGAATGGTCAATGCTTCTCCCATCTCGGAAGCCATCGATAACATCCTTCGCTTCGTTGATGAGGACGTGATGGCAGAGCTCGCTCCACGCCTTGAAGCAACTATCAAGACTGCCATAGGAATGCCTACCAAGATTGGCTGCAGCAGAGTCTTGACAACTCTCTTTACCCGCCATACGAACGAAATCAAATCTGTGTCTACTCGATTTTTGGAACTATTGGGCAAGCAGGTTCTGGACAAGAACGATGAAGTCAGCCAAGCCTATGCGCGTGCCGCTGCATATATCATGCGAGTCGTCTCAGACAACGCCAAGCAGCGATTCTCGGAGCGCATGTTGAATCTTTATCTCCAATCGGAAGAGGAGAGTCGCCGCCAGAAAGTTGCGGATGTTATTGTTTCTCTGGCAAAGGTGTCCCCTGACCACTTCAGCACCCAGGAGACGCTCTTACTGCCATTTTCTTATCTTGGTTCTCATGATGTTGATGAATACACCGGCAAAGTATTCAAAGAAGTGTGGGAGCAGCATTCTGGCAGCAACCGAACCGTTGTTCGCTATGTGCCAGAGATTGTCGACCTCATTGAACGCTGTCTGGCTACGACTCAGTGGTCACTGAGACACACTGGTGCCTTTACAGTGGCTGCCATGGTATCGGATGTAGCCAGCGCCAGTGACACTACGGGCGCAATTGGAGAGGCCAACTTGAAGGCCATATGGCCAGTCCTTGAAAAGGCCCTCGCTCTCAAAACCTTCCCCGGCAAGGAAAAGCTTCTGGAATCATTCCCTGATTTTGTTGAGAAGGGTCAATCTCTATGGAGATTCAACGCTGATATTGCGGCCCAAATGAAGAAAATTGTTATTCGCGAGGCGAAGCGGAACAACGACGACTACCGTGCCCATGCTTTCCGCTGCTTGTGGCGATTTGCGAAACTAGCGGATAACATTGACATGTTGCAAGACATTATCGATATTGTGACGCCTCATTTGGAGGACTTCAAGGACGAGAATAAGATGGACGTGGATTCCAAGGAAGAAACTGTCATCAAGACTGCGAAGAATGGACTGGAGGCAGTCGCACGTGGATACAGTCGCTCATCAGACAGACGAGCCTATGCCGTTGCCATTCAAATCATCAAGGCCCTTGAGCCTTTCCTTTCGGATCCGAAGTTCAACGTGATCAAGCGAGAGGTGTGGTATGAATCAGTCATTGACTTGATGAAGGATCTTGCGGCGTCTGAGCCTGCAGCAGATCCCGCTTCAACCGATGGAGATGGTATTCTGCAGGCATATCTTAGTAGCCTGGATGTCGATAAGGCGGAAGTTGGCATCGAATCTCAGCGACTCAAGAGAGCCGAGGCGGTCTCGGCGACGCTCCTGACTTATTCCAGTGGCGTGTTTGGCAAATCAACTGCACAGCTGGATGAATTTGTGGCGGCAGTGAACAAAGCCAAGATCGAAGAACGCAATCCAGAGATTCAAAAGGCTTGGCAAAGAGTATTGGTGGAATTGGAGGAAGCTCGTGTCTAAGGATACGAAGTTGAAATGAGGACGGTTGAATTGTTTGCTACATTACAAACCTTGCTACAAGATATTTTACTTTTTTGTTAGCCTCATATACATGTATATTGAGGAGCCCGGGTATTTATGGACTCGTTATGGACTCGAATATGGCAGGAAGCCACTCAAATGGACAATTTATATCAAACCACATGAACCAATATGACTGTTGCATTTGATATGATTTCCAGGGGGGGGGAAAAAAGACAGACGAAGGCTCTCTTCATTGTATCTTTGATTAAAGTCAACAAGCTTCCAGACATCTGCAACTTCTACCACTGCCCAATTTTTCAGCTTCACATTTCCAGCATAGGCAAAGCACCAACGTTCAATGTCAGCTTCCTATCAAGCTAAGGCATCGCAACAACACATTGTACTCTCATCATTGGGATCACGGCTAACATTATAATAATAGGCACACTTTTAAACATAGAGCCAAAGAGAAAAGCAAATGGTATTTTCTCGACCGAAGCTAGGGACTTTCTATATTCGAAAATCGCGACGATCAGGCCTTCGAGCACAACGGACTAGGGAAGGAGGAGAAATACTACAATTGTAACGAGAGATGGCAAGATACGAAGTTTTTGATACCTCTCGTGCGAAGAGAAGAGCAAGAAATAATACAATGGAGTCGAGAGATACGGTGCCAAACAAAGGAGAATCGAAATAGGTACATGGGTTCAACATTATGGGATACTTGCAAGCAGAGCAATAGTCTCGGCGTGGCAGAGGTCGATTTATCTACAAGGATGGGTTGAATCTGGTTGTACCTGAATGACGGATGACAGGAGCCTGATGATTTCAAGCTCTTCACAGTCGCGATACGCTTTCTTGGGTTGATTGCCATGGCGTAGTGGTCAGGTCAAGAAATTTCGATGAAGGGAACAGAGGAAACACGAACTATTCAGTTCTTAATTACTATCGCCCGCCCAGGAATTTTCTAGTAACGTTTCCTGCAAGGAATTTCCTTTGGTTATTCCTCTGATGAGCCTTTCTATATCTCTAAAAGGCATACGAGGGCGAGAAAACTATTGAACGTCTTATCACAGGAGCATATACTATCACTAGAGGAGGAGTTAGTGTGTGATCAGGTGATATACATACTTGCAAGAGAAGACAAGAAATGATTTCTTTACAAAGTATAGGTAGGCAGACTTTCAGTTTGTAAATTGGTGAATGAAGAACAAAACATATTGAACCAAGGTGAACATTACTCTCAGCATATGTAGATAGACACACACTGACAATGGAATTTGATCGTCCTTTTTATCTGTAAATTAAAGCCAAATGGAATCCATACAATATATGCCAGTAATAGATACATACAGGCACTAGAACATATGCAAATCACGCTCGCTTATCTGCCTTTTCCATCAAATCGTAGGGTAAGCATCAAGTGGCGCGTTGCGGCATGACGGCGCTAGGAATGATCCGGCCGATCGGCTATTTCAGACGTACCTCCAGGTACCCGCCAGCCAGAGATCCTGCAGGAGGTACCTGCGCAAAGTCCCATGGCGGGGTGCTCCTGTTGCGTCATGTTCGCGGTGCCTGTGGCGCCGATGCAGCCTGTATTTTATCACTCCAGCTGCCTGACGGTTATCGCTATCGCGTCGACGCCTATCTGACAGTTTTCAACCCTTCTTCCTCGGTGTTCTGCGCGATTCCAACATCTGCTACTCTGAACTCCGGCTTGCCACAGTATTTTAGGGGCTCCAAGGCAGATTCACGCTTCTCAAAGCAACCAGATCCCTTTGGCTAGGGAAGCATTGCTATTCTATACGTTTATTAACTGTATCTGGGCTCTACCGCAACTTGCCCAGCGCGTGTGGGGCGGCATCTTAGTCCTATCTGACCGGCATTTCTTGCAGTCCTGACCCGTTTGGCATTCAACCATCACCTGCTACCCGCTTCTACTGGCGAGAAGACGACCGGTTCTGGCGTTTTTGTTCAAAGAGAACAATTCAACCTTGGTTCCACCAGCTGCCTTAGCACCTAACAGACCTCTTAGCCGGTTGGGGGCGTTGTGGCATCACTTGGATCAGCCATGGAGGAGAGCATTCAGCACTTCACTGACATTACCGGGGCGAGCGTCGATGTGGCTCGAGGTTTCCTAGAGATCACGGGAGGAGACTACCAGCGGGCCATCGAGCTCTTCTTCGAGAGCCCAGATTTGGTCGGAGCTGGCGTATCCAGCAACCCTCCCACTACCTCGACATCTCGCCCCCCTGTACCACGGAGAACCAACATTGGCAGAGAAGATGCCAGCGGGGTGATCCACATCCCTAGCGACGACGAGGACGAGGACGATGTCGATATGCAATTCAACGACGATGATGCCTTTGACGCCGATGAAGACGAGCGAGTTGCCGCTGCGCAGGCTGCCGCCTATGCACAGGAAGAGGAAGATGCTGCCATGGCAAAGCGTCTACAGGAAGAATTATACCAGGAATCGGGGCCAGCTGGCGGAGATGTCAGGGCTCCTATCGCTCGGACGACAGAGACGCTTGTGGCGCCAGATCCATCCTGGGGAGCAGAGGAGAGCTCAGCTATTTTGGAACAACTGAGAAGGAGGCGACAGGCGCCCCGTAAGTCTTACCGTTCCTTTGACAGAAGAGATGCCCAGCCAAAAGTCTACGATGAACGTTTCTAACGCTTTAATATAGTTGTCGCCAGCAGAGGCCCATTCGGTCATCGGATATGGGGAGATGATACGAGACGTGCCGCGCCTGCGGGCGATGACGATACTACATCCGCCCATGCCAGGCGCCTGGAAGATTTGTTCCGACCACCGTACGAACTGATGGCTCGACTATCATGGGATGAGGCCCGTACGCTGGGCAAGGAAGATAAGAAGTGGATCATGGTCAACCTACAAGACATGAGTGACTTTGGCTGCCAGATGCTCAACCGAGACATCTGGAAGGACAGGGCTGTGAAGGAGCTGGTCAACGAAAACTTCATTTTCCTGCAGTTTGATAAAGAATACCCCGATGCGGAGGAGTATATAACATTCTACTTCCCAAACCGGTCACACGAGAATCCAGACAACTACCCCCACGTCTCCATCGTTGATCCTCGAACTGGAGAACAGGTCAAAGTTTGGAGCGGGAAGCCCTTCCCCAACGCCAACGAGTTCCACGCCGAGGTGGCCGAATTTTTGGACAGATATAGCCTTGCAGCCAATAGCAAGAATCCAGTTGCTAGAGCCCAGGCTCGGAAACCTCAAGTTGTCGACGTCGATCGAATGACGGAAGACGAGATGCTGGAGATGGCGCTCAAGAACAGCTTGGCTGGAGCTCAGAGTGGCGCTTCAGGATCGGGCTCGGGATCCACGCCGAGCGTTCTTGACCCTGATGCATTGACCAAGGAGGAGGCTACAAAATCCGAAGAACAAGAGCCGCAGAGCCCATTTGCCCATATTTCTAGCGTAAACCCTCATGTTGAACCGGACAACAACCCCTCTACAACGACGCGTATCCAGTTTCGACACCCTGACGGCCGCATCATTCGGCGGTTCAACTTGCAGGACCCTGTTCGCAGGATATATGAATGGCTCAAAGCCGAGCCGCTGCCAGGCAAGGAAGGCATTGTTTTTGAGCTGAAGCAGATGCCCCAGGGACAAGATCTTATCGAGTCGCTGGATTCCACCATTGAAGAGGCAGGCCTGAAGCAAGGGACAGTCATGATTGAGTTGATTACGGACGAATAACGGCGCTGATGGCTTTTTTACTATTAAATGACGAATGACGATATATAAGATGCGGAAACGGATCAGACCTCTTGATGACGCTTATTCAGCGTAGCCAGGATGACGATGACTGCATCTGTTTGATAGACAAAATGGGATATAAATACCCGTCACGGGCGAACCGGTTCTACGATGATTTACTTGGCATTATTGCCGCTGTTATAAGGGAGGAAACCGCTGATTACGAAGTACGAGGGACTTTGTAGAATAGAGGAGCTGTTGTGCGCTTGGTTCTCCTGACCGAACGCGGAATTGCTCTTCGGGGGCTTTCTTTTCGGCTTATTTTTTTCCTTCTTTCTCCCCTTTACCCCTTGGAAACACAACCTCTACCGCGTTGCGATGTTGTAGGTAGACAATGCAAGTGTTTTTTCACACGGGAAATTGGCGAAACAACGAGTCTCAGCCATTGTTATTGACTTGCTATTCGCCCTTTGCTGCTATTCGCCCTTTTATACCTAGTCAACTCGTAGTACTTGTATACGCTGAAGAAGGGCTAACAGAAACATTTGCTGCGCCTGTGAAGCCCCTGGTTGCGATTGGCGTTGCCCCGCAATAAACCCCACGAAATGGTGGCGTAAACAATGGCGACCAGCTGATTTGTTTTGATGCGGCGTTGGTTGTGCATTTGTTTACAGGAGATGCGACCAACGGCGAGGCCTCTGGTCAGCTTGCGCGACGTCATTGTTAATAACATGTACAACTCGAATAATCTACATGGCGCTGCCGAGTCTTGACTCTGCGCGATGTCGCCGCCTCTACAGTAAGCTGGTGGCTCTATTAATATGTACAACTGTGCAGCAAGCTGGGTTAATGGCTGATCGCTGACGGTTGATCGATAAGCAAGCTCGAGCTGTGTTGCCGGTGCGACGGCCGGGATCGCCGCTGTAAAACAGCGACAGGCACCCTACAGGCACTTGCAGGCCCCTGGGCGCAGGCACCACAGCGCCCTGCCCCTACAGCGGGAGCGCTTGTGCCGGCCCATGGTGGGGCTCACCGCCAGCTCCAAGCAACGGATACGACATTCGGCCGTTTCCAGCGCATGCCCTTTATCCCGTGCATCATCAAGCACCAACGCCCGTTGCCCGCTTCGCGCCCCGGCTTGCGACTCTCGTTTACATAAACCGAAACCTGCCTTTTCCGCTCTCTCACACCCAGGGCGCGCCGAGCCGTCATTGAGCGCATGGCTTTATGATCTCGCAGCGACGACACTGCCCTCTTGGTGGACGCGCAAGTAGCCGCTCCCATTCACATTCCCGCCCATCGGTAGCGCAGAACCGGTGACGAGAAAGTACATACCAGGACAGACGCCATGGCGGAATCGCACTCCCGCTACACGGACGAGGCCAACGAGGCTCTGGATCCGGAGCTTCTGTACACGAAGGAATACTGCATTGGTCAGTTTGCTGGTCGGGGGGATGTCTAGTTGTCTTGGTCGTGGTCCCTAATGCTATGGTGCTTGCAGGCGGTGGTAGCTTTGGCAAGGTGTTCAAGGGGTACGTCGTGAGTTTGCATGTCCTGCGTGATCTGGCCGGGCTTTTTCTCTCGTCATCTTTTTCCCTTCTTCTCTCGCAAAGTCGAATGAGATTGCTGGCGACCTCTGCTGACTTGTTTTCCCGCGCCCTTTTAGAGTCGAAAAACGCACTGGCCACTCTGTTGCCATCAAGATCATCGACGTTGAAAATGCCGAAGACGAGGTCGAAGACATTATCCAGGAAATCGCCATCCTGTCCGAACTGCAGTCGCCATATGTGACCAAATACTACGGATCCTATGCAAAGGGCGCGGAGCTATGGATCGTCATGGAGTTTTGCGCAGGCGGCAGCTGTGCTGACCTGATGAAGCCGGGGATCATGGGCGAGGATTACATCGCAATCATCGTCAGGGAGCTGCTGATGGGTCTGGACTATCTCCACGCGGACAAGAAGCTACATCGTGACATTAAAGGTGAGGGCTCATCAAATTGTCATGAGCATTTGCAAAAAAACCTTGGGGGTCTGTTTACTGACGCTGTTACTAGCGGCCAATGTCTTGCTGGGGGCCAACGGTCAGGTCAAGCTGGCCGATTTTGGTGTCTCGGGCCAGCTCTCAGCTACCATGACAAAGAAGAATACATTCGTTGGGACTCCTTTTTGGATGGCACCGGAGGTCATTAAACAATCTGGATATGATCACAAGGCTGATATTTGGTCACTCGGTATCACCGCTCTCGAGCTCGCAAACGGCGAACCCCCTTACGCCGATATTCACCCCATGAAAGTCTTATTCCTCATCCCCAAGAATCCACCGCCAAGGCTGGAGGGGAATTTCACAAAGGCCTTTAAAGACTTTGTCGAATTGTGTCTGCAGCGCGATCCAAAGGAACGACCGACTGCGAGAGACCTCTTGCGGCATCCTTGGATTCGAAAGGCAAAAAAGACTACATACCTCACAGAGTTGATTGAGCGGCATAGCAGATGGGCGGCGACACACAAAACTGAAGAAGAGGACTCGTGGGAGATTGCCGAGAGCGCGCCTCCAGAGCGGACGCGGGTGAATGAAGACATGTGGGACTTTGGTACCGTCAGGCTTGTTAATGATCGTGGTGGTGTTGTCAACCGGCCGAGTAAGCTCAATCCGCTCGGTGCAAGTGCTACTAACACAAGAGCCACGCGGTCTTCTGAGAACTCGGACGATTACGGCGAAAGGCGGCGCGAACCATCAAGCCCAACAAAGCTGAGACCAGAACATGTCCTTCAGCCCAGCGATACTCTCAAGGCGGCCAATGCATCCAGCGCGGGAACATCGCGGCAATCGAGCCCTCAGCGCAAACCGATCCCTCACGCGGTACAGCAGCGCGGATTTGTGTCGAAAGCAGCTCCTGCACCCCCCAGCCCTGTCGTAAAGACGTCGAGCTGGGACTTCCAAGGTGCAACACCAAAGGCGGCAAAGATTGTCCCAGTGCCAGTGATGGCCTCGGCTCCAGAACCTCCCTCGCCAGACTATGACCGAGAATTGCAGGCTCAGCTGCAGCGCGATATGGGAATACTGAATCTGAATATAGAGTTGCCCGAACCTGTACCAACACCCTCGCCCCCTCCCCCCGCAGCTCCGGTGCATCGAGTCATTTCCATACCTCCCGGATTTGAGAGACCAGTACCGCCAGCCCATGGCGTTTCACCTCGATCAACGAGCACCAAGTTGACGCATTATGATGTGCCAGAAATTCCGCCCTTTAGAGGCCCGTCCCCTAAGCCACCACCGCCTCAGGCTACCGTTGAAAAACGAACGGTGACACCGGTTATTGCGCAAACTTCAGCGTCTAGAGTATCTGCTTCGCCCAAGACCACCGAAAAACGAACGGTAACGCCGGTGCTGGCACATACTTCGGCGTCCAGAGTTTCCAACTCGTCGCCTAAGAATACTGAAAAGAGGACGGTGACACCAGTTATGTCTCATACTTCGGCATCCAGAGTGCCTGCCTCGTCGACAGCTGCACCTCCGGTTGCGCATGGGCACGGGCACGGGCAAGGGCACGGGCATGGGCCATCGGCATCAGTATCGTCATTGCGATCACAGGGTAACTCCTCAGGAATGTTGGATAACTTTCCCTCGCCCCCAGCTGCGAATCCAAACGGGGAACTTGATGCTCTCAACGACGTCATCTTTCCCGCTCTGGAAGAAGCGCTCAAGAGACGGCAGATTCGCCTTCAACAGATGTATAGATCCGTGCAGAAAGGCTCTACAATGTCAGCCAAACAACAACGAGCCGAGGCTTCTCATGAGAAAGTTCGCAAACTGGTCTATAAGCTAGCACATGTTTGCAAGGAGATTGATTATCACGACAAAGCCGAACCTGTAGGTATGGGCCGTGATGTGGGCAACTTTTTGGAGGGGCTGCTTGAGGAGATTTTGGTTCGAGTCGAGCCATTGGATGAGGAAGAGGTGTAGAAGATGTTGAAGAGACGAACGATTTTCTTGTACGGAATAGCCTTGAATGAACTAACGAACTGTACTGTTTCTGGGAACTGGGGAAAAAAAAAAAAGAAATTGAGGTAAGCTTCTACGAGGGCATGGAAACAACGACGAGAGAATGATGCCCAAGAGACTTTAGCCCTAGGACACCCTTGGGCAGTAGAAGGCTGGACATGATTGATGCGAATGAGTTTGTAAGAGTGACGACGACACTGATAATTGGGTACGAAGGGAATGAATGAATGGGAAATGGCTGGAAATTACTTGTTAGAGGGGTGTGTCTTTTAGTCTACATGATTTCAATTGTTGTATAATTGAACGAGGGGTAGCCATAGAATTTCTTGTAGTTTAGGTAGCTGAGTACTAGCTCTGCAAATGCATGACTTGATGAACACGCTCGAACAATGGCTCACACGCGAATTATATATGCAGAATAGGGTGGTAGTAGTAAACGCAATTTAGAAGCATCGTGAGTGACATGACGTTGGAGCTGGAATTACCGAGTTTGGCAATGAATGCAGATACAACAGCCATCGCAGCGTTCTAGTCCCGAACAAGCAACAGCGCTAAGCCCGGAGCTGCGCTCGGAAAGACGTCGCATTCCGCACCTTGGGCCGAAGTTTCCAGCTAAAAAACGGAGCAATGGAAGGCTGAGAGGGAAAAAAAAAAATTAATGAGAAAAAATGCTGCTGGCGGCGCCGCCGGCACAGGCCGAAAAAAAAAGAGCTCGGCTCAATCAATTGGCACGGAGCCTATCAAACGGTCACTGCGGTAATTTGGGGCCGCTTCTCCCCCAAGGGCGATTTTTTATGAAACCTGTTTGAACTCTTCTCCTCTTTCTTTCTTTTCTCTCTCTTTTCTGTAAGTAAAAAGCAAAAAAGGACCTTCTCCTCTCTTCTTTCTCCTAATTTAACACTTTCTTTTCCCTTTTGGTCGAATAGGGAATTTTCTTTTTGGATCGTGCTACCTCTTTTTCTGTGTCCAAGATGTTGTCGCGAAGCTCTCTCCGGACCGCGCAGGTACGTGGTTCAACTTTTGTCCTACTTGTTTTATGAATAGGAGGCTGTGGGAATGGGATCGAATCTGGGAAGAAGAGAAAGAAAGCGGAAAGAGAATGGAATACGAGGCATTGCGAATGAGTGGTCTTGCCTTGGGGATACACCCGGATGAGGTGGAGGGGCTGGTGGCTTGAACCGAGGCGATTCCCGCGAGATTTTTTTTCCCCTTCAGGATTTGAAGATGAGGGCCAGCGACTGACATGCAATCAACGCCAACAGGTCCTCCGCGCTGCTGCCCAGCCCCAGCAGCTCAGCCGATCCTTCGCCACGGTCCAGTCCGACATCTTCAAGCCCGCCAAGTTCGGCGGCAAGTACACCGTGACGCTGATCCCCGGCGACGGTATCGGTGGAGAGGTTGCCGAGTCGGTCAAGACCATCTTCAAGGCCGACAACGTGCCCATCGAGTGGGAGCAGATCGAGGTGTCCGGTGTCGAGGAGAGCGCGCTGCGGACCGAGGAGGCGTTCCGCGAGAGCGTCGCCTCGCTCAAGCGCAACAAGCTGGGCCTCAAGGGCATCCTGCACACGCCCGTCAGCCGCTCCGGCCACCAGAGCTTCAACGTGGCCATGCGCCAGGAGCTGGACATTTACGCCAGCATCTCGCTGATCAAGAACATCCCCGGCTACGAGACGCGCCACAAGGACGTCGACCTGTGCATCATCCGTGAGAACACCGAGGGCGAGTACTCGGGCCTGGAGCACCAGAGCGTGCCCGGCGTCGTCGAGTCGCTCAAGATCATCACGCGCGCAAAGTCGGAGCGCATTGCCAAGTTTGCCTTTGCCTTTGCCCTCGCCAACGGCCGCAAGAAGGTCACCTGCATCCACAAGGCCAACATCATGAAGCTGGCCGACGGTCTGTTCCGCAGCACCTTCCACCAGACCGCCAAGGAGTACCCCACGCTCGAGGTCAACGACATGATTGTCGACAACGCCTCCATGCAGGCTGTTTCCCGCCCTCAGCAGTTCGACGTCATGGTCATGCCCAACCTGTACGGAGGCATCCTGTCCAACATTGGTGCCGCCCTGGTTGGTGGCCCTGGCATCGTCCCCGGCTGCAACATGGGCCGCGAGGTTGCCGTCTTCGAGCCCGGCTGCCGTCACGTCGGCCTTGACATCAAGGGCAAGGACCAGGCCAACCCCACTGCCATGATTCTCAGCGGCAGCATGCTCCTGAGACACCTTGGCCTTGACGACCACGCCAACCGCATCTCCAAGGCTGTCTACGGCGTCATTGCCGACGGGTACGTTTTCCCTCCCCCCTTGTTTCCTTTTGTTTCATGATGCGAGATTTACTGACACCTTGTACAGCAAGGTCCGCACTCGCGACATGGGCGGCGAGTCCACCACCCACGAGTTCACCAAGGCCATCCTTGACCGCATGGAGACCATCTAAATACCACACACGGAGCCGTTAAGGCAAGAAGAACTTTTACACCCAGCACGACCACTAACAAAACCCCACACCTTTCTCACATTACCTCGACCAGGGCGTGTTTGGGGAAAAAATGATACCTCAGACTTTGAAAACCGAAGGCGATGTGGAGCGCCGCCGCTGGAATTATATACTAAAGGGCAAGAAACAAATCAAGGCCAGATAAATTGGTATGGGGGCAGGAGGGCGATATTACGGAGAAAAATGACGGTGGTGGGGAGAATGAAGGGGGAAAAAGGCGTGTACCTATGTTTTAACATGAGCGTATGGAGCAAGGCAGCAGTCTGAATACATAGACTTTTTTTTTTTTTTACAAGTACATGATTTATTGATATTGCATGTGGGCTTGGAGCATTGCGTTGTGAAGTGGCTAAAGGGATGGGCTATGTGCAGCCATATTAATCCAAGTTGAAGTTGAAATACATGAGAGTACTCTGCTAATCTATAGGTTGCTCTAGTTGGCGCTGGTATACAACTTTTATATGCATAATTGCATCTTGATTGATTGATTGTCAGTTTCGCGCAGACTCGGGGGTTGTCACTGCTGCGACGATCCGGCGGAGGCCCTCTTCTAGATATTCCTTGTCATGAGTAAAGACAATACGGAACCAGCCTGGCTTTTCGGACCCGAAACGTTCTCCCGATGCGAGGAAGACTTTGTGTTTCAGCAAGACATTCATAACGACGCTGTCGAGATCCTCGGGCTTGATGGCATTGGCAGCGATATCGTCCTGGTGTTTCAGATATGATCTTCCTAGGTCGACCCAGAGAAAGAAGCCGGCGTTGACGCCCGGCGCATAGACAATGTCGTTCTTCTTGGCCCAATTAGCGATGTAGTCGTAGTATTCTGCTAGTTTGCGCTGGTTCTCTGTGATGTAGTTCTCGACCCAGGCGTCGTCCTCTAGGACATTGGCAAATACGTGCTCTGAGAGAGAGGAGATTGTGGTGAATAAGACGGCGGGGCCTAGAGCCGTCATCAAGTCCGCGTTGTGCTGCGAGATGATTGCGCCTAGGCGGAGACCGTTTGCGCCAAAGTCTTTGGACATGCCCCAGAGGACGTGGATGAGCGAAGGGTCGATCAGGCCTGTGGGATCGATGGAAAGGACGGAGTGGAAGGGCTCTGCGGGCGGATCCGAGTCGATCTTGTTCTCGAATATGGAGAGGGCGTAGATTTCGTCGCTGATGAGGTGGAGCTTGTACTTGTTGCAGAATTTGAGCAGGTCGATGAGGACGGTGCGGGAGTAGCATCGTCCGAGGGGGTTGTGCGGATGGCAGAGGAGCAGGCCGGTGACTTTTTCACCTCTTGCTCGAGCTTCCAAGAGCGTGATTTCGTATCTTTGGACACAATTTACTCCCAGAGGATCATCGTCGCCGAAATCGACAAATGCCAGCTTGGTGCCCGTCCGGAGCGTCGCATCACTCGGGAAAGCCCCGTAATACGGCCGTCCGAGAAGGATACACTCGCCCGGATCGGCGAATGCCCACGCCAGATGCTCGACGGCAGAGGTACACCCGCTGGTGACGGCGACATGGTCCGGCTCTATAGGCCGTATGGGGTGTAGATGCTTCGAGAGGAAGCGCGCAATGGCGGTTCTGCCGCGCTTCCAGAAGTCGCCGTACGTAAAAGCCGAGGTGGGGACTTTGAGATTGGCGTGCAGGTGCTGCGAGAGGGAGTCGTGCATGAGGTAGTTTTCCGCGACGCCGAGGTTGACGTAGCCGGAAGGGTTGGAGGAGGCGTGCCAGTTGTCGAGGATGATGTTGAAGGAGGGATCGGGACTTGTGAGCTTGGAGGCGCGGGATGAGAGGGCCATGGTGGGATGAAGATGAAAGGTATGGATTTTTGGTATTATTAAAGAGGAAATGGTATATGAAAAACTGAGATTTGAATTATGAAAAGTAGAGTATCCAGTCACTATTTAGCTTGAGAGCGATGGGTGTAAGACTGAGTGGAGATGTAAGTGGTGGTTTAGAGGGAGACATGGCGATTTAGCCGATGCTAGCAGCAATACGAAGCAGTAGATCTTGGTGGCATGACCCCCAAATAAGCTAATTACTATCATGAGATTGATAACTCATATTGCTTGGCTACTCAGCTGGGTTGCATTTTCCGGAAGAAATGCTTTGGCGATGATAAGAAGCTGTCGCCTCTGAATTGGTGTGTGCGGATCGTCGGCCGACTTGCGGGCAGAGCTACGTCAATATGGAATTGAGATAAGACAGGCAGGTATCTGTAGGCGAGAAATTGCCTAGAGGGTAACTTATGGCGGGGTTTTAGGCTTTTATAAGCTGCAAGCTCTCTGTGAATTTCCATCTATCCAAGTGCTACCTGTAACTTTTAGTCCATATAAGTGAACTGACTGTCTTTACAATGAGATGTCGATTGTATACGCCAAACCGAACTACGTATAATTTATTGATATTTAATGCAAAGTTATTGAAATACTCATTTATTTGAATTTTACCATCCCAATTCACACTCAGCCCGAGCAATACATGCCAGCCAGCCCAGGCCAAGTGCTCAGCTTCTGTAAATGGCATGCAAGCGTATCGGCCGGATCGGGGAATTGAATTCCCGTCCATTTAAGGAAAAAATTACCCTGGCGCCAACCCCTCCATTGGTCGCATGGCGGGGTGACTCCGATTTCTGCTCTGACTCGAAGCCTGTGCGAAAGCGGATATTTTTTTTTTTCCTGTTTCTATATATTTCAACCTCCTCACGATTATTCCGCCCATTTGACTCCGCCAACACCACTAGACGACCGCAAATCGATTCACCATGGCGGACAAGCAACCCACTGCCGGCGATGCGGCTGTCGACGCCGCCGCTGCCGCTGTTTCCAAGCTGCACCTTGACGAGGTCACTGGAGAGATGATCTCCAAGACTGAGCTCAAGAAGCGACAAAAGGCCCGCGAGAAGGAGGCCCAGAAGAAGGAGAAGGATGCTGCCAACAAGGACAAGAAGCCCGCGCAGGCCGCTGGCAAGAAGACCGCTGAGGCTTCCGAGAAGGAGCTCACTCCTAACCAGGTACGTTGATGCGATTGAATCTTGTCGCGCGAGCATTGAATTTTCTGGATTTCTTTCTTCTAACGCAGCATATCTGTAGTACTTCGAGATTCGATCAAGAGCTGTCAACGAGCTCCACGCCCAGGGCAAGGCTTACCCCCACAAGGTGCGCTCGTACTGATACCGAACGAATAACTTGTTGATTGCTCATCAATCCCACAGTTCCATGTTACCTATGACATCCGCAAGTTCGCCGAGGAGTTTTCCAACCTCAAGAACGGCGAGTCCGACACAACCAAGAAGATTGCTCTTGCTGGCAGAGTCTACGTCAAGCGATCAGCCGGCAGCAAGCTGTTCTTCTACGATATCCGCTCCGAGGTGCGCTTATACGCTTGAATATTTACATATGTCTAGGCCACGCAGTCTGACAGCTTCTAGGGCACTCGTCTTCAAGTCCTTGCCCAGGCCGACAACCGCGAGGAGGGCACTCCCGAGTTTGACGAGCAGCACATCAACCTCCGCCGTGGTGACATTATCGGTACGTAGATGGAAATACTGTGCTTCATCTGTGATCATCTGCTAATTTCTCTTCTAGGTATCCGTGGTTTCCCTACCCGAACCAACCCCAAGACCAAGCAGGGATCTGGCGACTTCTCTGGCGAGCTTTCTATTGCCGCTGTCGAGGTCGTCCTCCTGTCACCATGCTTGCACCAGGTAAGCCATTGCAATCGCGGAATCCACAAATGTTCGCCCTCTGACCCAATTTCAGATTCCCGACGACCACTACGGCTTCAAGAACCCCGAGCAGCGATTCCGCCAGCGATATCTCGACCTGATGATGAACGACAATGTCAGAAATGTCTTCCTCACCCGCGCCAAGGTTGACTCTTACATCCGTCGCTGGTTTGACGACCGGGATTTCATCTCAGTGCAAACCCCCATGCTCAATGCAATTGCTGGTGGTGCCACCGCTAAGCCATTTATTACTCACCACAATGATCTCAACATGGACATGTTCCTCCGTATCGCTCCTGAGCTTTACCTCAAGATGCTTGTTGTCGGTGGATTGAACCGAGTCTACGAGATGGGACGCCAGTTCCGAAATGAGAGCATGGATTTGACACACAACCCTGGTAAGCGTTTACCTCTTGGCTTCTCGAATTTAGAAATGAAGCTGACAATTTCTAGAATTCACTACTCTGGAGTTCTATATGGCCTATGCCGATTACTATGACCTCATGGACATGACCGAGAGCCTTGTTACCGGCCTGGTCAAGCACATCCACGGCTCTTACAAGACCAAGTACCACACCATCAACGGCGAGGAGATTGAGATCAACTGGGAGGGTCCATGGCGCCGAATTGAGATGATTTCCACTCTGGAGGAGTGCGTTGGCGAAAAGTTCCCTCCTTCTGACGAGCTCCACACCGATGAGGCCAATGTATTCCTCAGGAGAATCCTGAAGAAGACTGGCGTCGAGTGCAGCGCTCCTCTGACCAACGCCCGTATGCTGGATGCCCTTGTTGGAGAGTTTTTGGAGTCTCAATGCGTAAGTGCTTGCTAAAAATCACAAGAAACATGATTTCGTCTGGATCCTGACCAACACTAAACACAGGTTAACCCCACCTTCATCACTGGTCACCCCAAGATGATGTCCCCTCTTGCCAAGAGCTCTCGTAGCGTTCCTGGCCTTTGCGAGCGATTCGAGGCTTTCGTCTGCAAGAAGGAAATTTGCAATGCGTAAGTAATTCCGGCATGAAAAGCATCATCGAGATATTGACACAGTATAGCTACACCGAGTTGAACGTTGCCACCGAACAGCGTGAGCGATTCGAGGAGCAGGCCCGACAGAAGGCCCAGGGTGACGACGAGGCCCAGGGCGTCGATGAAACCTTTTGCAAGGCCCTTGAGCACGGCCTCCCTCCTACCGGTGGTTGGGGCATGGGTATTGACCGAATGATGATGTTCTTGACCGACAACTACAGCATTAGAGAGGTCCTGGCTTTCCCTACCATGAAGCCGGAGCAAAACAGCGCCCCATCAGATAAGCCTGCTGCCCAAGAGGCAACGACATCTGAGGTCTAAAGGGGGAAAAAAGGAGGAAAAAATGAATAACAAATGAGGCGAAATTATTTGCCAAAAGATGAGAATTTTGATGAACATGGCTAGAATGCTGATATAAAGCAGTAGCATCATATCGATGAATGAAATAAAAAACAAGAAGAATACATTTTCCACTGCGGCAAACATGTAAACGGACATAGCAATCAGTAGCAAAGCCAGACTTGGCTTGAATGATAAAAGGGTATCAACAATTCATATATATCATATGTATCTGCAAAAAGAAATTGTATAAAGCCGAATGCGCCACTAACGCCCATACCATGCAACCCAGCTCTCTTCTCCTCAAACAATCTGCTTTTAAAACTGAATGCGACGCTTGCGGCCGGTGTATTTGGACGTAGCCTTGACAATCTTTCCTTTTCGCTCCATCTGCTCCTTCTTCTTGACGATCCACGCCTTGCTGCCCTTCTTAACCTGGGTGTTGTTCGCCTTGAGTCGCTTTCTGGCGTCCAAAACATCGACGTTGTCCATACCGCTGACCACGCCAGTGATGTCCGTGTTGCCACCTTCGTTATCGTTGTTGCCCACAGTCAGGACGAGGTACAGCTTGACATTCTTGGTGCCGGGGTCGTCCTCGAGGAGACCGGCGCCGAAGCCGGCTTTGACGGCAGCCTGGGTGATCATGTTGCGCTGGGTGTCGTTCTTGGGGTAAAACTGGCACACAGCACGGCCACCCCTGCGCAGCGACGCATACAGGCCGTTGAAGAAGCGATTAAGCCGTCCCGCGGGCGACGTCTCGCTCGACTCGGCGCTGCAGAGCCACTGGATGGCGGAGATGCTGATGGCGGCGTCGAAGGAGCCCGCGCGGAAGGGCACGCCCTGGCCAATGTCGGCGAGCATCAGGTCGCCCTCGACGTCGCGCTGCAGCGCAATGTCCAGCATGGAGGGCGAGACGTCCATGCCGATCCAGGTGTGCGGCCCGCCGTCGGAAGGGTCGACGGCGGAGAGGATCTCGCCGGAGAGGCCGCTGCCGCAGCCGATGTCGAGGATGAGGGAGGGGGTTTTAAGGTCGAGCAGCTCGAGGGCGCGGCGCGTCATGGAGGCTTGGATGTTTTGGATACGGGAGCTGGTGGTGTATTTGCGGGCTTCGGTGTCGTCGTAGTGGACGTCGGCCGCGCTGGAGAGGGAGGAGAAGACGTTAGTAAAGGACGAGATGGATGATGATGGCGGGGGGGGGGGGGGGGGGGGGGGGAAGGGGATGAGAGAGCGTACAGAGAGTCCTCGGGGCGAGACATTGTGGCGGTATTATAGTGATTTGATTCTTTTAGTGGTGAATTGAGGGAGTTCGCTTGTTGCTTCGCTTGCTGCGCCTTGGAAATGAATCGCGACGTTGAGGATGATGGTCTTTTTGCTTGGGGTCATGGAGTCTGCGCTGCGATGGGGCATCATGATCTTTTTTTGTGGGTGTTATCGATAAGCTTATCGGAGCTGACAAGGTACATTGTCTAGTAACACATGCCAAGCTTCGTACACGGGCCTTTGGAGCTCGACATGTGACGGCGTCTACTTTGCCGCACCAACCTAGCAAACAGCTGATAAAAACTTGGAAAAGAACGAAAACACTACAGACGATTCTTTAATTAATAGGATACGCTTTCATTTCTGACTTTACAGATAGCAATAGATAGCACCCTGCTGAAAACATCACGTCGTTTGCATCGATGTCGAGTTTATCGGAGCGGGAAAAGTTATAGTTCCGTATGACGACAGGCATCCCACACAAGCTCATCCCATACTTCGAGTACATGAACGTGTCCACAGCTACTGCTAACCGCATCCTTGCTTTAATCTAATCTTAAACGAGCCGCTCTTCCTCGTTCATACATTCGTTCAAATCTCAAGCTTCTTCTTCTTCTTCTTCTTTCTTCTGTTATAACCCGCACCCCTCAGCTCAACTTGACCATCTAGCCAAATACCACACCACTAATACGTCGACATGTGGATTCTACCGCTGCTGGGCTACGTCGGCGCCATCATCGGCTTCTGCTTCTTAACCTTGTCAATCGCGTCTGGGCTCTACTATCTCTCGGAACTGGTGGAGGAACATACCGTCTTGGCAAAGCGCTTACTCACGCGACTGATCCAGATCATCATTGGCGTGCAGGTTGCGCTCTTGATTGACGGCTTCCCCTTCTGGGCGACTGTCTTGGGAATTGTCTGCCATGTGGTGTACTTGGGTAACTTGAGGCGGTTCCCATATGTGCAGCTGACTGATCCGCTGTTCTTGCTCTCTTGTGGTATGATGCCCTGTCCAGTTCAGACTTCTTGGAGAGAGTACCTAATTAACATTCTTCTTAAGTCTTGGTGCTTCTCGACCACTATGTGTGGTTCCGATTCTTCTCCAACCACCAGGAGCGAGCCTACTCCCGATCTTCCTACTACGAGCATGTGGACGTCCCGACCTTTACAATGATTGCGTCCTACTTTGGCATATGCGTCTGGCTGATTCCGTTTGCGCTCTTTGTGAGCTTGTCTGCTGGCGACAATGTCCTGCCTACCATGGGCACGGAGCCGGTTCGTGGCGTGGATGGCAAGAATAAGCCCCAGGGCTTGGTCAAGGCGCTTGTTGATTGGGTGCGAGGGTTGATTGGGGATATGGCTGGCAGTGGGATGGACCGGCCGTAAGGATATGATTCTCTTTCTACAGGCGGGACGAGATTTCTTTTATTTGCGGCGAGGTCAGCCAATCTTTAATAGATGAGGCCGATGTGTCGAATTGTGTCCACGAAATCAGATGGCCCATCTACTTTGCCATCTGATACATGTCGTTACTCTTACATGGTAATTTGGTATCCGCCTGTTCTGCCCTATTTTTGCTAACAGCACTTATAGAGCCATTTTAAAGTTGACTGGGCAGGCTGCATACGATTTATTATTATGATGTTGTCTTTGATCTGGATTGTTTGAACATCAGGACAGGTGTTACGATTGTCGAATGATGAGTAGCGCATGTTGAAATGCTGCGTTGTATAATATGTATCATATGGGTAAGGGATAAGAGTGCAGCACGCGGCGTTCTCTGCTTGTGTATTTATGCATTGCCCAAATATCTTATCTAAACCTGCAGTTTATATGAACTGGTATATTTTGCTGTGGAAGATGGTCGATGTGATTCAAGTCATGGATGTTCAACTTTCTTAGTATGCTTGTCAGGAATGAACTCTTTTTGGACCTATGAGCAGCACTTTGGTGTTGACAATGAGAATGAATAGAAAGGAGGAAATAACTCGGTTAATTGGCCATGTAGGCGAATATTTCGAATCTCAATAGCTCATCCCCGATTCCTCCACACGCGCGGGTTCAATTACACGCCCACAGCGCTCTGTTGCCCATCTGCAAAGCTCAACAGTTACATTCTCGTATCGCGCGAATATTTGGTATCCTTATAAAGCTGTTGTACATCTAAAAATACAAAAAGAAAACAGAACATGTGTGTATCAAGACTTGTTACTGCCTTCGCCACCTTCCCAAAACTTCTTGTCTACCTTGTCGTCCGGCGCTGTATGACCGTGATCAAATTTTTCGTCGAATTCTTTGTTGCTATTGGTGGGAATTGTGTGTTAATTGTCTCTTCTCTTCTTTTGTACAATAGAGGATACAAGATTCTTACTGTTGCCGCACTTCCTCCTTTTGCTCTTTCGTGAGCTCATGTGCCTTATTGACACCCGGCATGCTCAGATTAGATATTTTGGGCTGCGGAGCATGGTTTCCTTGCTTCTCCTTGCTTTGGTCGGGCTTTTTATCTCCTTCGAGCTTGACGGCAGAATTGAAGCGCGGAATTGTCTGGTGAAAGGATCGGCGAAATGTGCTGGTGGGAGTGGTGCGGAGGAAGCTGGAGGAGGAAATGTGGCGGAGATGCAGCGTTGAAGCCATGATGATTGATTCGGCTTGATAGACTTTCAGTTGAATTAATTGAGTTTTAAAGTTTTTGATGAGAGTTGAAATTGAAATGTATAGCTTTTTGTATAGCTGTAATGGTTTGCGAGATTCGCCCCCTTGATGGAGTGATTTGGGGTGACGTCAAGGCTTCATGACATCACCCCCTCGCAACGGATTTTGAGTTACAGTGAGACAGAGCTATGCGAAGCGAGATGTGAGATGTGAGATGCAGACAAAGTACATGGATTTTATTATTAATTAGTGAATGTTTCAAGTTGCTGAACTAAATAATTGGGAATTAAATTGGGGAGGAGACAATAACAGAAAACCGCTGCAGATCCGACAACAATCTTTAACCAAATCAAGACACTATTAAACGAGGTATCAAAGAGAGACAAGAGCACGATTTCCACTTTAAGCGTCGCGGGCGATGCGGATAACTGGCGATCCCATTCCTGAGCCCTTGCCCCAAGCCTCATGGGCCTCTTTGATATCGTCAAACTCCCAGACGGCCTTGATCGGAGGGGTAATGATTCCATCCCTGGTCATGTTGAGCAGCAGCTGCAGTTCAGGCTCAAACGTCTTTTGGTCGCGCGTGATGAAGTAGAATATAGCTCCCTTGTTGGACCAGAAATAGAGATTCTTGAATAGCAGCTTGGCCATGGGGATCCAAGGGCTGCGCCGCTTCGCACCAGTGAGATTGCTGAGGTTGTTTCCGTAGGCGACGACTACGCTTCTCTCCTTGGGAGTCAAGATGGAGTAGGACTCGTCGAAGCTTTCAAAGCCCAGGGCGTCAAACACAGCGTGCACGCCGCCGAGGTCCTTCATGGCCGCGATCCAGTCCTTGTTGGTGTAGAGGTACGGATGGGCGCCTGCTTCCTTGAGGGCGGCGTGGTTCCTCTCAGAGGCCGTGCCGTAGACGGTGGCGCCCTGGAGGAGCGAGAGATACATGACGGCCTGGCCAACTGCTCCGCTGATGCCGTGGATGAAGACGCGCTGGCCCTCGGACACTTTGGCAGCGCGGTGCACCATGCCGTAGGCGGTGGACCAGTCGACGGGCAGGGCAGCGGCCACCTTGGGGTCGACGCCGTCGGGGATGGCCAGGAGGTACTTTTCGGGGATGTTGATGTACTCGGCGTCGGAGTCGTACTTTGTCAGCGCCGTGACGAGGGTGCCGGGCTCGAACTTGCCGCTGCCGGGCCCGTTGACGGAGACGCGGCCGGCGAAGCAGTAGCCCGGCGTGAAGGGAGGGGCGCTCTGCATGGGGTAGACGCCGAGGCGCATGTTGACGTCGGCGCCGGCGAAGCCTGCGTAGAGGATCTTGACCTGGACGTGGTCCTTGGGCGGCGGGGGCAGGTCCTCGGTGACGAACTGGAGGGCGGTGGAGGGGGGGCCGTAGGCGGTGATGACGACTTTGCGGTTGGGGATGGCCATTGTGGTGATGGTGTTGAAGTGCGTGTCGTGTAAGTGGGATTGTATAGGTTGATGGGGTTGATGGTGTTGAAAAGATGATGTAGAAAGACAAAGTGATGATGAAAAGACACTGTTTAGTTGTTTGTAGTTGTTTGCTGATGATGATGAACTATTGAGATGCATTCAGAAAGGCAGCGGCACATCACCCTATTTATCTCCTCCATCATCCTACTTTTTGCATTCGCCAGACGGAGCCCAATCAGTGCCCTCAATCACGGCGCAGCCCTTGTCGTCACCGCGCAGCAGCCCAAGGCACCGCGGGGCCGTGTCGCAGCCGGCTATAGCGCCATGGCGCAATTTAGCATCACCATCATGATCCCACAGGCTGCGTGTTCTCTTTTTTGAGAAATGACAAGGCTGTATGGAAGTTGTAAACGCCGTTGCTCAAGTTCAGTTGCTCCGGTTCAGTGCTTGTTTTAGTCCCAGTTGGGAAGATGCGAGAACGAAACAGGGTACTTGACGATAAGCTTAAGACGACAACCCCTGTTCGGTGTGCCCTGTGCTTTTTGCTCATTGTCTTCTTGGGCAGATCCAGGGCCGTTGGATGTCGGTGCCACGGAGCTTAGGCGGGGAGAAATTTGGGCCGTTTTGGCGCTGTGGACGTTTTTGTGGCGTTTTTTTCGGCAGCTGGTCGTGGCGGTAAAATATGGGGGACCGTTGGGTGCTTTGGTGACTAGGAGGTACCGCTTGGTGAATCGCTGCTATTGTGTGGCTTGCTAGTATTGCTGTTCAAGAGCCGACATGCAGTTAAAAAATATTTGAGAAAACATGAAGAAAATTCAGCTTAATTGTTTATATTTTGTTGCATTATTCACTAAGTTTTTAACTCTGTAGCCACCGTAAAATTGGACACATAGTCTCTGAATGCACTTATAGCCATAACACCAAGACTTTTCGGGTACCTCGCCCTTCAGTGAAGCTGTCGATGCAGCCCCGGCGGCTCGGGTAGATTCTCGCCGCGTGGCGTTCGGTGGCTTAACCAGGGCCACTCTGAAGGATCTGGTCAGCTTTCAAAGCTCGTTCTCGCTCATGCATTGCATCCTCAATTCTCCGATTCAAGCATGTCTATATCAGCAACGTACGCGTCTTTGGATTCACCCATCCTGTCATTCCTCGTCCTTCCACCAACGAGGCATCTGATAACGAGGTCTTTGAAGGATGCTTCGTCATCTCATCATTGCTTCTCTACAGCACCGCTGAGTCACTTGGTCTGGCTGTCCTCATTCATTTGATATCACGTCAAGGCATCCTGGACACGCCTTTTCTAGCTCCGCAGCGATGTCCTCCCATACTCGAACCTGCCACTCTCTTCCGTCATCGTCTGTAACCCAGTCGGGAACGATATGGCTTACGCAAACATCTCATTAGCCTCGTGTGCTTATCTCGGCATTATCTCGACCGATATAGAAGAGGCCACATTGTGAAGAAGACCGAAATTGAAAGACTCACTCGCTTATCTCACACTCTGAGAGATACCGGCCATGGGCTTCCTCACCGACCGCAAGGCCATGAAGCAACGTCCGGCTGCCCATTTCAGCGTTTCGCCCTATGAGCGATAGAACGATGCCAATTTGAAGCCGGGCGCTGGAATTAAGATGACTGGCAAGGTTGGTTTTGCAGGCACCTGGATTTACCATGGTAATTGCCACGCCGGTACGAGAAAAGGGCGCTCGTCGTGCGAATTCGAAATACGCAAAGGTGAGGAGCAGCTTGGATAGAGGGTATCTGAGATGTCCCGGTCAGCTTCGCCCTGTAGAGCTCGTGATGCAAAAGTTCAAGCGGCAGAAAGAAGATACATTGCTTACCCTGTGTTGCTGAGCTTGGGTTCCCACTTCTTGCGGTCTCTCAAATCCCCGAAAATGTTGCCAATATCCAACTTCTCCCATATTGGCTTTGCTTGAAAGGCGAGTCCGCTACCGATAATGACTAGCTGCGGTACAATACCAAATTGCCGAGCCGACTTGTGCAAATGCGGCAGCACCAAAAGGGCCATCAAGAATGTCGAAAATACATTTACCGTCATATTTGTCTCCTTTCCCTCCTTTTCAACCCAAGATCCCTCTGCGGTGCCTGCGTTCTCCACGATGCCGTCAATGCGATGGAGCTCTTCGCCAGCTTTCTTTGCAAACGCCGCGACAGACTCATAGCTTCCGAGATCGACTTCCCAAACCTGGAGAATATTGGTGTCGCACCCTGTATCTACCTCGATAGCCTTCTTAGCGGCCTCGCCTTTGTCTCTGCTCCGAACTCCCAAAATCACCCGTGAAGAGCCGAGGCGAGCAAGATGCTTGACACATTCATACCCGATGCCACTGTTGGCACCAGTGACGATATACGTATGCCCTTGACAATCAGCAGGTGCAAGTGTCAGAGGAAGAGTTTTGTACTGTGCACGAATGAAGTGGAGGAAAGACATCTTAAGACAATAACATATACGAACCAGTGTAAGACTCTGGGAGTAAAGATGCATCACTTTCATATCGAAGAGCCCTATGAACGCGCTTTATATACCCGCTTGCATTCGTCCTTCGACCATATCGTCGCCATTTTCCTCTTTCACAACTAATGATCCTGGAGGATTGGGCGTTGGCGCACATGAAGCATAGGCACCAATTAGATCAAAGCAACCTCGTTATATACGGCGACTAATCAACTGTTCCATCGCCGACCTTAGCACGATAGGCATCAAAATAGGTGCGAAAGCTTTCTGCCCATACCAGAGTTGGAATCGCTTCATGCAGATAATCCTACCTCAGCTCAGCTACACCCCGCAAAGCTTGTCAACGCCGAGTACCAATGTAGCATTGATACTGTTTTATCATAGTAAGTCACAATAATCTTCACGAAAGGCTATAGCAGTTTGAGTGGATAAATCCATAATTGCTTGAGCTAAGAATCTTCTAGACGAAATATTTCTCACATCTTTATAATGTACATTCCATGTCAAAAACAACATCGCCAGTCTAACAACGCCATGATAACCAATCACATCCAAGCTTCAACCACTTCAGCTCTGAGCATGGTGAACGCCCCCTCTGAGTGTCGAAGCCAACTTCTGCCTTACACTGTCTTTATTCCGATGCGGTGAATCATATCCATCGCGGTCCTCAAATCCCACCTTTTGAGGGCGTGGAGGAGGTGGCGGCGGCGCATGGTGAGGCGCTGACTGCGCTGTCGTGTAATATGCTTCATCCCACTCCTGAGGGGAAACCTCCTGGTGAGCTACTCCATTGGTCTGGAGATCGGGATGGCTCTGTTGAGGGATTGGCGGCGGTCGCTGTGTAGTATCTACACTAATAGATGAACGAGACCGCTCTTCGCGCTTCTTTCGACGAACCGGCGAGCTTGGCGTGACTTGCGGCTGCTGCATATTTCCATTCGGCAAGGATGTCAAATAGCGCTTAGAGCTGTAGCTGTTCCGGCGCTGGTCCTCATCATCTGTCGCAACCTCGTCATCCATGTCATCATCGTATGAGCGTAGCTCGCTTCTCATCGCCAGGCTAGCACATATGCTCCGTGCTTCCTCAATAGCCACCTTCCTCGCCTTCAGCGCCGCGCGCTTGTCGCGAGCCTCTTTGTTCTCGGCGGCGATGGCCTCAACAGTGGCATTCTGCATGCGGAGAATCTCAATGGGGTTGAATAGCCCGAGCAACCTCATAAGCAAGTGTCGCTCGACAACCTGAGTGATGGTGTTGCGGGTGAATATCCGTGCTGTCAGGTCATAGTATATGAGCATCTTCTCGAGCACTTCTTCCGCCTCAGTATAGGTGCCACCGTCTTTCAAAGCTTCTGCGCGCCATCTGACGAGACGCTGTTCATATTCGGGATCGTATGGCTGAATTTCCAACTCCAAATCGTCAGTCAGTCTCTTGAGCTCCTTTTCTGCTTCTTCCATCATCTCTTTCATCTTGTTCTCGAGGAAATGGAAACGCAAGGGGTCTCTCATCCGCAGTGGCCAGACGTAATCAATTACATCAGCGAGAAATTCGTTACAAATAACGCCAACGTTATCTTTATACTCTTGAGCCAGAACGGGCCAGGCGCGAGAAAAGTCTTGGAAAAGTATATATGGAGCTCTTGGGTTAGAGTCGAGAGGAAGCTCGTTACCGCGAATCTGTCGCAGCAGCGGCTCAACTTCTCTTTGAGCAAACTCCTTCTTGGATTGGTCGCCGACGACTCCTGCTGCCGGCAGGTTGTTCGCCCCGGAGCTAGAGGAAGAAGAAAAGTTGACCTTGCTGTTGTGCTGGCGGAAAAGGCGTGCAAACCTTTCGCTTTCTTCGCGGACGCGAGCCCGGAGCTTCTGCGCTGGTGTACCCTTGGGATGAGAGTGTCGGGCAAAAAAGGATTCTCCAACGGGATTTTTATAATTGCCATTTACAGCGGGAGTAACCAAGTTGTTAGATGCAGAGAAGAGCTCGCCCATTTCGAAGCGCATCTCTTCGATGGTTTCCTTTCCAGAACCCATGGCTTTCAGCTCCGCCTCACACTGCTCAAGGGCTTGTTGAATCTGTCTTCGAAGCGTCTTGACATGCTTTCCTACATGTCGTTGTAACTGAGAACTGAGCTTTTGTCGCAGGGCTTCTATTCCCAACATTTGAGGCGGCAAAGCTGCCCATTTGCCTCTTGCGAAGAAATCTGCCTCACGCCGTGATCTTTCTTCGAGAGATGACCAGAATTCTCCCGGGCCTGGATTAAGCAGAATATACCATCCGAGCTTAAAATTGTTTTCTTGGTCTTGATTTGTTACAAGCCCGATGAATTTGTCTTCGAGGCCGATACCTTCTGTCATATCAGGCTTTGTGAGGACGCCAATGGTTCGCGAGCCCGAAGGGTCGAAGTGACGAGCCTTCTTCAATATTGGCGCCTGTACATAATCGTTGTTGCCGCCAATAACAGCCAGAATGATTGTTCGGCTGCTCTTCATGTATCGATCAGATAGGATCTCGATGGTCTGAATGTCGGCCTCGGACTGATCTCGGTTGGCCACACGGACCAATCCGGGAAGATCGACAAGACTCAGCATGGGCATTTCCGGCCCCGTCTTTTCTACGACGAGGATATCGCGAGCAGCAAAACGTCCCGGAATATTTCGAGGGGCGATGAGTTCGGTTGCTTCTCTCATCATGGCATCAAAGGGCGTGTCGATGCCAGCGTCTCCTCCAAACTGCAACAGGCGAGCCTGTTCATTGTATGGACGGTTCTTGTCTGGGATAATAGATACTTTGAGATTAGTTTCTTTCGATCTTCTCAATCGAATCTCTGTGGCATGGCGAGTGCACGCTCCGGCATCTCGCGGGAATGGCGTGCCGCTGAGGGCTTCTAGGACGGAGCTTTTGCCGGCGGATTGGTCGCCAACGACGACAATTTGTGGAAGTTTGACATTGTCTAGCTGCGCAAACTGGAGTTTATCGATGAGATCCAACAAGCCTCTCTGCTCGTCTGCGAGCCCCTGCGCATCTAGCGAAGAGCCGAGGGTTTGAGCCATGGCGGGATTTGCGGATTGCGAGTTGAAACGAATGGATCCCATCACCTGGTGAGTCCAAATGCAAAAACGCAGAGAAAATGACGATATGATGTAAAGATATGCAGGAGTAAATTTCGCTACCGGATTGCTCTATATATACGAGAACAAAAACAAAAAGCAAACTACCTAGGTAGAACAAACAGCCACAGCAGGCAGAATGTATCGGGACATGTGAAACAGCCCTTTCGCCATACAACACGCATTGTTAATCTCACTTTCGCCACTCGTTCCGCCTCATTCCAATACTTGCGGCTGGGGGATTTGCCGCTGCGTACGTATTTGCGTACGAATGCTCTAGAGGCAACCGTTTTGAACAAGCCTCTTAGTGTAAGTGCGAATAGGACAGCCTAGAATATGTGGGGTACCGCGAATGCCGGATTACGTATTCCTTCAGCTTAGCCGCGATTCGGATGTGTGGCCAACTAACTATTGGCATTGTACTAATGTTGAACATCAATGTTGTGGCAGTACAAACGAGTGTAGAATGAGTGGTGGCTATGCTTCACAGTCATTGTTACGCATAGTACTATTGTAGGCGTATAGAGCGTATGTAGGCAGCAATAACTCTTCATAGAGAAGATGGAAGCTCAACTGCTCATATAAGACCACTCAATGGCCATTTGCCGCTAGTATCGAAGCATGGCGCCAGCGTTTCCCCGGGTCATGCGGCTTTTCGGCTATGGTTTGAACGTTACTGTTATTACCGATAAGAAGAAATTTCGATCATCCAAAGAGATGAAGCAGAGCCATTCCAGGCGTAAACACATTATTCCAAATCGACAATCTCAGATGGCCGTCGTGGCGATCCTTTTAAGATCAGGGCCTGGAGATCATTGCAAAGCGCAGCAGCCAACATGGCCAATGGGAATAGACTTGGAATGTACTAAACGTTCCTAGTCAATTAAATAAGCTTCTCTAGGCGTTGTATAAACTTGCCATTATAGGAGATTTAGAGATGTAGAAAATAGACAGAACATATGATTGTCTCAATCGGTCTAGTAGCCAGGGGTTCTAGATAACATCTGATCGCCCCGCGAACATAGAGAAGCGCCAAAAAAATACAGATTAAATTCTCCCATCCTTGAAATACGCGGATTTTTTCCACAAACACAACGAGTCACGAGCGGAGTCCAAAGTAGCTTGAAAAAGAGACGTTCTATTTCTCATGTTCTTGCTAAGCAAATCTCCTAGCGCCAGAATTCTTTCTCAACATCAAAGCATACCAAGCTTTTCGTATAATTGAAGAAAGCCAGCCGTAAAGCGAATCAAGCGTCCCAAATCGGAATCACTCTCATATCCATTGCGTGTCCACTGCGCTTCAGGCTCAAAACCATGTCCAGTTCCAAATAAAGCAGAAATCCTCGAAAAGAAATACCACTCTCGTTCTATCGCAATAATCACAAGATCCAACCAAATCCCTCCGATTTAGTATTTTCCTCTGTCCCGTCTTTCCGTTTATTGTGGCAATGAGGCAACCATGCTTTTGCATCCTTCTCAGATCCCATCTTAATCACGCAATGTATCGTTGAATCGTCCTCGGCGAGTTTTGAACACTAACGACAGCCAATTTGCCTTGGCCAGACCAGAAACTGTGCTTTTACGGTTTTAAGCAGTTCATTCATTCTGTTTCTTATCCGCCCTTTGAATAGGATACCTGCTAATTCGTCGGCGAACGGGGTCAGTAAAAGGAGTTCTTTAAGCGAAATCTCTCCTGTTTGCATCCTGTTTGCCATGTGAGAAGCTCTAAATATCTAATCGGCCAAGCTCGCGTCAATCTCGCGTAAAGCTGTTAAGGGGTCACTCTAATAGGGATCTACCCCAGCCAGTCGGTAAATGCCCTGGGAAAAACCGTCTAGGTCTAGGTCGGGAAAGAGTTTCAGGGTGTCGACGCTGTCTATAAGATGTTCAAGATGATGTCAGTCACGTTCTTCTTGGTTTGTGGCCATCTTCAGCTTAAGCATAATTGATTTCAATGTATGGGTAACCGTCGAGCTTTCGAGATCAGCCAGACATTTCTTCCAAGTTAAATGTGCAATTACAGAGTATACATCCAGGTATTGATAAAATAACACATCACCATCTTCTAACACATATATCTCTACGAACAAATCAAAATAACAATAAGTTAATAGCCATCCTATGCCAGGCCAATAACCGTTACGATAGAGAGCCCAGAGAGCCGCCACTGTCCAGGTATAACTTCCATGTCCATTATCAGCGACATCGGGAATCCACCAGGGCACATTATCACGCGCGCGCTTTTTGGACCGGCGGCAAAGGCAAGCAGGGTGGTGGGAACTTTTGTACTCCACCCTTTTCTTCTTCTTCTCTCAGGGAACCCTAAGGGTATGTATAGGAGTGCCCGGCTATGGTGAGGAAAGCTCGCGAAACCGTAGCTTATTTTCCCCATGCCACTTGGACGCATGTTGTGTAGACTCGTTTCACCATTCACGATCATGGTAGATATTAATGGGGCGGCGGTATGAGCACGTTCTAAGATTCACCCAGGTAATGATTCGAAGTGGACCAGACACCGTGTTTATGGAAGTTCTTCGTTGTCTTCCCACTTGGTATGGATAATGGAGTGTAGTTGGAGGAGGATACGTGTATTGTTACTACCTATATACATGATTTATACATTACAGATAATTTTGGTGCACTCGAACCAACTTCTTGTTGAGGAATTCGCAGATGCCCAGCTCTCCAAGCTCCCTACCAAATCCAGAATTCTTCACTCCCCCAAACGGCACATCCGCACCAGCATTGAGGGCTGAGTTAATGAATACCATGCCGGCGTCCATCTTGGCAGCCACTTCTTTAGCGTGTTCAATGTTGGAGGAGTAAATTGATGAGCCCAGACCAAACGGGGTTGCATTAGCAATCTCAACGGCCTCGTCCTCTGTGTCAACCACATAGAGGGAGGCGACCGGCCCAAAGGCCTCCTGTTGGTAGAGGGGGTTTTCTGGAGAAATGTCTGTAATGAGCGTTGGTTCCATGTAACAGCCCGGACGGTTGACTCGCTTTCCACCGCAGACAACAGTAGCACCCGCAGCCTTGGCCTGCTCGACCTGGGCTATGATATCGCGGACACCACTCTCAGCAAACAATGGCCCCAGTGTTGTAGATCGATCCATGGGGTCGCCGGCCTGCATAGCTGTGAAAGCCTTGACAATTCCTTGCTGGAACTCGGCGCCACGCTCTTTGCCAACAACGATATAACGCTTGATTGACGCGCAGGCTTGGCCCATGCAAATCATTCTCCCAGCGGCAGCCACTTGGATGGCTTCTTCAAGATTTGCGTCTTCAAGAACGATGAGCGGATCCGAGCCTCCCAACTCGAGCACAACCTTCTTCATATTGCGGCCGGCACGTTCTGCCACTGAGGCACCGGCTCGCTCACTGCCCGTCAGGGTGACTCCACGCACGAGGAAGCTATCAATTAGGGCATTCACTTGAGAAACCGAGCACAGGAGATTCGTGTAGACTCCAGCGGGCGCCCCGGCATCAACCAATAGCTTCTCAAAGGCTAAAGCGCACTGAGGCACGGTGGATGCAGGCTTGACCAGCATTGTGTTTCCGGCGACAATCTGAGGGCCGGCCACCCGCGCAATCTGGTAATAGGGGAAGTTCCAAGGCTCAATGGCCAGGATAACGCCGATGGGCTCAGAAACGACTTCGGCACCGGGTACACCAGGACAAGGCACCGTCTTGAGGAATTCTTGGCCGTTCTTGGCGTAGTATTCCAAAATATCAGCCGAGATGTCCACCTCTGCCTCCATTGCGCTGATTGTCTTGCCCATTTCCATGACAGCAATCTCGGACAGCTCTTGCTTACGCTCGCGCATCAAGGCGGCAGTCTTGCCCATTATTTCACATCGTTTGGCTACCGGAGTCTGACGCCATATTTTGATGTATGCGTCGTGGGCCTTTGCGAGCGCTGAGAAGACCTCTTCATCCGAGCAACTTGCAAAGTTTTTCACCAGCTCTCCGGTAGCAGGGTTGGTAGTATTGTAGTGCGAAGGCTTGGACATTTTTTTTTTTTTTCGTAATGGTTTTGATATGGAAATCGATAACTGTGTTATTAAGAGATGAAATGGATATGATAAAACAGAGAATCAAGAGTGGGAGTGTGATATGTGTTGCGTTTGGTATGCTTGCTGTTGAAAGTGTTCGAACCTGATGAGGAATAAGAAAGATTCAAAAATATACTTGATATCATGAGCTTCTTATATACACCTAGCAACGATGCCGTGATACTCTTTTCTCTCATGCTTCGGTAGTTGTAGCGAGCAATACGTCACAAGTCTTACATAGTTCGCCGGCAATGCCGTGAGGTAGCATGGGCTAGGCGGAGTATTGAATGCATGCATAGATGATCAATGATCAATATTAACTATAGAATATATTCTATATTATGGTGTGACTCTATTAGTGCTTGGTGTTGAGCGCGCCTCGCGCGTCTCGCCTTTTAGCTTTCTTAGGTAGGCAGAGCATCGGCGTTATACGAGTCATGGCTAACGCCGCACAACCCAAAGGTGCTAAGCGTACCAGCCTATACAGCACAGTGTCTGAGATGGATTTCCTTGATAGTGGCATATACCGGCAGAATTCGTCCGCCCGATGATGCGGCAGTTCTTTGCCCTGACACTTCTACGACCTTTGTCTTTTGTCCTATCACCGATATCGCAAGGTCAATCATCACGGGTTCGCGACACGAGATGTTGAAAACTTGTGCATCGGCCTAAGAATACCAGCATCTCTGTAAGCCTTACTCAGCCCACGCAATGATCTCTATGGAACGGCGTCCTTGTATGGATTGACTCTCGGGTCATGCCGGGGTAGCCATAGATGGAAATGGGATGAGGAGGCAAATACAACAAGCATAAGTATATAATCACACATTGGTCCTATGGGGCCATATAAGAAGAGGCAGAAGACACCCACCGTTTCTTCCCATTGATGATTCGCCTGATCATTTTGGCGTTGATTTACTTTGTGACTTATTGTTCGCAAATCTGAACTGGTTGTTTTATTCTTCATATTTCAATTACTTCAACAAGCAATCCGACACAATGAATCAACCTCAGCGCCTACAGCCTATTCCTCCACCCCAACTTACAGCCGCTCAAAAGGATCTATTCGACAATATTGTTGCGTCCATTAGCAAAGACTTGGATGCTGGCCATTCTTTCATCACGCAAAATGAAGAGGGTGCCTTTGTTGGGCCATTTAATAGCTGGATTCATTCACCCATTACCGGAGCTGCAATATGGAATCTAATCAAGGAGATGAAACGGGACGAGAAGCTGCCTCAGAATCTACGACAAATTGCTATTGTCACGGCTGGGTCACATTTTAAAGCCAATTACGAAGTCTATGCTCACGCTTCAATGGCGCGACAGTACTTTTCTGAGGAGCAAGTTGATGCTCTATCCAATGGTCTACTTCCGCAGGGGCTCCTGTTAGAAGAGCAGCTAGTTTATAGGGTTACAAAGGCATTGGTCAAAGGGGGGCCTCTAGCTGACGATTTATACGCCGAGGGGATTTCCATTCTTGGGCAAGACAAGGTCATTGAACTCATCTTTCTGATTGGGCTGTATTCGCTGGTTTCCATGTGTCTAAATGGATTTAATGTACCTGTACCAGCTACACCTCAGGACTAGGCAGTTACAAATGATAAGACAGTAGGGTATAACAAAGCTGCGTTATTGCAATTAAAGTAGTAATAATCTACGGGTTTTTTATTGCTATTATTATTATTTTATGTGTAATCTGACTTAATTGGCAAGCATCTAACTGTAGGGTGACTTCCATCCCGTTGAATTTTTCCCCCTCTTACCAGCAAGCTAACAATTTACCTTGGACTCTCTCATTCTCTCTTCCTCAAAAGAAGGGCGTAAACATGAATTTAGCCGTCAAGTAGGCTCGCCAGATTCCACGTCAGTTCCTCCTACAGCCATCGAGACCCAAGATTGCAGCCTCCATTGCGTATAAAGACAGCCCACCAATCACAGGAGAGACCCATAAAAATAACGCCCAAGGGCAAAGCCAGAAAGTGGGTTCGATAAACGCCGATGGACCTACTAACAACTTTGTCGGATGTTGAAGAGGCTTGGACTGCGGTCGGTGATTGCCAGAATGAAGGCATGTTTTATTACGCTGCGCATCCAACTCCAAAAGTTCATTGCCGGCAACTCCGCGTGTACAAGAAATCTGGTGGTATGATGTCACCAGCATCACAGAGACGGAATAGTATAAAACCGTGGCTTTGCCCAGATTAGTGACTGTTGTTTTGCTCATCACGAGAAGAAGCCTCATTATTAAAACACCTGCCCTTGCTGTAATTACCACTCCCAGCCACCAATATCTCCTTGCCATCGGTTTGTGTTGGCACATCATCCACCAGCCTACTCGCCAATTCCACCCCCAGTATTTCACGTCTCAATTATTCAAAGGACCAATCCGTCCCCATGTCATCCAACGAGACCAAGTTCGAAGGCTGGGTTGCGCTAGACAAGAATGCTGCCGAGGGTCAGATGGTCTGGCAAACCTACGAGCCCAAGCCGTGGGAAGAGACCGACATTGATATCAAAATCACGCATTGCGGAGTTTGCGGTACAGATGTTCATCAATTACGATCTGGATGGGTAAGTAGCTTCACATGAAACAAGTCTTTGTGCAGTTGTTTCAAAAGCTAAGACACCATCTTCTTTCTAGGGCCAGACAGCCTACCCCGTAGTCGTTGGCCACGAACTTGTTGGCATTGTTGTACGGGCTGGCAAGGAAGCAGCAAAAACGGGCATTCAAGTTGGCGACCGAGTTGGCGTGGGTGCGCAAAATGACTCTTGCCAGTGCCGCAAGCCGCCTCAAATTCCCACAGACCACTCCGATTGCAGCGCCTGTTCCACGGGCAATGAGGTGTATTGCCCGAATATGACGTTGACGTATGGTGCCCAGTATCTCACTGGTGGAAAAAGTATGGGGGGATACGCTCGCTATCACCGATGCCCGGCCGCGTTTGCTTTCCTGATTCCTGATGAACTGGCTAGTGAGCACGCAGCGCCAATGATGTGTGCTGGCCTGACTGTCTTCTCTCCACTCACCTACTTTGGGACTTTTGGCAAAGACCAAGGTCCTCTTGACCAGCGGCTCGAGGGGGTGAGCGTGGGCGTAATTGGAATCGGTGGTGTGGGCCACTTCGCTCTCTTATTCGCCAAGGCCATGAATGCTAAGCGAGTTGTAGCATTTTCTCGCCGTGCAGAAAAGCGAGAAGATGCTCTAGCCCTTGGAGCTGACGAGTATGTGGCTACAGCCGAAGACCAAGGCTGGGAGACCAAGTATGCCAGCTCACTGGACTTGATTCTCTGCGCTGTATCAAGTTCCAACATGCCATTGACCGACTACATCAACTTGCTCAAACGCGACGGTACCTTCTGCCAGCTTGGCCTCCCGGACGACGGCATGTTCAAAGTCGGGGCCGGGCCTATAGCTTCACAACGCCGCAAACTAACTGGAAGTTTTATGGGCTCACCACATGAAATCCGGGCCATGCTCCAGCTAGCTGCTGATAAGGGGATTAAGCCATGGGTCGAGCAGCGGCCGATGAGCGAGGCAAATCGCGCCATTGTTGACATGGAGCTCGGAAAGGCAAAATATCGATATGTGTTGGTCAATGATGATGTCTAATAGTCTGATGATGATGATGTGTATTGCCGATAGTCTCTAAAAGCTTGATATTTTTTCATTGTTTAGTTAATTTACCTTTTGTCTCCTACATTTACAATCATGGGATGTGCTACCTTTGATCCGGACGGAACTTTCAACCCGGCAAATGATCAGCATCTTTCAGCCACGCAAACTTCAACCACTGTAGCAGCAGGCATGGTTAGGTAGATGGTGCCAATCTGGAAGAGTTGGCTATCCCTGAAAGGAGTGGTTTGTGAGAGATCTAGAACGGCATAGCTAACAGCTAATAGTGGAAACGTCCTTAGTTCATTAAATCAATCTTGTATCCACTGCGCGTTCACAGCGTTCCTATCCCAAATCCATATCCAGTTTTCTAAATAAAGCAGAAATCCTCGAATTGAAATCCCATCTCCCGTTCAGTTGCAATACCAGAAGAGCTAATTGAGCCGCTTCGTCCTAATATTCTTCTCTGTCCCATTTTTCATCTATTTCTGTAGAAAGGCGATCATGCTTGTATATTCCTTCTGGGGTCCCATCTCAATCGCGGAATATATCATAAATCATCTTCAGCGAGTTTCGAATTCCACGATAGCCAATTGCCTATGACCGACCAAAAACTTTTGCTTCCATGACTTTGAACAGTCGGTCCATTTTTCCTACCATCTTCCACTCCCAAAGTGTGTCTCGCAAGCCATTGACAAGCTCAGATAGACAAGGAAGCTGTTCTAGAGAGAGCTCTTCTGTTTGCACCCTCTTTGCCAAATTACAAAGTGTGAAGATCTCATCAGCCAAGTCCTCGTCGATCTGGCGTAACGCTATCCAAGGTTTGCTCCGATGAGCATCTACCCCGGCGATTCGGTATAAGGCTGCGGAAAGCGCGTCTAGATCTATGTCGAAAAATTCCTTCTGATCTTCACAGTTGTCAACGAAAAAGTCGAGGTGACCCCAGTCATCTTTTTCTTCGGTTATGGCTTCCTTCAACTTCTTGAACATGACCGATGTCGGTGTATGAGTAGCCGTCGAGCTTTCGAGATCAGCCAAAAGGTTCTTCCAGGTTAAATGAGTAGTGATGGGTAGATATTTGATCTCTTTCGTGACGAGATGCTCTAAAAGAGAGCCCAAAACATCCTTTTCACTTCCAGAATGTTCTTTGCCCCAACAGTGACGCGATATCGTTTTGGATTTAGATATTTGAGTCACATCAGCGTCTGATCCTGCGTGGAAGAAAGGTTTCTTCTCTCGTGGATACTTGCTGCTCATGTTTTGTGCTGTAAGAAGCCCATGCTCATCGACCCATACAAGGGAGCGACCACCAACGCAAAGATGGCCTTCGCTAATCAACTTATGAAGCCTCTGTTCTTGAAGCTCGACGAAATTAGCTCTCATCCTCTGCTGTAACGCAAGAGTCTCGCTTGAGACGGGAGAAGAAAGCTCCATCTGGTCCTGCACAGTCGCACCTTGGGTTTCTCGAGCCAAGACCAACTGTTTGTCCATTCTTCAATGTTGTATTGGACTGTTTGTTGAATTGAAATGAAACTGTTAGAACGAAGGTGTGAGAATGAAGAGAGAGGGAAGAAGATGAGAAGACGGAGAGATTGAAGATTGCAGTTTATATAGTGGCCAGCGGTGAAAGGCGGAGAAAGGTCACAGAAACTGTGCTGCTGCAGGAGAGAGAACCTTGGGAGAAAGGACTTTCTACTGGTACTTGAAAATTGGTGGAAATGGCTAGCTGCGCGATGTCACAAACAGAACTCCGAGCACCTTTGTCTCTCCAACCTTACTCCAAGCCTCAAATATTATGCCAGCTGGCAATGAAAGCGGTAAGCAATACCGAGTCTCGTCTTTGAGGCTTTACCTCTTGGCACCAAAGCACAAAGATGCATTTATATCATGGTCTTTCCTCTGTTCGGACTTCGCATACGATAAGAGGAGTCTTTCAAGATCTCATCTAGCAAACAGATGAAGTCGGAAAGAGAACTTTCTGATTAAATGAACGCAGGAGATCTTTCTCAGAAGCCCTCTCGTTACATAAGTTCATCGACTATTTTCTTCAGCAGCCATGCGTGAATAATCTTGGCGATGATTAACTGCGTATCCAAACCACATTGGTCATATTTGTACACCATATTCCAATCTTTTCGTGAGAGAAAGAAAGGGAAACACTTTTAGGCTGTATTTGATGCATTAGCACGGAAACAACGTGCTTACTCGTCTCTGCGCTATGAAAGATGACCAACATTCTATAGTCATCAGTATATGTACTTATGTGGTTCAGCACTTCTCCAGCTACCATTTCGGTTCCTCCCAGACTTTCTCTCAGCCATGCCGTATCACCATCTATATGTATAGCCATCCAAGCCCCTGCTACACATCGTCTCATAAACCCCGGTCAGCTACGTCGAGCTTTGGGTTCTTCATTTCCCAAACCCTTTTATATCTTTCTCTAGCACCTCGACCACACTTCTCCACCATTCTACAAAGCCATTCTTCATCCGGCTTCTCTGATCGATAACAGTCTGGCTCCGCACCATTATCCAGTAAGATCGTGACAATATCCCAAAATCCCCAGATGGTAGCTGCATTCAAGGCATTTCTATACCCTCCTCCCTGTGCATTGACTTTTGCTCCTTTTTGTATCAACAGCTTGACTGATTCAGGCTGACCAGCGTATGCCGCTGCCTGTAACGCAGAGCCATATTTGCCTCCCTCTGCATTGACGTTGATATCAGGGTAGTTGTCAAGGAGAAACTCCAAGCCTACATTCCGATAGAGCGGTACCCTAACGCTTTCATGATTGGCCATCACTGCTGAATGGAGGGCGAAGCCGAAAAGTTCCGCCCCAACATTAGCATCAGCGCCGCGCTCGAAGAGAAATTGAAGCCTTTCAATTAACTTTGTGGGCTCAGTGTCGTCGGTAAAGTTCTCTAAAGTGGCTTGTAAAGCTGTTTTGCCATTTATTACCTCGCAATCGTTGATATCGACGCCCAAATCCAGCAGCTGCTGGATGCTGCTATTCGGAAGGCGTAGATTTGCTGCTGCAACGTTCAAAGGGCTGCCAAACATACCACCTTTGACATGAACATCAGCACCATGGTCAAGAAGTAACTTTGCCATATCTTGTGCCTGCTCGCTGTTGGAGAGGTGATAGGCAGCTTGGAGCGCGGTTCTGTATTGGCCACCCCTTTCGTTCACATCGACTCCTCGTTCAAGTAGCTCTCGAACAAGCCATTCATGTCCATAAGCAGCGGCAGCCTCAAGCGCTGAACCATACTCTTCTTTTTCAGCATGGATATTGGCGCCATACTCGAGGAGAAGGGATATCTCATCTTTCGAACAGCCCACTCTACAAGCGTTCTGCAGAGCACTTCCTTGAAAGCTCTGAGCATTGACGTTTGCCCCGTTGCTTAGCAGCAACTTTATGATATCCAGCCTATCTCTTGGAGCCGAGAGAGAATATTGCAGCGCGTAGTTACCAAGTCTGTCCTTGGCATTGACATCAGCTCCCCTGCCCAACAACATCTTTACAAGATGAATATCGCCGCTCCGACACGCAGTATTCAGGGCATTGCCATTGTTGCCTCCTGGGGCATTGATATCTGCTCCGAGATCCAGCAGACGCTCAACGAAGTTAACTCTCTTGGTGAAATCCCCCCCTTCACGGTCAAATGATATAATTGTGCACGCTGCTTGGAGTGGGGACCCGTACATACCATTTGGATCGGAAGCATGAATGCTGGCCCCTTGATCAAGTAGCAAGTAACACAAGTCCCAGCGGCTGACTGACGCTGCCCTGATAAGCGCCGTTTCTCCGTCGTCATTCTTCAATGCACCTTTACTGAGAAGAAAATGAAAGCACTGGTCTTTAGTAGGGTGAATGGAGGAAGCAAGCACGCTGCCTTGCCAGCATAATCGAGCGTGAATATTAGCTCCACGGCCAGTAAGAAACTTGACAATGTCGAGATGACCTTCCATTGCTGCTGCGTGCAATGCCGAACCAGATACTATACCGTGACTCGCATTGATATCCGCTCCCTTGTCAACCAAAAGCTGCACAATCTCGAGGTGACCACCTAGCGCTGCAGCGTGTAATGCCGAAGCATGTTCTTTGATGGCACTGAAATTGCGCATCATATTTTCAGTACTATTAGTGCTCACAACATCTTCTTCCACCTGTACACTGGCGCCCTTGTCAAGAAGCCAACGGACCAACTCAATGCTTCCCTTATAAGCCGCATCCGCCAACGCCGAGTCTAAATCTTCTTGGGTAAAAAAGTTGTTGGTTTCAGGTCCGTTCGAGAGCAGCATCATGGTGAGATTCGAAAGACCTAGCCGAGTAGTGTAGCATATTGGTCGTGCTAAGAATTGATTCTCTTGAGGAAAATACCATGTGTCGAAAGATATCATTTTAGCCAGAGTCTTGCTACGAGCATCAAGGGCAGATGCTGCCTTTTGGACGATTTCAGAAGGCCACAGCTTGCTCGGAACCATTTCGAGATGCAGGGCCCACTGCATGCTTGTATAACTGTCCAAGTCGTCCGGTTTGTCCTTGAAACGGTCCTCCCATTTGATACGTTTATATAGACCATCATCGGCGTGCAGGATGTGGTAGGCCAAACACGAAGTTGCGATGTATAAGTGGGCGTCCATCTCATTAAGCGCAAATGCTGCTGCTGGCCCGCCAGTGATCCGTGTAGAAATCAGGTATTCTTTAATAGAAAAGTGCGCCAAGCGAACAACATCATCAGCAACTACTACCAAGCTAGAAAAATATTTTATGATGTCATTAGCATGGAATAGCTTCTCTGTTTCATCAGGAGGGTGGATGTGCTCAGCACGAAATGTGAAGATCTCTGACAACCAATCGACTGCAATGGGAGTAAGCGAAAAGGCCAGCCACTTTAGCGAATCTATGATCCGGGATTGGAATTTCGGGTTGATATTCAAGAGCATCCTGTCATAAGTTGCACCCAGGCCATCGGGAAGACTTTGAAGGGCTTCATGGACTTCAGCGACAGTTGATAAGTCACCAAGTGCATCGAACTGGCAGCGAACATATTGGAACCTTGGATACATATTAGCAAGACCATTGTATCAAGTAAGTGATAGATATTTGGCCACTTACATGCCATCCGCCTTCTCAACCAACGAGACCCTTGCTTCTTCCTTTACACTTGCAGGCCAAGATTCGTAATCGTCACTTGCAAGGATCGTATCGATAAATATACCAATGTCGTCATCAATAGTAGGCCTATAGGCCAATAAATCTAGTTCATAACTGCATGGGCGTGATAAGTGGCGCTTCATTGCTGCGCTAATATCGCTCTCTTTACGGCTGGTGAATAGGAGATGCAGATTTTCAGGTGCTTTGTCGAGAATGGCGTTTAACGCTTTAAAAAGCTTCTTCCGTTCACCACTCAGAGTCGGGCACTCATCCAGAGCGTCAATCACGATATATACCGCCGAAAACCCAAAGATAGCATCGTTTAGTGCGGTTGTTAGAGTTTGAGTGTCAGGTCGCTTGCCGCTGACTTTGTATTCTTTGAGCCTCAGAGCCGATTGCGGAATACTTGGCCGACAAGCTAAGATCTGCTTGATGATGGATGCGAGCATGATGTCTACCCCTTGTTTCTGAGGATCGGTAAAGCTAAAGTAGAAGTAGGCCACCGCAGTCAATGGATCGGATAAGTATTTATCATCAAGATGTTTTATGATTGAAGAGCTCAGTATGGACTTTCCTGAGCCAGCTATAAGCCGTTTGTTAGAATGAATTGAAGTCTCGGTGATACCAAAAGAGTGTACAGTACCTTTACCATGAATCCATAGCAGAGATTTGTCTTCTTTTTCCCAAGCCAGGAGTTGTTGGTTCGTCATCAGCCACTCGCTTGTTCCAACTTCATGTTTGTCACGAGCTGCATTATACATCTGAGAAGGATCCACTTGGCATAACCAGGATAAAAGTTTTGCACGATCATGGTCTTTTTCTGCTTCTGCTAGTGCCTTTCGTAAGCTAGAAACATCTTCGCTAATAGTAAGCCAAGCGGCAAGAGACTCTTGATGCTGTTTCTTTACCGCCGAAGAGTCTTGGCTATATTGAACATCATGCCAAAGGCTGTCCAGCGCAGCAAGCGCGTCTTCTTGTAGGCGCACATCATCGATCATCGCCTCCCAATCGTTCCACTTGACAGCATCCAAGCCAAGCCTGTACGCGGCGTTTTTTGCAAAGTGACAGAAGGTTTCAGCCTGGAATCTCAAAATCTTTCGGTACTGGGCTTCCAAAGCCCTCTTGTAAGCCAGGTGATCAAGGCTAGATGGCTGACACCCGTTGGTCGTCTTTTCTAGCGCATATCGCCTTGAGTATAAGCCCTCGCGCAGTTGGCCCCGAACAATAAGAGTCGAGATGTAATCTAGCCCTTTTGCGAGCGACCCAGCTTGTTCAGATGGATTAAGAAAAAGCTTGCTGAGTTAGTCTGTTGCCAGCCTCTTGAACAGACAGCCTGTGGCCATTACAGACACAACTTACAGGCAGCAATACGCTAATCCCTCCCCATGCAAGCGAGGCGGGCGGGCTGGCAGTCAGCGCAGTGGAGATGTATGCGTTGGCTTTGCTAGCAATGCTCGCAAAGATCGGTAATATGGCGGAGATCTGGATCTCAGAATCTCCGAATTGGAGCTTCCAAGCGTCACGCTTGACTTTGTCCATTTTGTTTTTGAGCACGATTTCCATTCGCTCGCGTGCGTTGATGTTGGGGGCCAGACCTGCATTAAAGCCGGTAGCCAGGTCTTCTTGAATCCTGGCCTCATAGTCCTGAATCAGTTTTCCATCGTCCTGGCGTAGCTTTTCGTATGCCACGTTCCACAGCTCATGAATCGGCGCATCAGCGAGGTTCAACTGTACAGGCAGCTGTGGCTAGAACAGAATTATTAGCAGTGCTCAACTCTACTTGCAGCATGGAATTGATTCACACTTCGATATGCTTGGAATCAGCATGTTCGCTGGGTGGGGTAGGAACATGACGCTTTGTCGCTGTTTCTTATTGTAACCCTGTGTCATGGCTTGAGTTGCTCTTATTCTTCCCACTAGAGAACTTTTTCCGTAGTTCGTCTCGTAAGCCCATCGTAAAACCGGCTTTTTACACGGCCGTATCTGATGTTATGATGAGATTTGGCCTTGAATGTTGTAGCCTGTTTATCGTGGGAATGAGAGGAGGCACATGTTCATGCAGCTGCAGCTCGAACTGGAATAAGTACGGGCCGGTCAGCCAATAAAGACTACATGTGCATGTGCCTGCTTACACCAATCAGTGCAGCGCTATTCTTTGAACAAATAAATGATTTGCGCATATTCAAGTGATCTTTTACGTGTCATTTGATATGTATTGAGAGAGGAACTTCGATTACGATAAACTTGACCATACCCCTGAGCAGATGGTCTAACTCGATCGACCCATTTACGATTTTCAGCTTATAAGAGAGAAAAAAAGAAATGCCAATGGTGTATCCTGCTACGGGCTTCCATTGGCGCCTGTTCCCAACATGCATGAACCATCTTTAAATTTTACCTCGGCCACTGTATTAACATCCGTAATCTTGACTAATCGAATGTAAATTTATCTCTTATATATCAAATCGTGTAGCTTGCTCTAGTTTTCATGACTTTGTAGAACTGATCAGCGAATTTCTGTTTACTCATCTTCTTTTCTGATTATTGAACATTCTCAGTCTGTGGCCGCCCCACTACTCTCAGCAAGTCGTGTATACGACTCTCATTGCTAGAAGCCATACTCTACATACCGCAATTTCATTAGCAAATTGCGTTCTAATTATTTGTCATTATCTGGGACATTTCTTGTCATTAGAGAGTCCTTTTCTGCTGTTATGTAAGACAAATATTGAGAGTGGTGAAAAGTATAAATACTTGACTCGCCAGAATGCTCGGTGAGGAAGATGGTCTATTATACACTACAGAAACAACTTTTATTATCACCTTGAAAGAAAACCATCATTATGGCACCAATTAAGCGAGTTGCTATTCTTGGTGGGACAGGGGCTCAAGGCTCGAGCGTTGTCAAGAGTAAGTAAACATCTTTCACTCATACAGCTCAAAGCTTATAAAAAGGCAGGTCTTTCGAAAGCCGGAATATTCGAAATCACCGTCCCTACCAGAAATCCATCTTCAGCCGAAGCCCAAGCTATTGAAGCCTTGCCGAATGTCAAACTGCTGCAGGCCGACTACTTGACCGAGGCCGGCCTCAGAAGCATTCTCGCCAACCAAGATGGCGTATACTTTAACATGAACTCATTTGCCGTCACTGAGCCATTCGTTTACTTTTGGACATTTCGCGCATATGAAATCGCCGTCCAAAGTGGATTGAAGCTTTTCGTTTTGCCAGCTGGGCCAAATCGATATGAAGCTCACGGATACAAAGAAGAATTCCGAAACGCACACGGCGTGATTTCCGGGCGACTTTCCGATTGGCTCTCCCACCAGCCGACAGACATTCTACCATGGTGCATTACCTATGGTGGCGTGTATGCTGAGATGCTATGGACACTACTCCAGCCACGAGTTAGGGATGATGGTGTATATGAGTTCGCCGCGCCCATTGGGGATGGCAACATCCCATTCACCCCTCTGGAGGACTACGGCACTCGCTTGCGATGGATATTCGAGCATCCAGAGGCTTCCACTGGCAAAACTCTGGGCTGGGGCGTTATGTACACAAGCTATAAAGATTTGGTGCAAGCGTTCGAGGAGACCACGGGGAAGCAAGCTGTGTTTAAAGACTTGACGCAAGACGAGTGGTTTGATAGAGTGCGGGTGTATAAAGATCCGGAAACTAAGTTTCCTGACAGCGGTCTTCCAGATGATGATACCACTTTTACGTGGAGGCAGACTTTTGGCGCTTGGTGGAACTTTTGGAAGTACAATGACCGCATTCGAGATCCGAAGAGGGAGAAGGAAACGGCGGCATATGCTGATGAGGTGTATCCCGCCAGGCACAAGACTATCAAGGAGTGGATGGTTGCGAACAATTATACTGGTACAAAATAGCTTACGTCTTCATGAGCTCATTATATACCATGCTTCATATTATGAAGCATGATAGGATAACTTTGCTTTTCACTTATTAGTACTATGACAATGATCCATTACATTGTGTCATGGCGTAGGATATAATACTTTGATATAAAAACGGGAACCAAACAAGGTTACGTATACATATCGCCTGTGATGATTAGTTGTTCAGGCGAACATGATTGTTAAACACCATTACCCGCGCTGCCAGTTCATACCATACCAATTACACCGCATTCATGTGGCCTATCCAGCTCGGATGACATCTCTTCTTCCGCTGGCTGCCCTCCTAGAGTGCTTGAGCCAGGGCCTCAATCTCCTTGGCCATGATCTCATCTGCCACAAAGTGCTGATGCTTCACCTTGTGCTTGGTAGCTATGCCAATGCTCGCATGAGCGACCACAGTACCATCGCCGTCTTTATGTCCATCTTCCAAAAGCTTGTACCTTCCAAGCACCTTCTGCGTAGACTTGGACCTCTCCTCCATGGTGTGTGGCGTCTGGATCTTATCACAGTGAAATCCCACCGTTTTGGCCCGAAAATCTGCCTCTGTAGCGAGCTCGTGAAGATTTACGGCGGCAGTCTCGACATTTTGGCCCTTGACATGCACGCCATGGTGATGGCGAGAAACATATTGTTTCCACGCAAAAGACAGTTCATATGCTGGAGGGGGTCGTGTTGGTATGTCAGGCGGGGGTCTTTCTACAAGACTAGTCTTTCCATGTTCACGCAGCCACGGATAAGTAGGCCACAAATCATCCATGATGGAGCCGAACTGTTGCAGCACCTTTGTGAGCTTGCGCCGATTGGGGAGCCACCAGCCAAATCCGTTGTAAGCCCGCTCCACGGCCATGGTTGAGCCTCCAACAGGCACGCCGAGAGGCACAAAGTTGCTGATGGCCCCTTCTACCCCGTCGTACATTGCGAGTGCCCTCCTACATATGAGTCCTCCCATTGAGTGCCCGATAAGAATGAGACGTCGGCCGGGATTGCTTTCGCGCAGCGCTAGAATGCCTTTGGCACAGGGCGCAACGTGATATTGGACGCGATGGCGCCAGTCGTAGGCGTAGTAGTAAACATCTCCATGTCCAGACAAATGTTCGAGGAACCAGCCATAGCCAGGAACTTCAATGTAGTCCAGCCCCTGGTCCAAAAGTTCTCCCACGGTTAATGGGTTCTCGATGCTCAATTCTGCGGCTTTGTACCATCCGTATTTTGCACCGGCAGCTTTTTCAATATTCCAGGCATAGTGTTTCTCGCGAACAAGTAGCTCCGTTCCCATTATCCCGGGAACAACAATAAATACTGGACGTTCCGCATCGTCTTGGGTAATTTTCGTGTCATGTCGTTCGATTGGCGCCGACCGTCCATCTTGTGCCGTTTGTCCATTGGGCACCTGTTGCCCAGTTTGCGCCATGTTTTGTGTCTAGCTGAGAGATATAATCATCCGTACTGTAGGAGCAATTGAAGATGATGAATTAGGTGGCGAACGTTGAGCACGACCGCTCAAGGTTATTATATACACGTGGGAAGAAACAGCAGCTCAGTTTAGCTAGGCTAGAGATACTGAACTCTATGAGTCTAGCTACTCTGTGGCGGCGCCATGATCCTCATGAGCATGGAAGCGCCGGATTTGGGGCATCGCTACTGTGTGGCAAGTGGATTAGAGCTGAAAAGCTACGGGCATATAGAGACTCACATAGGACGCCATTGAAAGCCACAATCTGAAGTTGCTAGAAGCTATGCAAGCGACTCTTCTTAGATAGGCACTTGCAAAAGCAAGACAAAGGTACCGGCTTATTCGGATAGCCATTAAAGTGAATGCAGTAAAGTGACATTAAGGACAAGGACGAGCTGCGATCACGTTAAAGATCTGCTCTGCCTAAGATCGCACGTGAATCTCAGCTCAGGTGAAATAGGTGAAAATGTCGAGTTACTGACAAGCTGGCTTAATAGTAGCTATTTCGCCGGGATCTAGCATTCTTTGGATAGGCCTTTGGACGTTGGTTATAGACCTCGAATCATGTATAACAACTGTCATCAACTTCCTCACAAAGTCTGATTTAGCTGCTTGACAGATGCATAATATTAAACGGTAGTTTGCATACTCCGGCGGCTGCCATTTGTGACCTCCAAGTCCAAAGCTGATAAAGCATTGTCATATATACAATAAAATAGCGCTTAATGTGAAGATGAAAAAAGAGGGGGGTGAATATCTGTAGCTTCAAAGCGCTCGGCCATCGCAGCAATCTTTCTACAGTACAATGTCAGTACGCAAAGTCTGGGAGAAGCGAATGCTCTGCACTTACACTTTGATCTTCTCTATCTTACAATACTTTGTTCCCATAAAAGTACCATCTTTGTTTATATACACTGGCCCTCGCACAGTAAATTCGTTCAAAAGGCCAATCGTCTCCATCGAGGAGAAATATACCGTCTCACCAGAGGGTTCCTCTCTCTTTCCTTCTCTTCTCCAACTGAACGGGGTATTAGCAATCTGCATCTCCCAATCAAGGTCCAAGGCAACATACCCAAGCCGATTTACAATCGCGATATGCCCTAAACCACACGTCAGCCCCAATCCCATAGCCGTACAACCGCCCCAATCCCACAAAGTCCCAAAACATACTGAAAGTATTCTCCGCACATGGCCTTGTCGCCGTTATTCCTGTAGAGGCACTTGTAGCTGCGCTGCGCCGCTTCCTGGCACGGATCGTAGAATTGGCTCTTGGATTTGCTGCGAAGGTTGGCCGATTGTCAGTTTAAAGCTACACCTAGACAGCCAGCGCGCGCGGCAATTTACCCTTCGAAAATATTCTTCGTCTCCTCGTTCCAGGGACCCTTTTCGGCAGGCTGCGGCTCTGAAGACATCTTGTCGCTGGTGTTTGACATGATGAATGTCGCTGGTTGAGGCGGATGTTGAAGAAGCCGGAAGAATATCGGCAGCTCAACTTTGCAGCATTGACTTCAATCGTGCCACTGCGTTACGTCATTCTGCTTAGCGCTGAAGCTCTTGGTGAGATTTCACGTCGGTTGTCCTGCCATAACGCAAGAATAAATTACAATTCATGATTATTAGGGGCCAAAAATCTATTTCACGTCCAAAAATCTATTTCACGCCCAAAAATCAATTGACTACCGATACCAATTTTTACATGTTAATGTCAACATCTTCATCCCACACAGGAAGCTACTGCAGCTGCCTATCAACGGCATCCTGCTCGACTTACACGACATATCCAAATCTGCCAACCGGTTGATAGCATTGCGTGTCTATTTGCTGCATCTCAATTACAAAAATGATAAATATTTACATCACTTTAACCACGTTTGCAGCCTTCCCCCAAAAGTCTTCTGCTTCCCATCCACTGCGCTGCTCACTCTGCTTCTTCAAAGACTCCAGCATCCCTTCTCTTGCCACATCAATCTTCCGGACTGTATCTGTACTGCAGCACAGTCCAGCATCGACTTCTTTCAAATCATATCCACCGATCAAACCCACCGTAGCCAGGCCAAGGTAAGAGTGATAAATATCCGGCGGTTCACCAACAGCTTTGCCGAATCCGCCAATGACGTGCTGAGTAATGTCCAGCAAGTAGTTGCCAGTCGGCACCGCATCGTAGTTATAATCAGCATCAAGTAGCTAAAAATCAAATATTCCCTTTTGTTAGTGTTTCTCTCCAACAACAAGCATTCAGAGCTGTCAGACTCACCCTAAACATGCTACAAGCCCACCATGTATAGCAGGTATCAGCTCTCTTGTTCCATCTGCCGTTGAATCCGGTATACGCGCGCTCTCCACCAAGACTCAAATCTCCAAGTTTAGCCTCGAGATAGTTTTCTGTTGAGCCCTCCTCACTGGCAATGGCCTCTGTGTTTGACAAGTATTTGAATTGCCTGTGCGCGAGGAACTTGAGCAGCATGGCACGATCTGCGATGCCGCTGTCCATTGCCCCTTTCGCATTTGCCGGTGTACCAGAGTTTCTATCAAGCATAGATAGAGCTGAAATGGCGCAATACGCATATCCAGCTATACAACATTAGTATGCAGATTCAACTTTTCCACTATGCAGCAAATACTTACCGTGAGACTCCTCAGTCGAAGATTCTGCAATGCCACCATCATAAGTCTGTCACCACACAGTCAGCATCACAATCCCAACTTTATCAACATCTCGAGGGTATCAGAATTACCTGAAGACCCCTGATATACTCCGTCATCTTCTCCACATCAATATCCTCCACCCAATTCTCATCCCCCCTCTCAACCGAGCCTCGCAGCATCCATCGTATAGAGCTCGCCAGATAGCTGTGGCGCGTATCTCTTCCACCCGTTGGCTCACCCTCCCACAGCACCTGCCCGAAGCTCCCATCACTTCTCTGCAGCTTCTTCAGCCAAAGCAGAACCGCCTTGCGATCAACCCCAGCAAACGCCGAGCGCTGCTCCTCCTCCGTCTCTGCCGCCATGCCCAGCAGGATCAGGGCAAAGAAAGTAGCCGCTATATTAGCCGAGCCTTTGGATGCATTTTCGCCTGCCAATGCGTGAGCCGGGCTGCCACAAAAGCCTCCATCAGGGTGCTGGAGACTCAGGACCCATGTTCGCACTGCTGCCCGATCTTCGGCTGTGAGCGGCACAGACAAGATGTCGAGGGCGGAGATGATGAAGAAGGCAAATGTGAGCCTTGTTGAGTCGCTTGCAGTGTAGGCAGTTGGGAGAAACGACTTGTGGCATCGCTGCCAGAACTTGACGTGCTTTGCCTTGTCCAGCGTTGGCGCGCTCATTCTGATAAATGTATCGGTTGAGAATTGGCCGTAAGTTGGCGTTTCGGTCTTATTATACAGATACTACTGCAGTAAAGAGGGGAAACAAGTAGGTATTTATAAAACTACAGTTTGCCCGACAATGTCCATTGAGCATCATTACAGTAGTGACATGTTGTATCAAACTAACACTCTCGAGCTCCTTGCCGGCCCATGCATCCAGCTGCAGTCGCGAAACAATGCAAAACAATACTTACTACATGTACCTGCTCTCCACACACGAAATGCGCCACAATCACGGCGCCACAGACCTCCGTAAAGCCTCCAATAACCCCTAAAGCTCTAATCGATAAGGAACTATTAAAGCTCCCGGCATCACCTTGAGCTGCTCGAGCATATGTTGACGCCAATCCACCACTTGATCCTCCTTTCGTTTTCACAAAGGCTGGGTTCTTTTCTGCTTCTTCTCTCTTTTTTCTCATCCTTCTTCTTTGCATCATACGAGGAAGAGCGCCAATTCCTCGCAAGACAACCTACCACAAAGCTCGGATGCTCCGCGAAACCATTCATCACCAAAGACCGCTTGTGCCACGTATACGGAGTCTCTGAAACAGCCCACGATCAACTCACATCTTCCTACATGCGCTTATAGCAAGCAAACACTCGGCCATTTCCCGAAATCTCTACAAAGTCATCAAAACCCGTCCATCATGGCTCTCATATCCTCCACCACAATCATCACCTCCATCTCCCTCCTCCACCTCACCCTCGCCTACTTCTTCCTCATGCAACCCAAAACGATTGAGGACCAGGCATTGGTCTTTGTTCTCGGTGAAAGCATGAACATGGTACGCCTCCTCCTTCTATGCCTTGCGCTTAAATCTCCTGCTGACCGTGGTGACAGCCCGCCGTCCGTGGCTTCGATGTCCCAAGCCCAGCTCTAGCCCTCGTAGCCGTCGTCCTTGGCTTCTCCGGAATCAGCGACCTCGTCTCACTATCAATGCCCGAAGACTTCAGCGCTCTATACTACTGGGGCACCCAGGGTACGTGCCCATTGACCTCTTCTCTCCCCTCCAAGACTTTATACTGAACCACCAATAGCTCCTCTCCGCTTCTTCCTCTCCATGCTCCTCGTCTTCTACTCCTACACTTTCAACCCTACCTCGCCGCTATTCTCGTCCTCGTCCTCTTCATCGACAAGACGCCCAGGTGCCTCCCACAAGGGCTCCGGATCGGGCACCGACCACCTGCACAACAGGCTGCTCTTTGCATTCGCGTTTATCGAAATGATGGCTTGGTTTTGGACCTGGATTACCCTGCGGGAAGAGCGATCGGGCATTCTCGAAAAGATGAGGAAGCAGCATGAGAAGGAAGCGCACAGCCATTAAATCGGTTAACAGCGAAATTTCCGAATATTTCTTCGAATTAGTATTCTCGCATGGCAAAAGAAGCATCAAACATCATATCACACAGCAAAGTGTTGTTAAACAGCCATTCGTGGATATATCTGTGATTAAAAAAAAAATTTCAAACAAAGAAAATAAAACAATGAAATTTGTCTATTGACTTTCAGAATTCTAGCTTTGCTCAGTCTAAGTCGTAAAAGAATACAACGTAGATATCCATGACCACGGTGGGTATAGTACATATAAGAAATAGCTTTTTTTTTTACAAACTGACAATAAAGTCGAAACAGTAAGACAAGAGGAGAAGAAAAAAGAAAGGATCTTTTGCAATATACACTAGTGATTAAGCCTATCTTTCGCCAAAGTGGTTTCATTAAAGAGATAGGATATGGGGAAAAAGGGGGGGAAAGGGGGATGATATCAAAGAAACACATAAACCTTCTGAGTACCTATATATGTGTGTTCCATGTTGATGCTGTAATTACCAATCTGCTATCTTTGCAAGCAGATACACTTCGATTTTCGAGCTGTAACCAAGTTCATTAGTTGCTCTTTGTGTAGCAAAGCCACACTAAGCAAGCACTGTATTTCTAGGAGAAATCGCCGATGGACTCTGTATATCCGGGCTGTGTACCTCCGCCGTAGGAGTGGTTGCTTCTTCGTCTTCAAGGATCTGTTCTTCAATGATTTCGCCCGGGCCACCAACCAAGGGGCTAAACGCATCGACCTCCTCAATCTCCTCCTCTTCCTCCTCTTCGTCGACACCGCCCATGTGGTCTTCATCTTCTTCCTGGATGGTAATCTCTCCGGAATGTCGGCCCAGTCCCGAGGCGCTACCACTGCGGGAGTGAGAATGAGATCCGCTACCACCATTTCGATGTCCATGGGAGGAGCCTCCAAAGCTAAGACCCGGGCCCTTGAACAGATTCTTCTTTCTCTTTGCAAACATGACACCCGTGCCAAATGGGTTTGGTGACCCAGGAGCTTGCGGCTGGCTTGGCATGCCTTCGTTGTACATGTTCATTGTAGGAGCGGGAGCGGGCGGCATTCGAACAAGACGGATGTTGGAGGGGAAACCCGTGCCCGTAGGAGTCGCAGGTAGAACTTTAACAGAGTGGTGAGGCGAGTGTCCGCGAGCCAGCGGCGTTTTGGTAGTTGATACAGAGCCTGTAGAGCTGGTGGAAGACGCCTTGGAGTGGGTATGATGGTGGTGATGCATGGATCGCACTGAAGACACGGAAGATGAAGTCGATTTTCTCCCTCTCAAGCCTGCTGACGAGCGGCGGACAGTGCCCCGAGGCGTTAATGGTGATGGCGATAATGACTGGCGTTTATAGGCCTGCGACGTGGCAATTTTAGGCCTCAACGGCTGTTGAGATGGTGTCCCTACAGGCCCACTGATGCTTCCTCGAAGAGACCCATAACTAGATGATCCGTTGGCCTTAGCGACGAGACCGTTTGGAATGACTCCCTTGGGAAGAGGAGCAGTAGGATTTGCGCCTATTAAGCCGGTGTTTGGGTTTTTGCTCGTTTGCGGCCTGGGACTAACATCATTGATGCTTTTCGCGCTGCCTTCTTTATTGTGAAGATCCGGCACACTTCGACTGGTACGCCTTTCGTGCCCACGCCGTCTTCTCGTGGTATTCTCGATGAACCAATGAGTCCAATTCTTCCAGTGAGCAATTATGGCCTGGCTGGGCCTCTTCTTCGCTTTTTGTAAACTACTATCGTCCTGTTGTTGAGAACTGCTGGGAGGAGCACTGTGGTTATCAAGACCCAGCGATTCGGTGGTAGTGACGAGATGCAGAGTTGAGCCTCGAGATCTAGCACTTCGTAGAATACCCTCCTTAGGCGGCGGAATCGGTCGATAGTTGCGCGTCGTCGAGACTGAGCGGATAGAATGGCTATCGATGGAACGGTGGCGGCCATTTTCATCCGGAGTTTGCGGAGCATTCGAACGACTGCCATCGGCAGTAAAGTAAGAAACGTCGTGGATCGCCAAGTCGTAGTAGTGCGCACTCCTACGATCTGGTCTCCCTCGGGTCCTGGGCATTGCTGGTTCTCCTAATTTGATAAACTGCTTGGTTAGGCCGCCATCTTCGTCCACATCCTGCAGCATCCGCTCGAAACGACTTGACGCTACTGAGATTCGATGAAGGCTCTTGTCCATATCCTTTTCTCTCTCTTTCCTCTTTCTCTCTCTCCGGCGAAGTTTTCGTTCTTCCTTCTCAAGCAATAGCGTCCACCATCCAGCCAGGGCATTGCACTTTTGTGCCATGACGCTCTCAATAATGGCATCGGTGTCTACTCCAGCACTTCGCATACGATGTAGGCAGTCTTTCTCCAACAGGGTAGAAAATGGGGGCAGGGCTTTCGTTTCAAGAATAGCCTGTTGCGCTGGCGCATGCTCTGCTAGAAAAGGATGAGCCAGAATCTCCGGGAGTCCTGGTCGGAGTATAGGACGTTTCGAGAGAAGGGATTTGATAAGAGGAATCGCTTCAGCCGGACAGTGTTCGGGGAAGTTTGGTTCTTCAGTGAGAATCTTCGTTCGAGTTACGTTGTCGTCATCGTCGTCAAAAGGAAGCTCTCCGCAGAGCAGGGCGAAGAGAATGATGCCCAAACTCCACACGTCCACCTTTTCACCGGCATACTTCTCGCCTTTCAACATTTCCGGCGCCGAGTAGCATATTGTTCCACAAAAAGTCTGCAAATGATTTGTTCGGCCCTCGTACTCTCTCGTAAAGCCAAAATCGACCAGCTTCACGTTTTCGTGTGTATCAAAGAGAATGTTCTCGAGCTTGAGGTCGCGATGGACGCAGGACTGCATGTGCACATAGCTGACAGCGCCGACAAGCTGTGCAAAAATCTTTTGCACCTTTGGCATAGGAAGCGGGCCATGGTCGAGTAGGTAGTTGTACAGTTCGTCGCCTAGGGAAATAAACGTGTTAATTCGCTGCTCAGGAGGCGCAAAAGCAATAGAATAGAGCAGAGACCAGCTCTCGTGGTCAGTCGTAAGCTTTACCTGCACAGTACTCGAGAACCATCCACACCAAGTTCTCCGTCACAATAACTTCATACAACCTCGCAATGTGTGGGTGGACAAACTGTCGGTGGTGGTGGATTTCGCGGGCCAGATTAGAGTCGGTTCGATTCGCCGACTTCAACACGACCTAGAGTGGCATGATTAGCCAGGATCGGCATGTTACATCCGCCAATGAAAGAGGCACTCACCTTGGAGCCATTAGTGAGCTTGTGGGTGGCCAGATACACCTTGCCAAAGGATCCTTTGCCAATGAGGCGGCCGAGGGTGTAATTGCCGACTGATTTGAGATCATTGCTCGCGAATTCACTGTAGAGATTAAGGCGCTCCCGGTCAGCAAATCGGCAAGGCGAAAGGGGCGAGTGAAGCCAAGAGTCAGCTCAAACTTACTCTAAGAGCTCCTGGTAGGAATTGGCAAGCTACACAGCACCGTTCAGTTAGCCACACATGTCTCCATTGTCCAGCTCCTGCTCCTGCTCCTAGTCTGGTCTCGTCTCGTCTCGTCTCTTCCTCCAGAGCAGCGTAGAAGTCAAATCAACCTACCTTGGCCTTTCGTCCCAGCGCCTCGGCCTTCCCCTTAGCCGTCTGCATCCCTCCTCGTCCAGCGCCCGCAGCGCGAGCTCTCTTCGTCCCGGGTATAGATGGGCACAGCGACTTCAGGATCCGGGCCCTATGTCTTGTTCGTTCAGCGGCCACAGGGGACGACGACGGGCCACAACTCGGCGGTCCCCCTTTGCGAATATGCGGCGTCGGGCTCGGGGTCAGGCTCCGGCTCGGCCTCTGGCGGCGTCAATGCATTCGACGATGGCTTCAGGATCGCGTACGAGGCAAGGTCGTCGAGAATTGGCGCGTCGGGCGGCGAGGTGGTTGAGCAGGAAAAAACGGTTCCCCGCTGGGGATCGGACGCATGAGCTCCAAGCGAGATTGTCTGCCAAAGGCGAAGATGGACTGGCAAATTTCAAGCATGGGACATGGGACATGGGGTCCGTGACGGTGACTTGGCTGGGGCGCTGGCTGACTGCTGGAAGACCTGGAAGATACGGGCGGGAACTGGGTGCTGCTAGCAGCGTTCGGAGCGCGCAAGTAGCGGTACCTGCGGCTGGAGTACCTTGCGGGTGGCTCGCCCAGCTTGCACAGCGGACATGGGTGCCGCAGGGGCTACGATTGCGAGCAGTTAGACTACCCGTAGATGCTGCTAGCACCAGGTACTGCTACCGGATTCACATTCCACAGTGAGCGTGTTGGTCCCAGGTGCCTTGTCTACTGGCACCAACCGTTATATAAATACACAGCTGCAGAAGTTGCCGTTTCTCCACGCGTTTGCTCTATATACAGCTGCTTCTACTGTTGTCGACGCTGGCCACTGCGGGATGCCCCGAGCGGAACAGGCACACGTACCCGGTACTTCCACCGCTAGTACAGACAGCCAGGTCTAGGATTTGTGTCGCCAAAGGGTGGAGCCCAGATGCGCTGTGACATCTTCTGCAGCTGGTAAAGTGGCGTGGGTCGTGGTGCTATTCTTACTTTTTTTTCGCAGGATCTGCAGCAGCAGCATTTCGTTAAAAGGGGTTTGCGATTCTGTTCAGATTTCTTTGGATGCTGCACTTTGTTGACCATAATTCAGAGTCTCCACAAAGATATCATGGTATAATGGAGACGAAACGCCTTTTAAGTTCCACGTGGGTTGGAAAAGAGTTTACCTAGAGCTTTTCGCCGCTGTTAGTGTTTAAAGGTTGGCGCTAGCAGTAATTGGATGACGCTCATATGTACCGTTTGTATAAAAAAGAATGAAGTCATGGTCGCATGATCAGGAACGAAATAAACTCGGCCAGCGTAGATTGGGCATATGTGATATATTCCTTCTAGAAGCAGTAGGAGAGCGGTTTGCTAGCTACCTTGGACTCTCTAGGTGTAATAGATATGACCTTTGTGTAAAACGATACAGGGTAATACTACTACTGATCTCCAGAGGCATCACAAACACTTTATTAGCAGCAGAAAAACGATAACTTCTTAGGAGATTATTCAGTATGCACATTTCCAATGGCCATCATCGCCAAGTCTACCTAAACATAAATAAGCACTTTGCTATCGCCCTTTTCAAAGTTTTTTGGAACCCTCCTGAACTCCCATCCTAATAACATTGAAAAATGGAACCCTTTTCGACCAAAATCTCATGCAGCCCAAGTCTCCCGCCATACTGTACAACAACAACAACAACAACAACAACAACAGCAACAGTTAAAAACAGGTATTATACACACAATATGTGATACATGCAATGGTAGTCATCTTTTGCCGTCAAGATTTTCTTCGCTTAGGACTGATAAAACCCTTCCGCCATTACCGTTTCCTTGTGTCTTTGCCCTTCTTTTTCCCCTTCTTCTTATCCTTTGGCAATTCCAATTTCGTAAATTTCAGTTCCTCAGTCATGATAGAAAGCATATAGTCATCAATATTGCCCAATCTCCCGCCCCAAGCATTGTACTCCTCGATTATGTCGATACCGTTTTCATCCGGGCCATCTAGTATACCAATGCCGCCGTCAAAGATGGACTTGCCCGCTGGCGTTCCTTGTCGTGCTGTTGATGTGCCCGAGGTAGGTCCGCCAGGCTTCTCCGTAAAGTCAGCGTCGTCGGCGAGAATCTCCTTTTCTGCAACACGAGCGGCAGCGACGTCTTCTTTGTCTTCGGCCTGCTCGAAAACGCGGCCAACGCGGCGTTGATCGTTACTGCTTTCAGATCCGCCAAGAACCAGATCAAGAGCGGCATCCGCAGCAGCAACGCCCTCGCTCATGAAATCGACCTTCTCGCCAAGGACGTCTCTGACGGAAGGGCGATCAAAAGTATCCGTAGTGAATTCTCCCTCTTGGATAACAACGTCGTCTAGCATCTGCTTTTGTGATGCCTTGCGAAGAATATTCGCTTCAATGGTATGCTCGCTAACGAGGCGGTAAATGTGCACGTCGCGTGTCTGGCCGATACGATGACATCGGTCTTGGCACTGTTTATCCATGGCCGGATTCCAGTCCTGATCGTAAAATATGACCGTATCTGCGCCCGTCAGGTTAATTCCCAGTCCTCCTGATCGAGTGGACAAGATGAAGCAAAGAATGCGCGAATCATGGTTGAAGCGATCAGTCAAAATTTGACGTTGTTCAACTTTCGTGGCACCGTCAAGTCGTAGATACTTGTGTCCATGAATGTTCAAAAACTGCTCCAGAATGTCGAGCACCTTTGTCATTTGCGTAAAGATGAGCGCGCGATGACCGCCACTTTGTAGCTTGCGGAGCAATTTGTCCAGGGCTTGCAGCTTGCCGCAGTCATACTGAAGGAGGCGCTTGTCGGGAAACTGAATAGTAAGACGCATTCGGGCTTCATGCCAGGGATCCGAGGGGGGCTGCTTGGGCATAAAGGGCGCCCATCGCACTGGTGCTGATAGCTTGAGGTCTTCATCCGTAAACGCCTCGATGCCCTTGCGACCCAGAATGAACTGGTCGAGGTCTCGAGTCACGACCGCGGGCGTGACGCAAGAGAACTTTTCAATAGTAGTCTTGAGGCTATCGGCTCTCTGGTCGAGAGATGGAGTCAATGCTTGCACAAAGGCCGAGTCGGACTCGAACCAGCCCATGATTTTCCGGGGTACTCGAGGCCGAGGCTTGCGAAGAGGGTTATGGGCGTTGATATTTAGTAATGCAACGACATTGCTCCCATAGATTGGCCTTTGCTGGCGACGAAGGGCATTGAGATAGACACAGTGCTGCAGTTCTTCAAAGCGTCCCCATCTGGCAGCACTCTCAACATAGGCAATATTCGATTCTACCGTGCCTGGATCAAGAGTTGTGTAGGCGTTTTGCGCTCGACTCTTCTGTGCTTCTCGGAGATCCATCAGTATGCGGTGTGAGCTTAATTGGGCAATGCTATCAGCCTTCATCGTAGACAGATGCTCGTGCTTTGTTGGTACTAGATTCAGAAAGGCTAAATTGACAGAGCTCATTGGGCTTTCTGCGAGAAAAGAATGCTGCACAGCCCTCACTGCAGCCTCATAATCTGAGGTTACGGATTTGCGCATGCGGAACGAGGTCATGATAGGACGGTCGACAAACAAATCGGGATGATTGCAGACCTTACGAAGCTGCATCAGACAATTGATAATGGAGAGATAATTGCCAGACGCCAGCGTGTTCCTCGTGTCGCTGCGTGCTAAAAACCCATCGTACAGCTCACGCTGACGCTTTGAAAGCCGGCAGAACTCGACATGTTCGTACTTGGCCGGCATTTGCTTCTCTACGTCGGCTTTAAGACGCCTAAGAAGATAGGGGCGTAAAACTTTATGAAGCTTTCCGATGATGGCCTTTGCTTCATCGTCCATTTGATCTCTTCCATTCTCCAAAATTTGTGACTCAGGTTTGCGAAACCAGTCATGGAACTCTTGCAGATCTGCAAATCCTCCAACACCGTTTTCCGCAGGCATCAGGAAAAAGAGTAGCGACCACAATTCTGTCAGGTTATTTTGCAGAGGCGTTCCGGTCAGGAGGAGTCGTGAGTGTGTATTGAATCCCAGCAATGTCTGCCACCTCTGCGACTTGAAATTTTTGATGTTGTGCGCTTCATCTAGGATCATGTAGTGCCATCTACGGCGTCTAAACACCTGTTGATCTTGGAGCACCAGCTGATAGGAAGTAATACAGACGTTCCAAACATCGTCATTGTTCCATCCCTGTCGCTTTCTCTTTCGTTCTTCTTGAGAGCCATAATAGGCGAGTATCTTGAAGCCAGGACACCACTTTTTGAATTCCATTTCCCAATTCAACATGACGCTGGTGGGAACGATTACAAGATGGGGGCCCCAGACTTCGTGACGGCAGGCAAGGTGCGCCAGCAGCGCAATGGTCTGAATCGTCTTACCAAGGCCCATCTCATCTGCCAAGATGCCGTTGGTATTGTTTGCATAAAGACCAGCCAGCCAGTCGAGGCCTTGTCTTTGATATTCGCGTAGTGTTCCCCGGAGGAGAGGCGGAACTTCAACTTTGTGAGCGGAAGGCTCAAGTGTCGTGACTTCGTTAGTGGCGGCAGGTATTGATTCCGCTGGCTCAGTCTGTTTCTCTTCTAAGGATGTTTCGTTATCAGATGGCTTTGCTTCTTCCAACTTGGCTTCTACCGCCGTTGGTAGCGATGCGTCGTAAGAAGTATCAGAGTGAACATTCGTAATCTCAGTTTCAGGATGCGCGGATTTGTCTGAAGCTGTAGTGCTTTTAATCTCTTCCGATTTCGATGCGTCGGTAGCTGGCGAATGCGCCGGAGCATCAGCCATTATCGTGTCCTGATCAACATTTTCCAACTCCATGTCAGTATGGTCTGAAGGAGGAACATCCGGCTCTTTGGTTTCATTGTCAGGCTGTTCTGCGGTTTCCGTGTTGTCTGGCTTGGTATCCTTTGTAGATGGAATATCATTGGTACCATCTCCGTTTTCTTTTGCATCGTCACCGTTTATTGAATCAGGGTGACGGACAAGCGACATTTCATCCTCATCTTCAAATTCAGGGTCTGGCTGCGTCACGTCCACCTCGGATTCAGCGACTTGAGCCACTTCTTGCTCAGGACTTTCAGCCTTTGCTTCACCCTTTGACATTGCTTTAAGCTCCGACTTCCCAAAGAAAAGCCCAAGCAGCCCACCGGCTCCATCTTCGGATCCCGATTCATCGCTTGACCCTTCATCTCCGGATTCGCCACTACCGTCAAAATCAGTTGAGCCTAGGTCGTCGTCCATGTCTACTGATTCATCGCTGGTCTCGGCATCTGATCCTTCTGCATTCCCAGGGGTCTCTGCATTCTCGGCGACCGACTCTGGCTCCTCAGGGGCTTCCAACTCAGGTATATTGGCGTATTTCGCACGCAACTGTTCCTGAGTAAGGCCTTCATCTGCCGCGTCCTTGTGGTCTTCATCTTCTTCATCTTCAGAAGAAGACATCATGTCGCTATCGTCGCCTTCGTCGCCGCCATCACTACTACCACCCATCTCTGCCGAAGCCAGACGCGAATCGTCATCTTCGCCGTCGTCTCCGTTAGCGCTGTCACTTAGATCATCAAAGCCATCATCCTCGTCGTAGAGAGATTCAGAATCTACACCTCCAGCGCGCCGAGCCTGCAGCTTCTGCTCCGATAAACTAACGGCTTGGTTGAGAGCAGCCTTGACCCTTTTCTGCTCATCTGCTTCCCATTGTGCCAATCGCCGCCGATTCACTTCTGCTCGAATATTTTCCCAAGTGCCAAAGAGTGATCTGAGAACAACGCGGTAGCGCATTAGCCACACGGCTCTGGCTTCTGCTTCTATCTCTTCAGCTGACTTGGGCTGCCGGCGCAGCCATTCTTCGCGACATGCTTCGGCAAGCTTCTTAGCCACCGATCGATGTCGTTGTTGTTCTATAATCATGAGTTTTCGAAAGTGGCTTGCAGCCCTTGTCATGTGATCCTGACGAGCCCATTGTCGTGGTGGTTCCTCTTCTCCTTCAGGTACGAATAGTGAGCATCGTTGAACAGAAAGGAGCCCCCCCGGTTCGACCTCGCGCTCAATACGAAGAACCATCCGCGCATCGGTTTGCGCCATTTCGTCCGTATAAGGGGGTCCATCCTCAGACATCAAAAGGCCGCCCTCCTCTACCGGAATACTCCCAGCTCGATCCCAGAAGTCATCGAAATCTGTCCCTATTCGTGGTCGCTTGCGTACTTGGTCTGGATGAACCAAAGGAATCACTGTGAGCCGAGGCCCAACCTTGAGCTTTAATCGCGGTGATTTGCCGGAGCTCTCAAACGTATTTTGTTTGGTAACGCTGGTCGGGGTATCTGGCGCAATTGCGGCTCCTCTTCGTGTGCGTGTCGAGTGTCTGAGGGATGGCGGAGTGGGCGAAGGAGTTTTTCGACGTGAGAGTCTGGAGGATGATCTAGGTTCGGGGGCAGCACCCCTTCTAGAGCCATATCTCGAGTTCGTTTCGGAGGGAGTAGAATGAGCTGGCGTGGCCTTGCTCGTGGGTTTCTGTTTGGATGCGCCACCTCCTGCGGCCTTGTTGGACTTGCCATTAGGCAGTGGGCTTTCCTTGAGCACGTTTCCAGTCGATCCATTGGTAGAATGCCTCGTTGTGCGCTTCGTACTGGGCAGCTCGGCTGGGACAGGCTGCGAATTGATGCGGCCAGATTTGCGCCGTCCGTTCTCATGGTATGATGTTGGCCCGTCAGCCTCGATCTTCTTCCACGGTGGCGATATGGGCTTCAGCTTTCGGATGGCAGGCGGTGGAGGAGTCGAATTCCGCGTTCTCTGCCTCTTGGCCGGCCGCTCGCCGTCGTTGTCTCGATGGTCGTCCATGGCTTCGGCTGTCTGCAGCACGTGGCCATTTGCCTGAGCAGGCGTCGCGTCGTCGTGGACATGTCCATTCGCATGGGATTCCGCAGCGGCATCTCGGCCGTCTATCTCGACGGGCGGCGCGTCACTTGCGTCAACGGCGAGGGTTCTGTTTGCTGTTGGTGATGCCAGAGAGTCCGCGTCCGGAAGCACATGGTCGGGCGACGCGGTCTCGGGCATAATAGCAACGTGGAGCTAAGGGACGTCGCAGGCTTAATCTCTGTGAGGCTATCATTTGGTGGGGAGAAATGGGTGTCTACGGATTCGTGGCGATTCACCGAACATTCGGACAGAATTTGCACATGATCAGAGGCCTGGGCGGAGCGCTGCAGCGATTTTTGCGAGCAATTCCCGTTTCCTCTGCAAAACTTTTGAACGGGAAGAATCTCGACGGCGCCATGTTGGGTGGTGCGGAATGGGATCAAGGGCACTGGAGGGGTTGGTGTACCTGGAGGGTACCTGGAGCACTCATGCGGCAGCTGAAGCTCTGCGGCGCCAGCTGGGCTTTTCAGCGCTGGTGGGGCTGCTAGCTGTTGTATCCACAAGTATCTGGGTTCTCTCAGGCGGTCCGAAACAAATCCCGTCTGTTAACGGGTTTGAGCAGCAGTCACCACGGATGCCTGAGGCACAAGCGCTTGCAGTCAATCAGCAGCAACCTCAAATCTACCAATCTGGTAGTCTGTTGAGGTCATTACACGGAGAGCCATCCCGTTACGCAGCAATTGGGCGCTGAATACCGCAGTCAATTCGCCCAAGGTGAGAGCGAAGCCGATTTTACTGATTTTGCGACCGCATAAGCATTCGGGCGAACAAATGGACTGATGTTTCATCTCTGCAGATGCTCCCGCAACGACTTGTGCGAGCTTCGGCTCTGCGCAACACCCTAGCTGCCAGCCGAAGACTTCCTACGATCCAGCGACGAGGCTTTTTGCCGTCTCAGTTCTCCGACAAGAAAGTGATTGACGAAAAGTACCCCGATCCCGTGCGACCGAGCGAGGCCGAGGACCCTGGCATGGTTCGTAATGCTTGAGCGCTGTCTGAGCGATGTTTGTGCAAAGAGTTATGGGATTCTAACTGCTGGCTGTAGAACGGAGGCTACATCAACCCGCCCAAGATCAAGCGACAGTTCCGCGACCCCTATGCCACCTGGTGGGACCCTCAGGAGCGACGAAACTTTGGTGAGCCGGTTCACGAGGATAACGATACGCTGGCCATCTTCTCTCCATGGGAGTATACGTGGACGACTTCAGGCCCCGGTCTGATCATGGTTGGAACATTCATCGCCGTTTTCCTTTCAGTTTCAGGAGTTGTGTATCTCAACTACCCTGACCGGGTTGCTTACCCCAGGGAGTTTGAGAATGGCTTGGAGCGAGAGTTGGGCGGCCCGGGAGCCGTAAGAGTAAGCTCAATTTGATATTTCCTCGGCAAATGCAAGGTAGACGATACTGATCATGATGACTATAGGCACGAATGACTGGCGATGCGGAGCCGTAAGATAAATCGTCAAGTTGTATATAATAAAGAATGAAAAATGTTTCTCCTATCTGACGCATCCTTCTGAGAGAAAAACATTGGCACATGGAGATTTGGATCCCAGAATACGAAAGAAGAAATTCGACATTCGAACCTTTGCTTCAAAGTTTAATGTCCTCAGGCCGCGTCCTACTAACTGGCTTATACGACACAGCATTTATTTCCGAATGTTCGAGTAGTGCCCGTACTCGACTTGGGAGTATTGAGTCTTGGTAGCCAAAACAAGTGGAAATCAGACCCTGCTTATCAATCCTTGTTCTTGTTTTCAAGTTGAGTAGATGATGCTGATCCATACTGGTTTCCAAATGCCCGTTGTAGTACTTGCTGTGATGTACCTTGGGCACTTTTAGGCTGATATCCTCATCGATTGCTCTTATGACAATCCCGTAGGACCCATTATGAGATAATTATTACATCTTCGAAAAAATAAAGCATTTCTGCTGCGAAATACTGCTGGTACATTGCATCGACAATCGCGTTATCTGGAAAATCTCGCCACCGCATTCTGATATAAGTGCAAGTCTTCTCAGGGGGCTCCCAACTTTCTATATTGAGGGGGCGACTTCACCGTAGAACCTCCCTACGGCCGCCGCAGTAAGCTAAGTTGCTCAATATTTCTAGCTCTGTAATCTCTATCATTCACGTATTCTTCTAAACACTTTTGCCTGCTTTCCTGGCGACTAGGACGTTGCAGGAAGCAGCGAAGAGCTCCTCTTTGAAGCATAAGCGAGGTTCCGGTCAATTAGCCCGGCACTTCGGACGAGCTGTTGCCAATTCTGCAGCTGCTCGCTACTCGTCGAATTAAAACCAGCGGGCTTAATGATGGGCCGATAGCGTTGCCCTGCCACTTGATAGTCGCCTCGGTAGGTATCTTGAGCTTGATCATATTGACAAGCCTGATTCTCCCTTCTTAGCCATCCTTGGAATAGTAAACGGCACAGTTGGACTCTCCAAGGCCTTTGCTCGAGGCATCTCCTCCGCATCAGTGTGACTCTTTGCCTATATTTTTCTGGACCTACCGGCAGTGCACTCTCAATCTCGCAGTTGCAATGCGGTTCGACGATTGGGATATTCTGCTCTTCCCCAGAGACTGCAAAGTGCCAGTCAAAGAGTTCAAAGTGGCCTGTCATGCAATCCACGACCCAGGTATGTGATTTTACCCCTACTATCTTTTTTTCCTTGGACGTTGTTTTCTATATCACTTGCCTGGTGCTAATGGTGCTAGAATTCTCCAATCCGCATGGCCCATTTGGCCTGCCCACAGTCTGCGGGTTTATTCCGAGTTTAGCTGCCGGAACTCCTTTCCAAATCTCGATCCATTCCTGGTCTGCTCCGTCTGTCAGCCAGTTCACCAGATGCTACAGCAAATATGGTGAATGTGCCAATTTTGAGGCTCGGGTGTTTGTCGACGGGCAACTGGTTGCGTATGCAGATGATTTCGCGCTGTCGGCAGCCCTAGCTTGCTGACATGTACCTCCTTTTTAGTTCTGCGTCTCTTGATAGGGAAAGTGATTGGCCACACGTTATTATTCACAGTTTTGGTATGGACTAAGGCTCCCATAGATGTGTGTGTGTGCGGAAAAGCTGCTAATTTACTACCACTCTAGGAATGTCAAAGAACGGAGACTTGGAGCCTCTTCGGTTCCCCAGCTTTCGACAGGAGCTTCTGCGGCAAAACCATTGGAACCCGGCCGATGACTTTGGTCGAATCAAGATTGTAATCAGCGAAGGCTTTCCACGGGACTCTCTTTCTATGCCCATTGAACGGGTGAAGAATGTTGTCGCTTTCTCTTTCCAACATGCGCCTCTCGGTAGTTTGATCTCATCTTTCTCTTACCAAAGCTGCATACAGCGATGCTAACGATATCAATTTCCAGAGATACTTGAAGCATCTGGTATCGCGTGGCCCAATCCTTCAATGTGGAGACGGATTCCAGTTGCTACGTCGATGACTGTCCCCAGCTACCCTTCCGATGATACCGAATCGCACGCTCACTCGCCGAGAAGAAAGCATAGTCGAACCAATGCAGGCCTGACCAAATCTTCGACAGAAAATGTCCACAAGATTATCACCAACCGGTCCCTTCGGCTTGGGCAGCGGAAAACTAGTATGCAGAGCGGCAGCAGTCGCTCTACCTCTGGAAGCACTAGTACCGGCACAATGGAGACTGTCAATGATTCGGATGCATATTTCGATTGGCTGAACGGCATGGGCCTCGGAATGCCTGACATGTATCGACTTAGAGAACAAGAAAATTTCCCGGATATACGCCAAATTGGAAGAAAGTCATCCAACGTTAATGCCCAAGGCCACATGGTGGGTAAAACCTCTTACTCGGGTCAAAGATTCGGCTTGCAGGAGCTTGGAGACGAAGAAGAAAGCGACAGTCTTGGTTACTTGAGAATTCCCAGTGAAGCGCTGGATTTCAATACATCTTATAGCCAAGACATGCAAGGTACGGACGGAGAGGAGAGAGTCAAGTTTGCATTTGATAATGACCTTGACTTTGAGCGCACAGGGCTATTTCTGCCTCGGATTCCGCAAGAAAATTCGCTATCGATCGATTTCCAAAACACTCTGGCCCATTCGCTGCTTAATCAACCAATGCCTGCTCACATGCTAGCAAACAATCTTCATACCACCTCTGTTCCGGAATTAAGAGTACCCCGAGAAGATTATATCCCTCAAACGGCAGGCCCATCTCCCTCAACCACATCCTCAGTATCAGCTTCCCTGAGAGATCAATTTGAAGTGGGCAAGACTGCACAGCATCCATATACAGCACGCAAAGCGATGTTGCGAACAGAATCGTTTGACTCCAGGGTGCGTACGTCAACTCGTCCAGACGCCAAGCAGCATATATCTTCTGTTCTATCGACTCAAGAAAGTGAACCGGTAGAAGAGTTTGCTATGGAGAATGCGGCAACACACACGGGCGATAAGGGAGCTAAAAGGCGCCGCGATTCGACTTTGACACCCACAAGTGCTGCAAAGAGCGACGATAATCACAATAGATCGAGCCCAAGAGCTCGCCTCACTGCTTTGCTAGCACACAGCCCAACTGCCGACTGCCAGTAAACAAGTATATCAATAGTTGATGATTCTTGTTCTGCCATTGTATCCACCCGCACATAAGCATATGGATCAAGGGATGGGAATGTATTAGAAGAGATGTTCTGGTGGGATGTTTATTTTAAGACAACTTGTCATTTTTCAGGTAGTAAACTAGTACGCCCTTCTAATGGAACTTTTTGTCACAATTTGAACCTATCATAGGTGTATTAGTGCTTAGGTATGTGAATGCTGGTGTTCGTGCTGCATAAGCCGATATTTTCTCATAGTATCCGATTTCTGCTTATGATTCAGGCATATGCCATCAAATCATTGGAATCCAATGATTGAAATCCAATGATTGGATGAGTCATAGGCCATGAGGGCTTTTTTAAGCATATCCTCTAAATTATCAGTCTATCTGGATTATAGCAATGCTCAACCTAATACTCTCTTCCTGGCTATAAGTTGTTCTGGCATCATCCGAAGACACAGCTCTAGCATCAAAGAAGCTAAGCTTTGAATCAGATGGAATTGTTCAACGGACAAGACTCGGAACTTGGCCCAAATCCGCCACTAATTTGGCGTATGCTTCAACAAATGAATGTGAGTTTTTGTTTATACGCCACTAGCTGGAAGAGGGATAGTTGTGTCAGTCAAGTACATAAGACTGACTTTAGCGATATCAGCATTTAGATTTGGATCAGTTGCCATTTTAAGAGCCCGGTGTCAAAAACACAGGGGGGAAACTCAAACACTACTAATACCATGTAATGAACGCGTGGCAAACTACCTATTAGCAGGTAGCAGCATATTTATTACTTTTCCGTTGTTACTCGATGTTGTTCGGACGTGTGTGTATTTTTCATGCGGATGCTGCCATTCTGGGTTCTGCTGCACTTCGCTTCTCTCGAAGCGAATTGTCCGGGTCTGCCGATTCCGCGATCCGGCTGCGAGCCGGGGAGATCTACCCAATACGGAAACCTAAAGGATACGACTAGACAGAGATGATGACTGATCTTGATTAACTGCAGTGGTATGCAGGTGAGATTTCTAGGCGCAAATCGAATGTTCTAACGGTGATGGGTTGCCGGAAGAACTGGAGAAAATAAAAGACCGGGCGGAAGCATTGCTAAGGACAACATTAGTTGAACTATACACACCCACATTTACGTAGCTGTATGTCTTGGACGACAAAGGCGTGTTGATGATTGGGCGATGGCTTGGTGGCGCTCGGCGGCGCGGAGAATCTGAAGTTTCGGCGATGCGTAATTTCTTAGGCGTGGCTTTGTAGCTGTGGTGAGCATTGCGGCTGAGAATTAGTAGAGGCGAAAAAAGGAAAATAGGGGGGCTTTCATGGGAGAGATATATGAAGATGGTGGGAGCAGTGAGTCTGACCATTGTTAGTGTTGCGCTCGGTGTCGTTGAGCTTTTGATGTTCAGTTACACGGGAAAAGACGAAGCCTGTATGGAATGTGGGAATCAAGACTGTCAAAAAGGCAGTAGCTAATAATTGTCCTGCTTGAACGGCACGCCTCATCTTCTTCGTCAGCCCTTGTTGCAGTCACCATGAACATACAACCAGGGCCGAGGCTGTCCCTCGATCTATCCAAGTATGAGAAGCTCGATGCAGAACAGGCAGGGCACTTGCGACATTATCATAACCTAGCTAGCCAGATGGACGGCGAGTGGCGTCATATGGGAACTCAGGAGCCGATGCAGGAGTTTCTAGATGCTTACCGCTACCAGCTCGCCATCATGACTTATGGTGTCGGAGTCGCTCATTACCACCGCACACCTGCACTACGAAGTACACACAAGCCCCTCATGCGCCGTCTAATACACAAGATGATGCGGCGCGAAGTCTGGTCGTACTGGTTCTCAACCAGCCTCTCGGGAAACCGGACAGATCCTGGTCGGACGCAGTTGCGAACGCCTTGGGCCGATCCTCTGGTGAAGGAAAACGTCATGTATAGCGGGCATCTCTTGATGATGACCAGTCTATACGGCATGCTCTTTGACGACGATGAGTTTGAGAAGCGGGGGTCCCTGTCGTTTGTCTGGGATCCTCTGTTTTTTGGACTTGGACCGGAGACGTTTCGCTATGATAACCGGAGCTTGCAAAATGCCATCCTTTGTGAGATGGAGAAGAATGGCTGGATTGGGGTCTGCTGCGAGCCGAATTTGGTGTTTGTTGTTTGCAATCAGTTTCCTGTAAGTTTGCCTCGATGGATACCCTGTATCAGTTGTGAGAGTGGCCAATAGCTGAGAGTCTGTATAAAACACAGATCATCGCGATGAGATACAATGACGCTAGGGATGGCACGGATGTCTCTGGAAGAGTTTTGGAAAAGTACAGGGCGGCTTGGGATGAAAAGGGCATGGTTGACCCAAGCGGTTTATATGTCGACTGGTATTTTCTTCGGCAAGACAGGACGCTGGCACCGAGCAATATTGGTTGGACTGCATGGTGAGTGCAATTCCTTTTACCCCTTGCGTGTACGTTACTTGGCTCGGCTACTGATACACATTTCCCTAGGGCAAACGCCTATATGAATACTTGGAACTCGGACAAGGTCAAGTCGTTGTATGACTCGCAGTCATACGGCTTCATCACCAAGATTGACGGAGAGGTGCAGCTTCACGAAGAGAAAATCGCTCTCGAGTACCGGAAACTCGTCGATACAGAAGACGCAGACAAAAATGACGCTGCGGTCCTTGCCCGGGCTCGAGGCAATGCCGCCGCCCTACCGCCGTCGTTTCCCTTTTCTCAGCCGACCTTTGGCTACGTTGTCCAGTGGCTATCAGAATTAGGCAAGAAGGAGGAGCTGGACGGGCTGCTCAAGTACGCCGATAAGCATCTACAGCCTACATGGGAAAACGGCGGTCTCTTCTATCCCAGAAACGACGACCGAACAAACAAGGCCGGCGAGTGGACACACATGGATCCCTTCTCCGGCAACGCGGCGATTGGATATGCGCGTCTCAACGTGGCCGACGGGCAGAAGCGGATTTGGGACAATCCCCGCAAACGAGGCCATGTGGCGACGCACACGTGGATCGACGGCATCGAGCTCGGCCAGGGCATTGACTGTCTGCGAGGCGTCTGGGACAGCGAGGAGAGCGCCCTGGTGCTGACGATGAAGACGTGGGATGGGCGGAGTGTCACTGCAACGCCGGTGGCGACGAATTTACCGGCGGGCGAGTGGGCGGCGTTTGTGGATGGGGAGCTGGTGCAGGAGGGAACGCTGGAAAGGGGCTGCGATTTGAGGGCGGCGGTGAGGGTTGGTGGTGAGGAGGTGGATGTTGTGTTTAAGTGGATTGCGGGCTTGAGTTGAAAGCGCGGCGTTGGCGATGTGTTGGATTACTTGTTACCCTGTATTATTAGTTGATGCCTTGTATGTCGATTTTAGCTATCTACTAGTAATGGAAACAATGGGAAAACAGAAATAGAATGCCCGTTAATTGATGCTATTTGCGGTGCATAACGACTTTGCATTTATCATCACTTTTATATCTCTTGAGTATAGCAACATGAATAAAATGAGTCGTCTTTTTGGTACGTCATCCGCACCTCCAATAGCTCTCTTAGCTTAGCTCCCATTGATTAGAAGCTCAGGCACCCGATATTAGCAGCTTAGCAGCTTCCCAGCAGGCTGCAGCAGGGAGACATCAACTAAGAAAAGAAAAAAACAGCTTGTTGAGCGATTGGACCATCCTCTGTAAGACATTTGCAAGGTATCACGTAATAAAGCGTCCGGGATGCGAGATACAGACACACAACTAGCAGCACGGTCACGTGGGCTACAGGTCGATCGGAACCGCGTGTAAGCGGCCGAAGCTGATCTCGATTGCTTCCATCACCGCTCCTACACTCCGAGTTGAGTTGGAGATTGCCAGGCTCGAGTCAGACAAGATGCACTGGACTTCAGCAATTGTGTTTCCGGCGCTGTTGGCGCTCGGCGCAGCGCAGCAGCAGCGCCCCCTGTCAGAGGCCAATCATTCTGGCTCATCGCAGCATGCCAGCGCTGACGCTCCGTCTTATCGGGGCGAGGTGCTCCAGCTGCTCGAGTCGCTGGTCTCCATCCCATCCATCAGTGGTGAGGAGAACGAGGTCGGCAGCTTCCTCGTCGATTTTCTCAAGCACCAGGGCTTCAAGGTCGACATTCAATTCGTCCCTCCGCCAAATGACAAGCCTGATGTGCCCGATAGGTTCAACATCTTGGCATGGCATGGAGACCGCAAGTCCAACTACAAGACACTGGTGACGAGCCATATTGACACGGTCCCTCCCCATATTCCATGGGAAATCGAAAAGGGACATGTTTCAAAGGACACCGTCATCAAGGGCCGAGGAACAACTGATGCCAAAGGCAGCGTCACTGCCCAGCTCGTGGCGGTGAACCACCTGCTTTCGACGAACAAGCATGTCAACCCCGAGGACATTATTCTGCTTTTTGTTGTTTCGGAGGAGACTTCCGGCGACGGAATGAGAGCCTTTAGCGATTCGCTCAAGCACATGAACCCTCCTCTTTCTTTCGACTCTGCCATCTTTGGCGAGCCCACGGAGAACAAGCTGGCCTGTGGCCACAAGGGCGCTCTTTTCTGCACTGCCGAGGCCAAGGGCAAGGATGCCCACAGCGGCTATCCCGAGCTGGGCAAGTCGGCCAACGAGCTGATGATTAGGGCCATGAACAAGATCTTGGATGCAGATCTGGGGTATAGCCCTCTCTTTGGCAAGACGACATTCAACGTCGGCCGATTTGACGGTGGCGTCGCTTCCAACGTCGTTCCAGCAAAAGCTTGGGTGGACATCTCGGCTCGTGTTGCTGTTGGATCGGAGAAGGAGGGCCAGAATGATGTGCGCAAGAAGATTTACGATATTCTTCAAGAAACAGACCCCGAGGCTTTCACCTTGAACTGTTCTCATGGATATGGGCCGTATGAAAGCAACTGCGATGTTGAGGGTAAGCATAGCCTTGAGATGTTAGTATGTTGCAATGGTTTGATACTAATCATCAATCTAGGATTCGAGCAAATTGTTGTCAACTACGGCACAGATATTCCCAATCTGGAGGGCGACTATGTCCGTTATTTATATGGACCAGGTAGCATTCTCGTTGCTCACGGTGACCACGAGTACGTCACCGTCGGCGATTTGGAGAAGGCGGTTGAAGACTACCAGAAGCTGATCCTTCACACGCTGGGCCAATGAGGAGATTCCAAGTCATAGTCGGGTAATTTTACGAAATTTAATCTATTGAACACTAGACGATGTGTGCGTCAAATCATTGCTAATGGAGCTGTTTACTAACGCTGCTCTTTTAAACCTGAACCGGTCAAATGGTATCTACGCTTGAGATGCCTATCCTCTATTTCTTTGCTCTCTTGTATCCCTATCCCCCTCTTTCTTCAATCTTTCTTAATTAGCCACCTTGGCCCATCGTTCAGGCAGAATCTTGCTAAAGTCAAAGGTGCCATCGGGCCCCTTCTCTACAGCACCCTTCTCCGTCACAACCACATCAATGAACTCGGCGGGAGTAACATCGAATGCAGGATTCCAAACGCCAATCCGCTGGTCAGCCGTCGCAACGCGAACCTTGCTCTCTTTATCCACCTGGCCATCAGATCCAACAACCGCACCAGTGATCTGCGTCAGCTCCTCCTTCTTTCGCTCTTCAATCTTGATGCCGTCGCCGGTCTTGGTGTCTAAGTCGATGCTTGTCGTGGGAGCGGCTACAATGAACTTGATGCCGTGGTGCTTGGCCAGAACAGCCAATTGGTAAGTGCCAATCTTGTTTGCGGTGTCGCCGTTGCGAACAACACGGTCAGCTCCTACGATGACAGCAGCAATGTTGTTTTCCGTCTTCTTGGTTCGGAATAGGGCAGCGGCCATGGAATCTGTGATGAGCGTGCTGGGAATGCCCTCGTGGACCAGCTCGAATGCTGTCAGGCGGCTGCCCTGGTTGTAGGGTCGAGTTTCGGTGCAAAAGGCATGCTTGAGGAAGCTCTTGTAGTGAAGCGTACGGATGATTCCAAGGGCTGTTCCATGTCCCGAGGTGGCGAGTGCGCCAGTGTTGCAGTGTGTCAGCACAGAAATCTGTTGCTCTGCTGAAGCGCCGGCTTGAGATTGGAGCCACTGAGTGCCAAAGTCCCCTATTGAGAGGTTGTTCTGGAGATCCTTCTTGAATATCCTCTCTGCTTCTTCGATGAACGACTCGGTAATGGCGGTCTGTCCCTTTCCTTCGGTGGTTCGGATGACTGCCTTTAGCTGGGCAATGGCGTTGGACAGATCGACAGCTGTTGGCCTGCTCTCCTTCAAGTAATCCAATGCCTCGTCAATGCGCGTAATAAGCTCAGAGTCTGAAGCAGCCGCAATGGGGTTGTTATGCAGCTCGACAGCGAGCCCCAAGCTGGCTACAATCGCAATGGCCGGGGCGCCTCGCACTCGCATGGTCGCGATGCTGTCAAAGGCCTCTTGTCGAGTCGAGACGGGGTCATAGTGGAATTCGTGGGGCAGGCGAAGCTGGTCGAGGACCTCCAGCTTGCCTCGCTGGTATTTTACAGCTTCTAGGGCCGACATCTTGAAACTTATGTTATGAATTAGAGTTATTTTCGTATTGAAACGACGAGTTGGAAGTGTTGCGCCTCAGTTTTTTTCGGTTTGTCCTTTTCACATGAAAAATGTCTGGTCCAAATGCGTCATGCCCCTCCTTCAAGAATTCTGCCGCACCCCCCTCCTTGCCACTAACATGCCTTGGAGCCGCCACGTTTGTTCCTGGATAGCTTGCGTGCTGAGCGTCTTTTATAACATCATTCCTCTGGTAGTTGGTTACATGCATGCTCTAGAAATAATTCAGAAAAATAAAACAAAAATCTAACATGAATAATTACGTAGCAGTCTACTGGAATTAGAAGCTCTGTAATTCCAGTGAGAAACACGCCTCTCTTTACTCTGTAGCAGCTGCTTCACCGCCCAGCCATCCGGAGTAACACAAATTCCGATTAGATCAAGCTCCAGAGCTGCCATTGGTAGCTGGCGATCCAGGGGTCATCCTTGTCCCTGCACCTCGACCATTGCGGCCAGCTCTCTGTCGCATTGACATCCCGCATCTCAGGCGGTCGACAATGCCAAGGACAGAGACGACCTGGTTGCCATGGAACAGCAGACCTCGACTTCAACGGTAACAGGTGAGAAGGGCATCTGTGAACACAAAATCGACGCCGTCAGCTAATTGCATTGCCCTATAATCTACGCAGTCGAGTACTTCGATCCCCACGATGTTTACAAGCTCCTGGCCCCAGGGCTAGTCCCCCGCCTGCCCCTTCATAACCTGCACTGGCAGTCTCACTCCGGGCCGCTTCGATCAATCGATACCCTGCACGTTGAGCTGGTTCGGGGAAGCCTTGAAGTCCCGGAAGCCACCTTGTCTCCCACAGCGCGACGGTCGGGTAGTGTCCCGAGGGTCGAGGATGTCTTGCGGTCACGGAGTGTTAGTGTCTCTACCGACTCGGGCAGAGCTCGAGCGCCGTCTCTTCGCTCAAAAGCAAGCGGTAATCTACGACGACATCAAATCCCAGGACTTCGCCGAACGCCATACCTCAAGCTCCTTCTAGTTCGATGCGACGACAACGACTCTTACAAGAACTCGGTGCGGGCCGAGGTCCGAGAATGGATCAGGAACCATACTGCACCAGCGACGTCTTCAAAGAAAGGGAGTGGCCAAGAGAACCATGATGCGTTTGAGTGGCTTATTGTCCATGTTGTCATCCCCAACACCGCAGCGTCGACTCAACCCAGAAGTAGCGGCAAGTCGGACAGCACGGAGAAGACTACTACGTCGAGATGGCGGACAGGGACAACGCCCCTATTAGAGAAGCTCCGATCCGATTTCAACACAACAACCAAGGGCGCCCAAGATCGTGTTACGCAGATTAGAATCGGGATCAATGACGTGCCATACGATCTTTTACCTAGAGTGGTTCCAGCTGTGCCATCGGGCTACAACGAGACAGAACAGGATGCCGAAAATGCTTGGAATGATTTGATAGGGAAGATCAAAAGCCAAATTCTGACCTCGTTCGACATGCGAGTGACCCAATACGAGGAAGATATTCGAGAAAAGGACGCCCAACGAACTCTCCCTGGCTGGAACTTTTGCACATTCTTCATCCTCAAGGAAGGGTTGGCGAGGGGCTTCGAGAGCGTTGGACTTGTCGAAGATGCGCTAGTGGGGTATGATGAACTCAACGTTGGGCTGGATACTGTTATACACGAGCAGCTTGAAACGGGCTCACCAGAGAGACACGGTGGCGAAATGGCGGCTTTCACAGAAGAGCTCAGAGATATCGCAGAGCGAGCGTTAGAAGCTGTTACTAAAGACAGTAGCGACGAGGAAGGTGATGGTGATACTGAATCGAACGCTGCAGGACCCCGTTTTGGAGAGATTGCAATCAGCTCAACCACAAAGGCATACCGAGACATGATCCTTGCGAACAAGGTGTCCATCTTCGACTTTAGATGCTACATCTTTTCTCGCCAGATCGCCCTGCTTCTGAGACTGGGAAATGCGTTATCATCCAAGGAGGAACTAATTGCGATGCTCAAGACCCAACAAAAGGATATTCTCTATGGCGAAGCACCTTTAGCAATGCCACCGCCGAACCAAAAAGATGAGCCGGAGAACCTCATCACTTTTGCCGACATATGCCAGCGCACATTGCAATTTATTCCATCAGTATCACAGATATTGCGGCAAGACATCATTGTTGGATTGACAGCAAACAAGACGCCAAGCAAGAAAGTGCCAAGGTTGAGCCCCCAAGCGGAAGAAACAATCGATAACATGGTGGCATCGTTTGCCTTTTCTGTCGCCCAGCAGATCCTTGCTCAGACCTCTACAAAAGCGCTTCCGATCCCACCCTCTTCGCTGTCTTATGGAGATGGGCTCGAGCAGAAATCTTCCATCCCGGAACCCAAGACGATGATCCACCCAGCTCGCAACTCGTCGCTCTCGCCAAGATCAGGAATACCGCCGCCTCCACTCAGCCCAGGTTTCTTTCCCGGGCCTGGTAGACAATTACCGGCCGGGGGCGACGCAAAGGGCCCGAATGGCTTTCTTAAAACTGGCTTGGAAGATTTGGCGGCTCGACGAGCCGAGTTGTACATGCTGTCTAGAAGCATCCTGTCGAGCCTCGGTAAGAAGCGCAGCTGGAGTGACGGCTGGGACGAAGCCCCTTTGGTTCGGGGAGTTGGTATTGATGACATGGAAGATGTCAATCTGGATGAAGAGGACCGTGATGGTGAATCTGAGAATACTTCTTCGTCAAAGAGCGCCTACTCTCCGTTGATGTCTGGTATTGACAATACTGTGCTGCGGACTGCAGTGGACAACAAGGATGACTTTTATCGGCTGTTTGAGATCCTCACAGATAAAGCCATGCGCCACTACACCGTGGCCAACCATGATCACGCAGTCCACTCAAGCATGGCGGATTTGGCTGTATTGAAAGTTCACCTGAAAGACTACAAGACTGCTTCATCCTTCTTTTCTCTCACTACGCCATTCTTTGGAGAGAGCGGTTGGAGCTTGCTTGAGCTGTCTATGCTTATCATGTACTGCCAGTGCCTGGATGACGTGAATCCAAAAGGCGAGCATGTTGGCGTGGCCTTGAAACTTTTGACTAAATACTGCTCTGCGGAGAAGGAGCGACTACAGAAAAAATCAGGATTCAGTAGCTTTTCGAGGGATAAGACATATCCTGATGCTTGGCCAGTCACTGGCATAGTAGAAAAGCTTACGAATCTGGCCAAGTCGTTGTCAAAAGAAGTCAAGGTTCCTTTTGAGAGCTTCTTCACTGACGTTGAGATAAGCGGATTTCCAGAGTACGAGGACAACCAAGACGGCTGCTCTCTGAATATTAGTATCAGGAGCCTACTGCCTGAAGATATCTCTTTTGACTCTGCAAAGTTGCGAATTACGTCTGTTGATGAGGGGCCAAGCAGAGAGCACATGTTTGAGGCGGCCGCTGGCTCGACTATTACACTGAAACCGGGAAAGAATAAGATACGACTGGACTGCAAAGTGAGTTGAATCAAATATATCGCAAGTACGACGTGCAAAATGCTAACACTGTTTTTCTTCTTTCAGTCTGTGGCCGCAGGACGTTACAAGATAGATCGAGTGGTCCTTTCGTCGAAAAATATCATGCTGCACTTTGAGCGTGATGCGAATGCTTCTTCATCCAGCACAACAGATATTCTGAAACATGCCGATGTTATGCTCTTCCAGCGTACCGGCACGTTTGATGTTCTCATGTCGGCTACCAAACAAACGTCGCTGGACAAGAACAACTCCCTTGACCTAGCAATACATGCAGGGTGGAATTCTATCAAGAATTGCGAGATTCGAGTGAAGCCGGCAACTGGAGGTCTACGCTTTCTGACAACAGAAGCAACGATTCTGGAGGACTCTTTGGCTGAATTTGCCAAACCACCTGAAGCTGGCGTGTTTTGTTTCGGTACCATTGCTGCCAACACTGTGGTGACAGTGCGATTCCCGTACTCTGTCGAGCAGGACGTTGCAGATGTTGTTGCCAAAATCGAAGCTACATACGTGACGGAAGCTGATGATACATATCGACTGGCCAAGTCCTTATCAGTGCCTGTGTCTTTAGCAGTCGGCGTTAATGTCCAAGACGTTTTCAAGCACCAGGCGCTTTTCTCTCGGTTTAATATTTCTACAGCATCAGCTGGCCCACTGCGGTTATACAACAGTGAGCTTCAAAGCTCAGCTCTCTTTGAGTCTACGTCTGGCGTTGCTCCAGCAAATCCCGTCGTCATATTCAACAAGCAACCCGCAAGTTTGCTGTTTAAAGTAAAGAGAAAAGAAGGCGCGAAGCCAAGCAGTAAGGGCGGTAGGACCATGTACCTGAAGCTTGACTATAGCCTTTTAGAAGTTGAGATGGAGCAACTGATGAGGCTCTCTCTAACGACAGCTTTCGAGGCAAGCCCCCTGACTCAGTATAGCAAGCTAGTCATTTCAACGGTTTGGAGCGAGTTCAAGAGCAAGCTGGTGCCACGAGACTTTGAGCAAGCTGCCATCAAGGGAGAGATGACAACCGAAAGCTTGAAAGGTGTGGCATGGGAAAAACACTTTGCTGGAATCGGCGGGGCTCCAGGGGCTAGCGAGCATGCGACCGAAGAACTGTCAAGGCTTCTTCGAACTTGGCAAAAGGACAACAGCCGTCTTGTCATACCATCGAGCGGTACAGTTGACCTGTCATCGATTCTCATTCCGGTAGAGATTCCGGCTCTGGCAGTTCTCCACACGGCAGACATTCATCTGCAGAGCCTCATCCCCAGTCCCGTACCCAGCAATGCAGGCGGGGGGCTCCCAACGGTGTGTACGAATCAGATGCTCCCGGCAACTCTACACCTCAAGTGGACGCGGATCTGGGACAACGACTCGTCAGTGCGTGACGACCAAGAGTTTAGCTATGAGGTCACGGCGCCGGCGGATACATGGCTTCTGGGCGGACGTCGAAAAGGCCATTTCGTGATCCCGGGGTCATCAGCGTCATCACCAGCGGAGACCATGACGTCAACACCAGAGACGGAGGCTGAGATTCCACTCATCATGATTCCTCTGCGCGAAGGCTGGCTCCCCTATCCGCTTATCGAGATCAGAGAGGTCGTCAACACAGACGGGGATGGCAGTGGTGGTCCAGGTGGTGGTCAGGCCATGATGGCTCCGGGATGCGAGGTGGACTTGAGGAATCTGGGCGAGACGGTGCGAGTGGTAGGGGATAGGAGCGGCATGACGGTGAGCCTTGACGCGAGCGGCCCTGGGGGGGGCCCTTTGGTGTTTGAGAGCGAGCGGTTGGCTGGGTTCAAGGGGAAGATTGTCGAGTGAAATGCCATCATAGACCTGGATGATCTCTTTCTTCTTAGACGCACAAGGTTCAAAGCTTGGCTGGCATGGAGGTTATTTTGACTAGAATTACTTCTTCTACAAGGTTTTGGCGAGGGTTGCCCGTCGTTAGAATACGTTGACCGTATTTTCCGCTCTTCTGTATGCGGTAATGCCATGGAATTTCAAGCGCAAGCAAAAGCAAGTTTTTGACGGCCGTTTTGTGGGTGCTAAGCTTCCGATCGTCCATTTGGCTCGGCCGTCGGTTATTACAACGGTATCGATTCAGTTAATGATCTTCATTAAGAAGGTTTCGAACCAATTGCTAGAGGAAACGCAGGGATATGATGGTACGTGAGAAGTCAACATGTAGGCAAGGGGTGTCGATGATCAACCCAGAGTATGACTTTTTTTCAGCTTTGCCCGGGTTTTTTTTCTTTTTCAATGAAAACTGGCGTGAAGAGGCATAACCAACACTTTCATATCAAAGGTCGGAGACTCTTACATCTCAGCACCCTGGATCCCGAAACGTTTTGACCATGCCGATCAGTTCCATTTATGGGCTGCTGTGTACTAAGCCAATCCACGCCCCCCCCCCCCCCCCCCCCTTGTGTGTAAATGTACGTACCCGTTGAGATGGGCGTATGTAGTTCTTGATTTAGCAGTAAGGTGAAGGTAAACGTGCACATGCTAATGCAGTCTATCGGACAAGGCCGGGGTAAGGTATAAGGAGAGAAAGGCGATTTGGCATATGCGCATTGAAGCTGCAAGCTGCAAGCCAGCTGTAAGTTACTCCATAATAAGCTTTTCCCGTGCTGCAGTAAGGGGAATAAAAAAAGGATGGTGAACTCCTAAAAGGCAAAAAGGGTATATGTAGGTTGGACGACAAAGGAAAAACGCCACAAAAACAGCTCTTGTGTGGGGGAAGAATGGCTAAGAAAGAAGAAGAAAGACAAGCTTGCATCTGCATCTGCATTGTTTTTATTTCCGGTCAAATCACACCACATATGCCTTTCCCCCCTTGCATTCTCTTTTTTTTTTTGAACTGTACTTTGTATATGTAAGGGAGTTTTTGAACCGGGGCTCGGAGATGGGGGCTACATGCAAGTTGCATCGGCAGTGGAAAGTGCCAAGGCCTTGTTTGTTGTAGAAACGTGCTGCATATGCGTGGCGTTGCGTTGTACGCGTGTTTAGTATGCGGCAGTAGAAAGCAGCGGGAATGGCTTGTGAATTGTAGTTTGAATGATGGGCATTCATCGCAATATACTTGATACGTGGGACTGAACTCGCAGAGGATCGCTTCTCCATCTGGAAATGAACCCCATGACATGCATCCAGGGCATCTCGCGCAAACACCAACGAAGCAGCTCAGCCTCAGCAAGCATTTTTTTTTCTCACACTGTCTCAAGTACAGAGTACAGCAGAGCATACAGTACGTACCGGTGCGGAACTGGCAACCTCTTGTTCCTTCGTTACGCCATTAAGCAGGGATTCTGGCCCCCCTCCTCATTTCTCATTTTCGCTTCTTCAGACACAGCACGCACACACACACAAGATGCAGCGTCGCGTGCAGGACTAGAGGGCGGCAGAATCGGGGACACACATACACGAGAAGTGAGAAAAAAAATGAGATGCTATAGAAGAGGAGTGAGCGGGATGCGATACAAACCCGATGTGCGGGGCCAAAAGGCTGGATTCCTTATGGTGTAGTGCATGAAGAAACAAAGAAGGCTCCAGAGAGGAAATGTAAAGTTTTTTTTTTCCCAGCGCCAATGATTGACCATCTTGGACAAGAAATGGTTCATCCATTGGCAAGTAGCTGAAGCATCGTGAAACGAAGCCTGACCTGCGATTGGACGTGACGGAATCCTTCCAGCAACAGACAGACCACCTGAGAGACAATCAGCCTTTCAAGGCGCTGTACATCCACTATAACCCCCCCCCCCCCCCCCGCATTGATACCACTAACAGTCCTAGCCCACAACCTCGCAATTACGTAGCGGTACTTGTTCATGTAGGTCCCAAGACCCCTAATCGAAGCCAGCCCGTTTCTGTCTAAAGAAAACACTGCATGTGGTCCCCTGTTTTTTTTTGTCCCTCTTTGAACGAAAGGATCTATTGTGCAACGTGAATCATCTGCAGTGCAATGTTTCAATCTCGAAATCCCTCAAAAATGTTTCCGAGTAACAAAGGGATAACGAGAAAAAAGAAAAGAAAAACCGACGTCATATTCCTAATCTTCAAGGGGGGGGCGATCCCGCCTTGCGCCTCACAGATCTTCACGAGGCAAAAAAAAAAACGCCACTCGGCCACCCAACCGTTGTTCCGACCTGAGCGCGTTACGAGATTGAAATAAAGATGCAAAATATTGTTTCCGCATAGCTCTGCGTCATAATTTGAAAAAAGCGTCGGAGTCAGGTCCGAGAGAGTCGTCGTCACCTGTCGTTTTCCACCCAAAGCAAGCTGCCCTTACATCGCTTCATGCCCCCCCCCCCTTGTTTCAGCTCCTCCAGCCCTGCTGCATGTTTTTTTTTCTTCGATACCCCTACTTTTTGTGTGTCATGTGTGTACCTACAAGTATATATGCCGGCAGTGGGCAGACACATTCTACAGGTACCGACTGGCCCTGCATCCCATCCATCCATCAGAGAGAGAGAGAGCCTGGGCCGTGTCAACTGTGAAATCTAACACATCACATTATGCGCCAGCTCTGTGGCCAGTGCTTTAGCTCCCCTCTCCTAGCTGATGGCAAAAAAATCAGAAGATTGAAAGAACAGGGAAATATTGATGTGTCACAATATACAAAAATACAACGTAGCGTGGATTCTTCTCGTAAAGGGAAAAAAAAAAGACTATTTGCGACACCATGAAAAGATACAAAACGCCCCCCTTGCCTGTTTTAGCCCCCCCTCGTCGTTGTTGTCGTACCAAACTGACGACATCTGTCTCCGTAAGAGCCTCCTGCTCATCCTCGGTGGCAAACACCATGACATCAGATTCCGTTCCCTTCACGGTTGGAATTGCCGCAGCGTGCTCCTCGTCTGTGTAATTGTAATTGCAATTGCAATTGCAAAATGTGCTGGCCTTGTGTGTTGGTTTTGGTGTAGGTATTGTACAGTCCAACTCACATCCCCCAAGCAAGATCCCACAGTCGAGCACGAAAAGTAGAAGCATCCAAGTAGTGTTTGAACAAGTGTTTTCTTGACTGTCGAGTTATAGAGACAAAAACATTTGAGACCAAGATCTTATTTCCCCTTGTACAATAAGTCAGATACATGTTTTCATTTTGAATATTTTTGATTGGTTTTTTTTTTCTTTTCGCTGCCAATTCCCTCTTCCGTCTTCCCTTTCCCGAACCTTTCCAGTATCCGTCTACGCTGCTCCATGCAAAACAAATCACAGATCCCTCAAGGACCTGCCCTTTAAACGCCCGATAGATATGATCTCCCAGTCCCAGTAAGATGAGAGCCTGTAAATTGTAAAAAGAAACAAACACAAACAATAAAAAAACACAAGACAAGACAGTTGTAAAAAATGACCAACAATTGTAAGAACAATGAAAAGAAAATTCGCAAATAAGACGCCCCATACAATGACGAGATGCTGCCATAAAAGGTGTTGGCGCTCATAAACGTTGCTCAGAATCCCCATATTTCAAGGGTAGTGTACAGTAAATGTCGCTTTTTCACAAACATGGTGTGGCCGTAACGACAAGAAAAAGAATATAAAAGTAAAAAAAAAAAAGGGAAGCATGTGGATCGTGGCGGCAAAATGCAAAAAGAAAAAAATTGTTGTTCAAAGTCTGGGTATCATGAGCCCCTCTCCTTTTCTTTCTTCAAAAAGGGGGGCTCGGAGCGGCGCCTTTAGAAATACAATGCTCCAAAATAAAATAACTGAAGCGCCACAGTCTTTTCGTGGCGCGATGAATGGAAATAGCCCAAAATCTTGGTTTTTGCTTTAGGAAAGACGGGTCGAAATCAGCCTTGTCGTTATGGGTAGCTGTGTTGTAGGTAGCTGTTGATATGAGATGACGTCTGTTTGCGTCCATGTATTTCAGATGGTGATTAATCCAAGCGCAGAACCAGCAGGTCAACTTGACTAGAGCCACATGTAGATGATGTGTAGTTGTCAAAGGTGGCTTATTTCTTTCCTCGGCTTCCCGTCGCCGTGATCTTGCTCGTGCTCATCAAGTCACCAATGTACTTTTGAAGAAATTTGTTGTTGTTGTCGAGCTTGTCGTGCTCTTCCCGTACCGCTTCGATGCGGTTGAAGATTGTGAGGAGCGATTCTTGCAGAGCCTTGGCATGCCTACAGTCCACATTGGTTAGTGTCATATGCGACAGCTGTCCAGGTTGGCATGTACTCACTTTCTCAGCTCCTCGCGCGCCTCCTCGCCCATCTTGTTAATGTCTTCGTTGGTCCTCCGCGGGCTCATGGGTCGAATGATTTCTGGTTCAAATTGCGAGCTATCGCGAGGGCCAGGGCGAGTGGGAATGGGCTGGTGGATAACAGACTCGTTCTGATCGGAGGGAGTTGTGGACGCTGACGAGTCTGAGCGCTCGATGGGGTAGGCACGGCCGGCATGGCCAGCAGAGTGGTTATCGTGTTCGTCGGACATTGTGTATTGTGTTGGTTGATGTAAAGAGAAATATTATTGCGATATATGAGTGGTGTGATGTACGAGTGGTGTGGTCTGGTGCTGTGTCTGTTGTCGTCTAGTCTGTAGTTGGTATGGCAATGAGCCTTTTTCTTCTTCCTTGGGCTGCTGTCTAGCTACCCTCGATCTTGTAATGCTCAACACAGCTGCGATTAGAGGACAGTCAAAAGCTGGCGAAGAGCTGTTGCTACCACGTGTATGCGTATATGCGAGAATAAAAGGAGCCAAAGGCGGAGCGAAAACAAGGCGGGACAGAAGAGCCGTAAAAGTAAAGCGGCGAAACCAAGTTGCAAGGAAACAAGCTTCAATCAGCCGAGGCGGCAACGTGAGGTGGTGCAAGGTTCTAAAAAAGGGACCGGGATGGCGGAGAAGAAGGTTTGTCGGTAGTAACTCGTGTTTGGACTTTGTGCGAACTCCTCGTGACAGTCAGACGGGCCCCTCGTTTACTCGGCGGCTCAGTCAGCGTGGAGTTGTCGATGCGTTGGCGAGAAGAGGGAAGATTAGGCAACGCCGAGTGGCTGCGCTGTGTCGGGGGGTCTTGGCTTGTCTTGTATTGTATTGGATGATGGAGGAGGGTGGGAAAAGGCAAGCGAAGCTGGCGAGGCAGAAAGAGCAGCGTCGACGGATGACGAGAAAAATCGGGTTCGTGCGCAGAGATGGGCCTGCGTGGAGAACTGATTTCAGGAAAGCCGTGGCCTTTTTAGCGGTCAGCCCCCCCGAAGGACAAGGTGATGATGATCTGCTATAGCGTCGGGCGATGGCACCAGTACCTAGAGAGCTCTGTGTCTCCTTGGGCTGGGGGTCCCTTTTCCAGCGTGTCAGGCTGAGAGGTGAGGGCAGATCTCCGAGCTATCGCTAGTTAATTAGCTGCGACCCAGTGCCAGTCACCAATGTGGGCTTCTGTCGACTCTTACCCGTTTGCTCGACCTAGTTGATGGACGATCCGCCAAAGCGCCTCTGAGCCAGCTCGCGAATCGAGGGGAGAGGCTAGAAGGCAGAGAAGCAGAATCAAGGTTGGCGCTAGCAATCAAGGGTTCTTTTTTATTCTTGGATATTGGATATATATCCTGCAGCAGACACGAGGCTTCTAATTTCCGATCTGCTGTGCGGTCCCTGTTTGGTCTCCGGCTTCTTTGGACGGCTTGTGTGAAGAGGAGTGCGTGGGATCAACGGGTTTGACGTTTTGACGTGATGGAACTCTGCCCTCGCCCACGTACCAGTTAGCATGCAAGTACCAATATTCTGATATGCGCGTGTATCGGCAACAAGAGGGAAAAGATTCTCGGGCCCGCTGTCCTAGCTGACAGGGACGTACTTGGCAACGCAACACACACTGTCTGCGACGGAAGGGATGAAGAGAAGGAAGAAAATTCTATCTCGCCGGAGTATATGTAGCAACGGAGGCCCTTTGGGACCGGGTTTGGGAGCGAGAAAGGGGGAGTGCAGTGGCTGTGGGTGTGTATCTGGGCTGGTCGATAGCACAGCGACCGTATAGTTGCTGGAGAGCGAGCCCAGCACAGCACAGCACAGCACAGCACAGTTCGCAGAATCGCACTTCAGGCGGTGAATTGGATGAATTTGGGAGGGGTGGGGGATGCCCACCATGAGAAAAACGCGAGCAGGGGCCTGCAGAGCTCCGGCGACGGGGTCGAGACGAAAAGAGAGACAGTTGGGCTTCCATGGCCATGTCGATGGATGGGGAGGACCCTTTGCTCGAAATGAGCTACAGGACGCTGTACCGGAGACCTTGGGCATGTCGCTACGGCAAGCGTGCGCGCACTGACATGTACTGACGTATTACAGCCGCGCTGCACCCGGCTTGCATATACGCCCCGGGTCTCTTTCGTGTACACCCTCGCAGACAGTGCCTTGTGTAGGTAGGCACTTTCTGCGGTACTACTTGTACGGTACGCTGCTCGCTGCCGGCGGCGCCTCCAGGCACGCTGTAGGTGTGCTGTACGGAGCGGGCTACAGGCAGACACGCTGCTATAATGCTATACGCCCCTCTCATGCTGCACATTACAGACACCGCGTGATAGGATACCGACTGGAGCAAACAGGGACTGAAAAAAACTTTCACAAGAAAAAGAGACAGCGAGGGCGTGGGGGAAGTGCCAGATCAGCCTCTCCTTTCGCAGCGGAATCCATTCTGGCATGGATGTATCCTGGACCCTTGCGCGCTGGATCCGTTTTCCTACTCCCCGCGATATGGCGATGGACGATTTGAGAAGCGCATTGCAGCCCGCCTAACTCGTAGCGCCTAGTGCTGCTTTTTAGCCCTTCTAGCGCCCCTCTTCTGCAGAAGTATCACCGCAGTGCCGAGCTAGAAACAGCACCATGTTTTTCTTCGCAACTTGAACTCTCACGGTCAGCCACGATAGCGCTATTATGCAGCCCGCCTAGCTGCCGGGGGGAGCTGGAGAGAACAAAGAAGCATTGATACGCATTACCTAAGATTGTTGAAGAAGGAAAAGAAGACGATGAAGAGCAAAAGGGACAGAAGACCTGGCTCCAGACGTTGGCTGCGACATCAGTGGCAGTAAAGTAGTAGTACAAGTACAAGCAGTATCATCGGCTGCTGAGAGTTATCGCCGGTATTTGCCATGTGCTGGCACCAAGACGAGACCAAGACATGCGAAGTCGGCACTCACAATTTGAGAAGAGAGGCGATCAATGCCAGTGACGCCATAGCATACAACACCCCTTAAGAGGCGCCAGCGAAGACGCCCACTGTACAGTACTAGGCGGTACCGCTGAGGGGTGGACTGTATGGCACGTGTCGCTGAAGGAAGCCTGCATCTCACACTGTATCCATCGGCAGAATACAGCGGCCTGGGTACAGTTTCTTGGCGGCCAGAATGCACCGTATGATGGGTACCTGCCAGTAGCGGGCGGTAGTAGAAAAGCTCTGCTCACCACACCCTGGCCGCCTCCAAAACCCAGCAACCCATGCCTCCATCGTCAGTTTTGCCAATGCTGCTCCGGATATCACCACCATGCCCACTTTATTTATTTTTTCAGTCAGTTTTTCACCTCTCCCGGCAGATTAGCTACAAGTGCAGTATGCCACCATTCACTTTGCTTTTGCTCGTGGGGCCAGTCTGAAAGGTTGACCTGCGAGCATCGGTTGGACACATGTGCTGCCGTCCATTACGAGCTTCATCAGTGATCGGCGCCCTCCTGCGACCCGTTTTCGCAAGCGACTTACTCAGACCCCAGGCACAATGTGTTTTGCCTGGCAGCTTTTTGCCCTTTGCAACAGCAGCTCGAATCTTGCCATCCCGAAACCCCGGCGTGATCCTGTTCGGCATGGCCTTTATTATCGCTGGCCTTGACGACGGAAGAAGCGAGAAGAGAGGTGTTCCATCTGACTTGCGTCATTACTAATCTGCAAGCCTCAAGGTTCGACGGCGGATAGCCCACATGAGCTCCCTGTCGCCAAAGTACATCCTGTACAGAAGCTGCTGCTGCTAGCTCTACGGAGCGCTGCTCCGTAGCGTTTGGCAAATTTTCTCTGCTCTCCGCTTTGCACGACGCGATGCTCCGTAGTCAACCGCGGCGTCGCAGCCGGCGAAGCTACAGGCAGTCTATTCCCCAAAGAAGGGGGTGAGCGGAGCCGTCGTCTCTGCCTGCGGGATTGGACTGGCAATCAAAGGGACTCACTGATGGGCGATATCGTGAGGCGTCTCGCTCGTCGTCCGGCCACGGTGCTTCGACCCCCTGCCGTCACCCGGCTCTGATGTTGCGTCCAACGCTCTTGGAAACGAGCCTTGCCCGGACAGGCAATCTCCCAGAAAATGAGCTTGACGTCGGCCCCGCCTGATGTCATGGATCGTCCGCCTCTGTCCAACAGAAATGCGTCGAGCAGCCGCTCCACCAATCCCGCCCCAGCCGCTTTGATGGAGCACCAGCGCCAAAAGTCTGCGTGACTCGCAAGCCCCTCGCGGCTGGTGCGAGGTACTCCCTACTCGTCTTACAGTGCGTCGCCGGCTCTCCTGCACATGGCTTCTAGTGTTACTGACCAAGCCTTCCTAGCCAGGAATAACGTCCGAAATCACGATATGCTTTGCCTTCATGCCAGAGACTCAGCTGCTCGCCCCGTCTCTATCGTGTTCGCCTCATCCGAGGGCTAAAAGTGACTGATGACAGGGCGTGCCCAAGCAGCTACATGAGAAAAAAAAAATCATTCGCCTCGGCACCTTATCGTGAACCCTTTTCGTCGTGATTCATAAGCCAGTCTCGTCAAAGCATCGTGTACGACAACAACTCATAAAGCTACGGGGCAAGTCCACTATTTGCAATCAAATGCTCTGCTTGAGACACCTTCCCAAAACCATTACCCAGAATTTCACTACTAGGGGGGAGGGGGGCGAAGAGCAAGAGAAAAGCCAAAAAAGAGAGAAGAGAAGAAAAAAGAAGGATTGAAATTTGCGGCTCTTTGATGCCTGACAACGCACTCAATTATGCCTCATGGATCCCGAGCTGCCTGCCTAGCTGCCCATCACACGGTAAACTGCTTACAGCCTCTGCTTTTTATCTCATGTGCATTGTGGCGCTGGCACCCATGTTTATAAATGTTTATTTTGTCTGCCTGCTCACGATGCTGCTGTGGCTAGTTTCGCATTTTCGCTGCCAGCCCTGTCGTTGCCATCTCGTGTTAGCCGAGGGGTTCTCTCCTGACACAGAAATGCCCATCACGTCTCACGCCTGCGTTTATCGTCACAGCTTGCCAACCGGCACTTTACAGATCGACAAGACTGCGAAACGCTGTTTCTGGCCAATGTCTGCGGCCATAATGCACTACCCGTCGCTGGCATCCAATCACGCAATCCCTTACCAAGTACGAAAGTACATACAAACGGCAATGTCTTCCTTTTCATGACCTCTGGCGATCGGCCGCCCGCCATACGCCTACCTAACACAAATTCTCAGAGCAGCCAGAGGCGCACCATGAGTTGTTTGCATTGTTCCTGTTTCTCACCGAAAACACACAGCCCTGGTCGTCTTCCCGCCTATCAAACCCTAGACTTCCCCATGACAATGAGTATACTTGCACACAGCTGGAGTCGTACAGGCCACAGGCATGGCATCCTTTTTGCCGGACAGGCCTCGTGACAACAGCCAGTCATGTTGTGGAACCCCACCTGAGAACTCTTTGTTTCACTGAAGCCGTTCATCCGTTTTGTGATTTGAGTAGTAATACCCAGCAGACTTGCTGGCTTACTAAGTCACCTTCCTTCATCCCATGTCCCTATGTCCACCATGAAGCAACATCTCAAAATTAATCTCACGACTCCTGTGAAACGAGTAACTGTATAGCTGTTTAATAATCCCTGGGCCTGTTAAGGTCCTGGCGTGACCGCCAAGGCTGCTTCGGCACCAGCTCGCCAGAGCCCTTGTGACTCTTACCAAGTAGTACTAGGTAGTTGCCGCAAGAAGTCAATCTTCCTCATGTCCAACCTAGTAAAGTCAATAGTGTCTGGGCGGCTCTCTTCCTTGGCCCCCTCACAAGACAATTGAAAAGTCAAAACTGGAGGTTTTATTCAACATCTCGGTACCGACTCATCTACCGCGACCACTTCACGGTCCGCCTCAGCCACGTACGGCCCTTGCTGGCTCTTGTTAGTGGTGGCGTCTGGGATTGGCCGAGTTCAACGCCATACGGACCGTCCCAATCCATCGTGTAACACAAAACTCTCGTCGGTTGGAAATGAGAATGTCACCCCCTCTTGGTTGCTGGAGCGCTTTTCCAGAGGCCGCCTGCATATGCCCACAGCTCTACTATCCGCGATTGGCCCTACAGGGTGGTGATGGAGAGGCACGAAGCATGCACGATGATAGCAGTCACACCAGTTCGGCCACCAAGGAAGGGCTGCTCTCAGCCAGTCAAGGGGTTCGGATGTGAAGGGTGTTCTTGGCGCGTGACAATCTTTGTGCTTCACAGCCGCTCGCTACGGCCCTATTTGGTAAAAAGAATGGGAAGCGAGAGGGAAGAAGAGGATGACGCCGTCCAGGTTGCCCCGTCCCCTTTTTTTTTGACCTACTCCTTCCAGCCATCACCAGCACCCTTCATCCAGTTTACACTGACCAACTGTAGCTGGTGCTGTTCAACAAACTTGGCAGCGTCAAAGGAGCGCCTTTGAACAAATTCCTCGCCTCCAACGTCTTCCTTTGTAAGAGCCAGGCCATGGGGCTCGCGGAAGAGCAGGAACAGATACCGGTGCGGTTTCGAGCTTGGGATGTGTCGTTTAGTAACGTGTCCAATAAGGCTTGTTCATACAGAGCTAAAAATGGCATGGAAGAGAAGAGAAAAGAAGGCTATTTTCAGGTGATGAAGAGGTGATTGGGGCCGGGTTATCAGTGCTTGGCAATGGAGGACCGCGCACCAATATCTAACTGCATGATAGGGGGCAGCAGCTCACAGCACAATCCACTCTCCTACATAATAACCACCCCCTCCTCACTCACGATTACGGAGCCATTGGAGTAGGTAGGGGAAAAAAGATGGCCAGAGCGTAAAGAGGGGGTGGATGGCAGCATGACAAGACAAGGGAAAACGGGATGGTGGAAGAGATTGAAGCGAAAAGTGTGACTTACTCATCCTTGGGACCCGGGGCAAGATACTCTGTGAGCACCGGCTTTGTCTGGGCAACGATGCCCTCAGCCGAGGCCAACGGCTTCAACCCTGGCAAGACCCAATGGCGCCAATATGCGAATTTAGGGTCGTCTGGCGTGGGTGCGTCGGGGTCGATGAGGAGGAGCATATAAGACGCCTCTCCCGATGAATCCCCAGCCTATAAAACGTACATGTATGCATGGTGAGCCCATCAGAGTTTTAGTCTTCCAACCTCGGCGCCTTATTGGAGCGATACAAGGCACACTCGCGGATTTTCAGGTTATATACGCACACAAAGACTTACTTCAGCCTCAAACGACACAAAGGGAGCAAGCTTCACCTCGCGCACTCGAAAAAGATTACCGTGCTCGACATCCCGGCCGTCGAATTGGATGCGCAGCCGCGTGGTTGGCGTAAATTCCCGAGGGATGAGCGCTTCCGCCGAGCCAGGCGCAAGGTTGGCTTCTGCCAGGGACCTTGCCAGCGTCTGAGCGAAGCTGTCAAGGGATGCTGTTGTCGACATGGCCTGCTTGTTTTCCGGTGGCGGCGAGTGGCTAAAAGTTGTAAGCGAGAAAGATGAGGGATGACTTTGACGGGGAGGAGATTCCGAGGTCCCGGGAGAGAGAGGTCTGCAAGGATTGGTGACTGCAACCGAGAAAGAAGAAATAAGAAGAGACAAGTATAGCCGGGGGATTTGATATTTGTGACGCTGGTGGTGGCTAACCAAAGAAAAGGGAAAAAGAAAGAGATGACGATGACGATTTTAGCAGCGGGGAGTTTTCTGCTTTGGGCTTTTCGAGTGTAGCCGCGCGGGCTCCTACAGTATGATATTTGGAGATGAGCGCTTGGATTTTTCAATGGGTTTTTTGGGCTTGGCGACTAATTTGACTGGTGGAATAATTGGTGGCACAGTCGATTCATCTAATGTGAATGCTAACAAACAGGTGTTAAACTTTTTTTTTTCTTTCTTCTCATGATACGCACACGTGAAATGAGCCGGAATTTTCTACGAATGAGCAGCAAGTGAAAGATGTGGTAGGTATACCTATATTGCAAAGTGCCAGAGGACTGGTTCAACTTGGAACTGCCTGCTTTGCTCCTAACAAGAGCTCATATCAAATGACGTTCTTTTAGACAGTATTAAACTATCCAGAAATGGCCCCGACGGTTTTACTGTACGAAATCGGCAAATGGCCAGTTCCCGATAACATGGCATGTGGAGTAATTTTACTTTGTATGGCACTCTTATACCCTTGTCTCACCTTTTTTTGGGATGCAGAAAGCATGCTATTTGTGGTTGTGCTGGAGGCTGTCGACTAGGGTTCAGCCTATGAATAGAACGGTTTTGTTTCTTTTTTTTTTTTTTCTTTTCTTTGGTCTATTGTGGGAATTATCCCACATTCCATTGGGGTGCATGATAGGTTGATACTTTGCGTTGTATGCTACATGCATTGCATTGCATGGGAAAGAGAGACAAAAGTATATGACATGAGCCAACGGCGCAAGGAACAAGGGGCGAGCACCGGGCGTTAGCTGATTTGGAATTGTTTTTATGTTTTTGACTGGGCTGGGCGAAAGTTTTCTGAAATGCTGGGGAGATAAATTGATGTTCGGGGTATCCGTACGGAAGTTTCGGCGTAAGGCGCGATTTGACTCTCCCCCCCGCAGGATGTCAATATGCAATAAGCTTCGGGGTAATACTACTACTGGCCTTTTTCTCTTCTCTTTTCTTACTTTGTAAAGTACTTGTCAATATTTCTGCGCTGGGTTTCTCTCTCGCCCGATTTTGGTGTTGGTTTCGGTCTGGGGAACCCCGGCTGTATGAGTGGAGACTGGTTGACTAGGTTGGCATCTTGAAGAGGTTGTTTCTGAGGATGTATGATGGGTTGTTTTGATTTGATTGGCTTTTGGTCTAGGGAGTTGTTGATCGAGGGATTTAGGGATAAATATGGGCGTTTTACGATGCGTTACTACATCTGTGTGAGAATCGAACTTTGACCGACTTGGGGCTGTGGAATGAGAAGCCTCAGAACAATGGTTGAGAACATGACCGAGACGATTCGTCGATTCATCTACTCTTATGCTTTTATACGAAGGGTACATGTCGAGTACCAACTGGGTATTATCACTCTATATTACCACTCATATATGCCTATGCTTTAGTACTTATACATTCAAGCATAGTTTTCTTCTCAAGCTCATGGCCAGCAACTCACCACGAGACTTTGTCATTTACAAGTCCTCAAACTCAAACTTGACGAGCAACGTGCAGTCAGACTCTTTCCCCGTGAGGTCATTCATCCTGACAAACGTCCATCCCACCGGAGCATACGAGAGCCTCACCGTCGCCACGGCAAACTTTGGATTCCTAGCCCAGCTGTCGTCGCTCTTGATGAGCATGCGCAGAAACACCAGCTCGTTGTCTTCATACTGCCACTCCAGGGTCTCGTCCCAGATGGGATTCGTGGCATGTGGGTTCTCGCCGTGATGAAGGAACCCCAGCGTGTGGTGCTTGTACGGCTCCGTCTTTCGCTTGGCCTCCTCCTTGACGCTCATGAGCGGGCTGTACAGCGAACACGTCAGGTACGGCTTGATCGAGTCCCGCTCCCTGTCCTCGTGGAGAGGCACGTCCGTGGCGCCAGCGACGTGGACGCGCAGCTTTCTTGAGCGACCCGTGCGAAGATCGCCGCTGCCGCCGGCTCGCAGGGCCGCGGGCTTGAGCACGTAGCCCGGCGTGCCGTTGAAGAGGGCGTCGTTGAGCTGGACGCTGGTGGTGTACGTCTGCCAGTTGAGGGCGCAGATCTGGGCGCCGACGCCCCAGTACTTTTCCGGGTGCAGATTCGTCGACGAGATGCGCGTGCCCTTGGGGAAGACGCGCATCAGGTGGCGCGAGTTGTGGGCTGCGATCTGGACGGCGTGCGCGGGCAGGTGCTTGGCCAGGCCGCTCTCGGACACGTTGATGAGGTGGTGATGCGGGCCGTTGATGAGCTGGCCCGGGTCGTACCACGAGTTGTCCTTGGGTTTCACCGACTGCGCGTAGACGCCCAGCTCCGCCAGCTCGGGGATGATGATGGCCGTCGACGGCTGCTGCTTCTGCTGCTGCTTCTGCTGCCGCTTCTGGTCGCGGTACGCCGTGCGGGCCTGGCGCCGCTGCTCGTCGTCGCTGCTGTCATCGCCATCGTCATCGTCGCCGCTGTCGCTGCTGTCCTCATCGGGCAGATGGAACTCGACAATGACGGAAATTTTGGGCCCCAGGTCCTCCAAAGTGACATGTTCACCGCTCCCCTGCTGCTCGCGCGTGCCTTTGCGGCGCACCGGCTCGCTTAGCAGGCGGTGACCAAAGACGTCCCTCATTATCTGCACCAGGCGCAGCTGGCCGTGCGGCCCGCAGTGGTTTTCCAGCGACAGCAGGATGGGCGACGCCGGATCGCCCGCCGAGCCCGCCGTGAAGCTGCCCGCCGCCACCTCGCGGTCGTAGACGCTGCGGATCGTCTCGCAGACGGCGCGGAACGGGATGTGCGACACCAGCGTGAAGCCGTGCGTGACCTTGGGCTCGTCGGCGTCGTCGGCGTTGTCCCAGGCGTCGATTTCCACGCAGCGCGAGCCCGTCGTCAGCGCCGTCTCGTACGCCGACGGCGACGACTTGCCGTACAGCTGGTTGGCCAGCAGGTACGTGTTGTGGCTGGAGCTGACAAAGTACTCAGGCAGAGGGTGCGCCGGGTCGACGAGATGCGCCGGCGCCTCGAAGCTGCGGCGGGCCAGCAGCTCGCGCAGGGCCGGCGTCAGAGTCTTGTCGTCGAGCCCGGCGTCGCGCTCCGAGAGGACTCGGTGCTCGTGGAGGAACGCCCGAAGCGCGCGGCTGACTCTGAGCTGGTCCTTGGCCGTGTCGGACCTGCGCGAGTTGATGCCGGCGGCCGGCGCCATGACATCGCCTTTGTCGTCATCGTCGACTTTGGGCGCCGAGCCGAAGGGGTTGAGGCCTGCCAGACGGGCTGTGATGTCGGCCATGGCTGTCTTATATATGATGAATCCTTGTTACACAGAAAGCGGGATGAGCTGCTGCTTGGGTGTAACGCGGCTGGAGCTGCCAAGCTTATGCTGTGAGACCTGAAGCTCGAGTAACTTGAAGCTTTTTACTGAATTGTACCTTTGAACTCCTAAGAGGTGAGCAAAAGCAAAATAATACTGGTGGATTCAACACACCGCTGAGAATTATGTGTTCAAGAGTGAGTTACATCAGGTCAGGAGTTGAAGGCTGAGTCTGAGCTTGATGGCGGGGTAAGTGATCTTAGCAAAGCCACACTCATCATCAGACCAGCGCCTTCATCATGCGCCGCTTGGCCATGGCTTTTTTTTAGACTGACTGAAATGTATTTTTATCTGAATTGGAGCTGGTATATTGTGATTTAAATCGATACATATATATAGTTGAGCGTATAGACAAGGAGATGCGAAAGAGCTCGCTGAGAGGACAGAAAGGCTCGGCGTAGGGTAAGCCGAAAATAGACGCTGGCTTACGCCCGTAATCTTGCAATGAAAAAAAGAAAATGGTATAAACGAAATGGTATAATGAATTCCAAAACAAGGGCAGAAAAAAAGAAACAAAAAAAGCACTTCTAAAATTTGTAAAGAACCCAATTCTCCTCTCCGACAAAGTCTCGTAACCCTCCTCCTTCTCCCATGGTGCATATAATCGGCATGGTAAAGTCCTTTTGGCCCAGCCATACCCAGTACCCTTCTCGCTCTTGGGATCCCGTCAGCGGTCGCCAATGTCGCTCGCTCTGCCCAAGGTGAGCTTGCTCCACTCGGCCATTGTTTTTGAGAGCTCGATCTCGCTGATGCATATACAGAGAGCTTGGGATGCTGAGCGAAAAGTCGTGGACGCGGGGAGCTAGTTCCAAGACAAACCTGTCCACCGGCTGCAAGATTTCGTCGGCTCTGTCAATGTTGTTGTCCCAGGTCGTTCTACCGTCGACGGTTTTCGTCGGAAAGAGCCGTCCTTGCAGTGATATATGCAGTTTTTTCACGGCGGGAAACGTTGTTGGGATGGAGTCGAGAAATGCATGGAAGCTTGCCATGTCTGACAAGGGCGGCTTGACGACTTGCGGATGGATGCTGGGGAACGGCGCAAAGTCCCACAGGAGCTCTACGGACGTGATGCTGGATAATCGTTGAGGGAGGAGAATGGAGCTGAGGCTGAGCATCATTTCCTTGCTGGCTGTGTGGAACGTGTTGGTGGAGTACAGGATGTCGATGCCCTCGATATATCTAGCAAGCTCATCAGCAACCGGATACGGCGACAGTCATGTATTTCCAACTTACGCTTGGCGACAACTACGCAGCCACCCCATTGCACCTATAAGACACTTTGTCGGGAACTCGCCGGGCCAGGTCAAACAAATCCGCTGCCATTCTGTCTGGCCAAATCGACAGTAATCCTCGGCAGGCTGGATTCCCATAGTAGGAGGACAACCCGGCCTATTTCGGTGACAGACAGAGCTTCTCCATGCCCACTCTTTCGGCCGCGAGTCGTCGAGTTTGAGGTTTCGGCTCTCGGCGGAGCAGCCTTGGCCGGCAAGAACCATATTGCCATGAGGCGGGACTCGATAGAAGCCGTCCTGATCGTTGACGGCATCTTCTTCTGGGGGCACCAATGGGTGGTCGTAGACAAGATCCATGTGCACCGTCTGGCCCCCAAAGGCCTCAATGAGGATCTTGCGACGGATCTCCAGCGGCAGCTTGGTGAAGAAGCTGCTATTCGCGGTGGCAGCATTCGGAGCCGCGACGAGGTCTTCACATGATGGCGTCGGCGTGAGGCGAGCTCGGCGCTGCGAGGGCAGCCTTGGATGCGGTGGAACGGGCAGAGCCTCGTCCAGTTTACCTGCTGACGATGCCGATGCCGATAGCGCTCGCTGCTTGCGATCCCTCCGTGCGACGCGCCGCCGCCGGAACCAAGTTATGATGGCGTTGGGCATGGTGAGTCTGAATCTGGCAGATCGATCACCATCGCTTTTACCGCGACTGGCGACTGGGGGAGTGGCGATCTGGGCGATGCGATTTGATGACGAAGGGCAAAAAGAGGACGCAGACGGGCGCTTATGCTTGAAACGGCAGACGTTTTGCGCTACATGCCATGAGGAAATTTAGATTTTAGGCTCCCCTGCATGATGCGCAGTTCATGCAATTCGCCTCTGGAGGGCGGCGTCACATGTTTTGTTCTTCAGCTCGCACTCGCTTGCAGGGGTTGCTCTGGGGTTTGCCTTTTTTATGCATAGCCGTTTGGCTTTTGTTGATGTGCACTGGGACGACCAGTTTTCTTCATCTTGTTAGTCAATGTTGTTTTAAAATCCTTTGTTCTTTGTGATGAGGTTCTGTTGGTTTTGCTTTTATTTTTGCACACCCGCTTCAAAAGCGAATTCTGGTTTGTTGATATCAGATGTCTTGCTTCTTGTTTACTCTCATCAGGTACCAACAACTTACAACCCAACCTAAAGATTATTGCGGGGCACGCCAAATCTGGACAAATCATCGCTGCCTCGAATCCCAGGCGCCAATCAGACCCACTCTCAACGACCCGCTGCCTATTTTAGAAAAATTTCAACTTTTTTTTTTTATCTTTTTTTTCTTCTTCTTTTTTTCTTCATGAACAACGCAAATATCACGTTCGGGTTCTTCCACACTTGCACAAAACGAGTACCTGGTACGAGGTTACGTCTTCGGGCGTGGGCTCACGACTGCCGGGGACCTGAGGAACGAAAACGGAGAAGAAAGCGAGCAATCTTGGGTGCGGTGCTTTCCTGGCTCAAAAGGCCACATGGAGGGGACCGCAATGATTGAGCGTACATGCATATGCCATATATCGCTAGTGATTTGATGACTTTTTATGTTGTAAATGTAGGCTGATGTATCTCGTAGAACGTCATGATCTCTCTGACATGGGATATTTGACTGGTTACCCATGGCATCTGGCTGTGGGCTGATAGCCATGTTTTTTCCTTCGAGTCACAATCTTGACCAAGGGCAATTTTTTGTCTCCTGTCTCTATGGTCCATGAACTTCCTCGACGAGATATACAAGTCGAAAGTTTTCGTCGCCGTTATCTAATCGCTGGTGCTCGATCGACCAAGCGGCATGTTTGTCTCGATATGTCCTGCCGATGTTCACCCACAAAGTGCATCGACTTTGTCACGATTTGTCTTGCATGAAACATCTGTCACAGTTCTGCGCATGGAAACGTCTTGCCATATACAAGCTTGATATGTTTTGCAAAGTACTATATCCTTGAAGCTATACTGAAATACAAGAAGACATCCATGACTATCCTTTCTTGCCATGCCGGCATAGTCTCTGATGACTCGGGTTCTGTTTGCCCGATGAAAAATAGCGGAAAATTTTGATTGAGAAATCCCGCCTAGTTATATGAACCCGGAATATCCAAGTGGATATCGGGAGAGAAAGAAATGAAGGAGTGCATGGCTCATGAAGCGTGACCGGCGTTGCGTTTTTTTTTTGTTTTTTACTGATTTGTGTTTCTATGGATGATGAATATTAGCAATCTTTGCATCCAAGCATTGACATGGCAAAGGTTGAAAAGGAAGACTAACATCTTTAGAGCCATCGTTTACTCCAGAGACTCAATGAGGCTGCGAGCCTGGTCCTGGATAAACTCAACGCTGCGCTTGGCCTTCCAGCAAGACTCGCCCACTCGCCAGCACCAGCGCTTGGCAAGAGGCTCTTCAGTTTCGACGCTTCGCTTCACATCGCCCTCGATAGTGGCATCGAGAACAGCCATGGCGACACGCTTGGCCTTCCAGCAGGACTCGCCGACACGCCAGCACCAGCGCTTGTCCTCTTGAATCTCCTCAGTTCGCTTGGCCTTCCAGCACGACTCGCCGACTCTCCAGCACCAGCGCTTCTCCTCCTGGAGGTCGCGCTTGGCGGGCTCAGTTTGGTTGCCGAAGAAGGTGGAAGGGTCCTCAGAGGCCTGGGCGACAAGGATGGCGAGGTTCTCGAGACCGCCAATGGCCTTGTAGGCGAGCTCGTTGGGGATGCCGTTGGGTGCGTCGCCGCGAGCCTCGATGCCATCGAATGATCGGACGGCAAGGGTCAGGGCCTCGTTGGCGCGCTTGGCCTTCCAACAAGACTCGCCGACGCGCCAGCACCAGGGCTCAGGGTTGGGGGCAGCCATGGCCGCAGTAGCGAAGAGGGTGATGGCGGTGAGGAACTTCATTGTGGATGAAGAGATGTTTGAATCAACTGCGGTTGAAGTTGTGAAAGAAGAGATGCGATGAAGATGAAAAAAGCAAACAATTATCGATGGGATTATGGGAAGACTATATGGCTGACGATCTTTGCCTTGGAGGTGAAGATGTTTCCATCCTTTGCATACACATGGTTGAAGCTCAAGTGGTGAATCCACTCTTTTTCGTTATTGAGCACTTGTTATTGACCATGTTTGTCAATAAGCCTCCATCTCGCTTTGCACTCAGACTACCTCTACAGAAAACCACGCGCGACTGGCTACGACCGATACATGTTCAGCTGGACTTTTTCTTGAATGTTGGTGGAAGGCACTGGCTATTGAGCGGTAGTGAAGACCGTGCTGGTCGAAGTTTATTGAAAGGAAGCCTCTATTGCTGTGCAAGATGGAGGCTAAGACATGAAGCGATTTTAAGCAATAGCGGACGGTGGGCCATGAGGAGACGGATGGCTGCGGCTGAGGTTTTGCTAGTAAATGCGGGAGGCATTCACTAGAAGCATCATTCCGAGCTGTATCATTCACTCTCGTATGGAAAGCTCAAAAAAAACTCGTCGAGGATTTTTGATACATACATACAGCCTCGCAGAAGCGAAGATAATGATCTGTAGCCTAGCGAGGTGAGAAACAATTTTTTTTTTTTTGAACACGGGACGAAAAGCGCACTACTTATTCATCTGAAGCCGCTTTCCAAAGATGGGATTAGTCGTCAGCAAAGGCTCTTATCTGCCCACTGGTGGCCGGTGCTTTGTTTGCGCAGGGACAATTGGGTGTTATTGAAGGCCCGTTCTGTCGTCTTATTGATACCCCGATCGGGCAATTCGCTGCGTTGGGACAGAAAGCCACCGGCCGGCAGACCCACTTTAAAGGCCGCATACATGAGCGCATCTGATGAAGAAATGTATGTACAGTAGGAACCGAAATGAGTGTCCGCTTTTGTCAATGTAAATTTTCTCTCCGCACGGGCCATTTGGCCAATCTGTGGCTGGTACAGTGCGAATCTTCTCTCATCATTATGTACTGTCCTATGGCGGTCCTAAGAGTTCCGTCCGTTTTTGGTTATTGGATAAGATGTTAGTTCCGGCGCCTAGTTGCGGCTACCGTCGCCATGACCTTATCAGCTGACTTGCAGTAAGAGAAAGGTAGCGACATACTACACTGTATATTACGAAACGCCCCTTCAACCCTCCATTACCAAGTTATTAAAATAATAAGTATAGTCTTGTGCAAAATACCCTTCCGCCTTTTAAATATTTCCTTTTTAAGCAAGCAATGGAAGGTACTTATGAGTATATAACCAGCATCTCAAAAGCCAAAAACTGCTGTCTTTAGTCTATATAATTTCACGTACTGTAGCTAGTTTTTTTTAGAGTATTGCTATTCCGGCGGTACTTTTTTACTATTCGGGCGGTATTTAAAGTACCTCTAAAAAATTACTAAAAACACTATATTTTCTTTTAGTAAAAAAGTCCTAAAATTAAGTTAAAAGAATATTTTAAAAATTATTAATAAATTATTTATTAGTAAAATTAGCTAAATAACTTTTATTTTTATTTTTATTAAATTTATATAAATTTATATAGCTATTAGAAACTATAGTAATTTTTATCTAGTATTTTCTTATAAAAATATTAAGAAAATTAGGTAACTTTTTAAATAAATAAAATCTTATATATTTAAATATTATAAATATTATTAATATACTCTTTTTTATTAAGAAATATATAAAAAAATCTTATTTTAAGTTTAAATAGGTTTTTAAAGCTTAATTTTAAATAAAAATAGAAAATAATTTAAAAATATTAAAATTTATTATATAAATTATAAAACTTTTTATTTTATTTATTTTTAAATAATTTTCTTTTATATTTAAAAGCTACTTAAAGATAGGAGAGATTTTTAAGCTAATAGACCCACCTTCTTAATTAGGTTAGTTACCGCCCGAATAGCAAAAAAGTACCGCCCGAATAGCAATACTTTTTTTTTATTAGCGATTAAATACTATACAGTTCTTTATATTTATTAGTCAGCTGCGACAGTGCGACCCGCACATGCGGATACTTCCTGTCTCAGATACTTATCGACGGCTCATTGGAGGGCTGTCCAAGAAGCTGGGCCACCGCAGTGCCAGAAGGAAGTATGGCAACTGATTGGCTGAAACACCTCGTAGAGACCGGTCCAACAAGATATAGACTCATTAATCAGCTTGGCAAGTCCTAGATCCGATTACCTAATGATAGTGCTAACTTCTCAGGATTTCTTTAGTGGGCCGACTGTACCTTATATCAGCTAAAGGGCTTTTTAAGAAGACTGATGAAATACAGGATGTGAAATTGTAATTAAGGCAGCATTGGAGCAAGGAAGGCCTCCCCATTTCCGATATGGTGCCAGTACTGGAGAAGGGATTATGGCTCCCCATGGAATAAGCTGGCTCAATCGATGGCTGGGGTAATGATGACTAAAGCATGCTTTAATGGTAATTGGCATGATCTCAATCTCTAGGATATCTGCGCCAACGGTACAAGCTTCTGACTGAGAAGCAACTATGGCTTCTCTATCTACCACTTTTAGCTATTTAAGAGATAGGCATGGTTGTCGGGGTAGGCCCTTTGCGTAACTGTTGTCTCATGTATACCGCCTTGATCCTACTTATTGTAACTCTGCATATATAACTTCAAATCGGACTCCAAGGAGAGGCGCTTTTCCTCAAACACTTTACTTGGACCCTGTAGGATGTCAGGGGTTATTTGCGCATCAACAAACTTAGCGAAATGCAGCCGAGCCCTCCGTTCAATTTTCCTATCCTCCTTTTGTAATCCCGTATTCATAAAAGGAAGCTCAGCGTAGTAGTCCAGGTCTTTGGTTTCGGTCGCATCATATGTGGTACGTTCTCCCAACATCCGACATTGATGGTCTTCGAGATACCTCTTGAATGGGACCAGAACATCCTTGAACCCGTACTGACAGCCAGTTGTATCAATAATCCAAGTCTCCCCCACGAAGAGTCGGCCAATGATGATTACTGTATGGGGCACGCCGCTGGATTCAGGTGCTGGGTATAGCTTTGCTGGAAACCTTGGCTTGCCCACCTCTAGGTCCACTATTTCGAAAGTCAAAGGAACCCCTACAAGATGTTAGCCGAATGGCGAAATAGGAATGAGAAAATGGGATTAAGAGACCTGAGAGCAATTTGCGAGTCAAACGACCCAACAGTACCATAGCCGTCGTGCATTGATTGACAAGAAGGGCCGCTTCCTTATGCTCGATGTTGTTGGTGAGATGTCCAGGAAACACGCAACGCATGGGTCTTGTTTTGGGAATTTGGTGGAGCCTCAGGATGCCGTCCTTACTTTCGATATGCGTGAGATTGAGGTCATAGACCATCTCCCTGTACGCCAATAACGCAGTTTTGAGGATTTTAGCAGCACGGTGAAGCGCAATCCGCCGGGATAAATTGCGACACCTGTCCTTGTGAGTCTCTCTTGTTTTTATTTGGCAATCCCGATCACAATAAAAAGTGTCTAGAGCATCGCCAGGCAGGTAATCCGGTGCATCTTTGCAACCAGCACACCGCATCGTGGCCGGTTTGTCGCAGGTAGCACATACTCCTAAGGTTTGAGTTATCATCTCAGCTGTTCCGTCTGGATGGTTGCGTAACGGGTGTTGATACTGAGTAACTGAAATGTGGTTTCCTGGCACCGTGTAACGCGCAGGTATATTTGCGCCTAATGATCTAGGTTAGGCACGATCCTTGGCAGAGAAATGCGGGGTTGTACAGCTGGGGGGATCTCGGATCTAAGTTCTGCCGAGATGCCTAGATGGCGGCAAATGATGATATGCGTTTGTGCCTTGAACGTAAGGTATTAAGCATTAAGGTTTGACGGATGACGTGAAAGTCATTTTCCGGCTCATGTTATGGCCTCCACTTTTAGGGTACGGCCTGCCAGAAGTTGCGCACGGTATCAGCCACAGTGCGCCACATAAGTGGTCCGTGCGGACACAAACTTTACATTGACAAAAGCGGACACTCATTTCGGTCGCTACTGTATGTATTGGAAAGTCCCGATAGTTCCACGAATATAATGCTACATACAATCAAGGCCACACAGTTAAATTATACATAGCTTTCATCTTTTATTATTCTTACTCCTCATACTGTAACGTGCTATGGCACATTCAGGAATCTAAGCTACATCAATATGAGGTAAGTAGAGAGTGGCTCCACAGTGAATGTACAACATTAAAAACATACATGTACATATATATACCCCCAGAGTGATTAATCAGGCTCCATGTAGAAACAAAGCTAGGTAGCTTTATGCGCGGCCACCGGGCCAGTAAGTACCGAAACGGCCGTTGCTCGATGCAATGACTGGATTACCATGATAGTCATCGACATAAACGTAGTCAGAGCCAACCTGCTGGAGTTCCCAGTCGCGAGGGACTGTGTTAATTGAACCATCGAGCCCCTCCGTTGCCTTGAGCACCCATTGTCCATCATTCTTCATGTCATACGCTCCTGTAGGCGCACCGTCCAGAATCCATTGCGTAAATCCCTTCCAAGCCTTTGCAGCGTCAAGACCCCAAGTCAAAATACCACCATCACATCCACGAATAAGGGAGACGTCGCTCCAACCGACGCCATTTCCGTCCCAGCTAACCTCAAACCATGAACCAAGCCATTGTGCCTGGCCGTTAAGCATGTATTGGTCGACTCCGCGTTGAATACGGCCTTCAAAGCCATCAGGGAAGGAAACAAACTCAGTCTGGTTAGCTCCGACCCAGATATACTTCCAAGGAACAGTATCACAGTTATTGTGGTAAATGTAAAAGCCCCTCCAGTCAGTGTCAGCATTAGTAATGGTAATGCCCTTGCCACCAGTGTCGCTGTCACCCCAGGTCAAGATTGGTGAGGTGCTGCAAGTCCAGCCTCGCTTGGTCTTTGTTGCAGTAGACGTAAGAGTCTGGCGTTTTAAGCCACCCGTCTGATAGCTTGTAAAATGTTCTTGTGGTACGGCTTTGATGGCGTTGATATCAGGCATGGGGCGACTAGGAGGAGCTGCTCCAGCGCTTTCAGTTGCTGGCAGCGCGATGGCAGCGCCAACAAGAGCGAGAAAAGAGATGAGACGCATGATTATAGCAGATGTATGGATAGGTAGGTAACCTTTGTTTGAACAATGCTTGTGTGATGGCCAGATTGAAAGATGAGATGAAGCAATGTCTTCATTTATATATTCTCCCCCCTTACCAACATGTTAATGCGAGACGGGATAATCAACTTTGCTTCAAGTTACGCTTTGTCACCTTCATTGTTCCTTGCTTTGCTTACAACTGCCGTAGCGTCGGCAATGGCCACGCGTCTGGATTTCCGAGATAAGCTCAGCGTTAGAGACAGGGTTCGCTGATTCCATAGCTTCGGTTAGAGTTGGACCGAGATATTTGAAGAAAATAGTTCCCGAATATGATTCTGCGTAAGGGAAATAGCCAAGCTCGGCAATAGTCATAAATGACCTATGATAAATACAGAAGGAGGAGAGTTGCAAAGGATGGGTTTATTGTTCTAGAATCGAAAGGACTCAATATCTTATGTGACGGCCCTGCTGCGGCTTTAAGTCGGCAGGATCCATTCGTGCCTATTTACTATACCTATTGGAAATTAAACCATCTTTGCTTTCCCTTTGTAGAAACAAGGAATATGTACCCACAGACAAAGGATTCAAGGCAGCAGTTGTCAGCGTTGTCGTGCTAAGCGATATAACCCGCCCGATGCCACATATCGTATAGCTCGGGCCCGGGTTATATTAGTTGCTATTAGTTAGTCCCACTTTTAGCAATTAGCTTGAACATGTACCTGAAAATCCTACCATGAGGCATATATTTCCTATTACAGTGAGAGTGAAAAACAAGCGTTTTATGCTTACATCTTGGTTCAAAAACAGAAAGTGAAAACAAAAACAGAAAGTGAGACGGGAAGAGGAGGAAGAAAAATCCTTCGGGAGAGTACAACCCTTCCGGAGAATAAATCACTCGATCGCCTAGAAATTATGTATATAGCAGACGGAATGCTGTTTTAATACAAAAAATCACCGACGCTACCAAGCTTGTGAGATCTAAGGTTGCATCTTAAATCTCTCTGCTCACAGGTCAAGAAGAAACTTTTTTTTTGTTCTTTTTGCTATTCCAAGATCAAAGGCTTTTATTAGCAATTTCACATACACTTACACTCATTTCGACAACTTAGATAGCCAGTTGTTAACACAGAATCAAGATTGCAACACGCTCTACGGACTTACTCTCTGGTGACATTTGTCTACTATTGCCTACATTAACCAAAGGTCTCCTAACCGCTCCGCCAACATAAACCTAGAACTGAACTCTAGGTTTATCCCTTGGGAATTGCTTGTATTACTAACTATCTAGTGTACGGTTCGTGTTATAAACCAACCACATAAGATCCCCATAGTATATACCTTTGGTAATATATTAGAAGGAAGTAACTAATTAAAATAAAGCCTTCCTCTCTTAGCAGGGTATATACCTACTTATAAGGTAAAAATACAACTCTAGGAGTATATTTTTATTAAATACTATAAGACTTATACTAGTAATAACTATAAAATAACTTACTATATAAGAATATTTATTACACTTATTAAATAAAACTTAAATAATTAGTTATTAATATAGCACTTTTAAATAATAATTAAATTAGTTATTTATAACCTTATTAACTATATAATTATATTATTTATTAAATCTCTTATATTTCTTTACTAATATAAACTAATACCTTAATTTATAAATTAGAAACTTACCCTATACCTAAGTATAATAATATAAGTTAAGATATTATATATTAATAACTTTTATTTAAAAAATACCTATAATCTCTTAAGTAAATCTAAACTACTATACCTAAAGTAACTAGATTAATTAGCACTTTTATTAACCTAACCCCTAAGACTACCCCTATTTTTACTTAAAACACTAATAAAAATATTATTATAAAAGAAGCTCTTAATTAGGATAATATATCTAAGGATTAAATTAAAGCTTTCCTCTAAGATATATTTAACCTTAATAAGCTTCTTATAAAAGCAGTTAAGACTAAGAAGTCTATAAGTAAAAATATAAGAAGACTTATTAAGTATTAACTGCCTTTTATATTTAATAAAAAAACTAGTAAACTTTATAATTTTTAAACTTAACTTAAGGCTTATTTTATTAACTTTAAAAATATTATTAATACTAAAACTAAGAAAGTTTCCTTTATAGCTACTTATCTTAAAGGGATTACACTTAAATAATTTTACCTTATTTAAGATATATATCTTAATAACCTTATTAGACTATAGCCTGCTTATATTAATAAAATCTTTACTAATTTTTTAAAGTTTAAAGAAGAACTTATTAAAGCTTTTAAAGATATTAGAAAAATATAAATAATTAAAAATAAACTCTTAGAAATCTACTAGAAAAAAAAATACTTTAATTATACTATAAAATTTAAAAACCTAGCCTTTAAAGTTACTTAAGAATAATTTATACTTATTAAAAAATTCTATAATAAACTTAATATAAAAGTTAAAAAAAAAATTTATAATATTAACTAAATTAAGTATAATCTTATCTTATTTATAAAAAAGTATATTAAAGTAAATAACCTCCTTTATAAACTTAATATAAGGAATTATAATATATAAAAAAATTAATTAAATAAAGGTAAAAATTAAAATAAATAAGTTACTAAAAATAATAATAGCACCCTAGGACTTATAAATATTAGTATAATATAAAAAGAAAATAAAAAAAAAAAGGACTTTAAATATTATAATTATAAAAAGCTAAATTATATAATATATAACTATAAATTACTTAAAAAAGAAAAAATCCTTAAATTAAAAAATAACTATATTATAAAGAAAAATAATAAAAGTATTTATATAATAAAACACTTAACCTTATTTAATAATAAAAATAACTATAAATTTTATTATTTTAAATTTAAATTCTTAAATAACTTTAAGACACTAGATAAAGAATTAAAAGCTAAAATACTTAATTAACAGCTAGTCCCTTAGATTAATTTTTAACTATTATTTACTATAAAAGATAATATTTTAGAATAAGATAATAATATTAAATAGTATAATTATAAAACTACTAATAATTAGAATAATAATATTTAAAGAATATATAATAAATTTACTTTAAAAATATAAAAGCTTAATAAATTTTATAATAGTATTATAAAAGCAAAAGAACTTATTAAAGAAAATATATTAGCTGCTTTATATAAATAGCTAAAAGATATATAATAATAAGAATTTAAAATATAACTTATCTTAAAAGCTATAACTTTAGATAAAGTATAATTATATAATTTTTTATACTATTATATTTATAAAGATTATAAATATATTAACCCTAATTACCTGCTATACTATTATATTAGTTAAACTAATTATATTACTTATATATATATAAGATACTTTAAAGAAAAATATAATAATAATATCTTTCTAGTATAAATTTTATTTACTACTTATAAAAATATATACTATAATATAAAGTTTTATAATTAAATACCTACTTAATAATATTAATCTCTTAAAGTTATTATATTAAAACTAGATTACTATAACTATAATAAAAAAGAATTATAGGAATATAAATTAGTATTTTATAAATACTATAAAACCACTAAACTTATAAAATAGTAAAACTATAGTAACTTAAGATAAAAATATAATTATAATAAAAGATAATTTAACTATAAAAACTATCTAAAGCTAAAATATAAATAATATATAAATATAAAAATTAATAACTAGTATTATTTAAAAAACTATAATAGTCCCTTATAAGAGGGCAATAGAAGAACTTAAGATATATAATATTTTTTAAAAAAAAAGAAAAAGAATATAATAATAATAATAAAAATAAAAGAGTAGTTAAAAAACTCTTTTTTAAAGTATTATTAAATAGGAATTTACTTATAGTTTTAATAAATAATAAGTTAAAATATAATTATATATTTATTATAACTATAATATACCTATAGTTACTAGTATATAAAAAAAAGAAACTATATTAACTTTAATATATTAAAGAATAAAACTTTTAATATAATAATAAATAAATTAAATAATAAACTAATTACTTATTAATAGATTTTAGAAATTATATTACTAGAATTATATATAATATAGCTAATATCCTAAGATATAATCTTATTTTAAGTATACTTTAGTTATATAAATATAAACCTAATATAAATTAAAAAACTAGCTAAATTTATTAATAAAATAATAAAAATTAAAAAAAAAAGAAATTAAGAAGCTAGAAACCTAAGATTTTTCTACTACCTACTAATATACCTTCTTAATATATTAAAAAAAAAAAAAAACCTTAGAATAATAAACACAAAAACATATTATAATTTTATAAAAAGAATTAATAATACTAAATAAAGAATTATAAAAAGTTAAGTAATTAAAAAACTTAATAGTAAATATCCTAAAATAATATTATAAATATAACCTTTATAAAAATAAACTTAATAAAGGATTACTACTATACTTAAAATAAGACTATAAAATTATATTAAGGGAAGGAGAATCCCTAAAGTATTATAAAATCTATAACCTTAGTAAAATAAAGCTTAAAATACTTAAAAAATAAATTAAAATATAACTTAAAAAAAGGTATATTTAAATATTAAAATTACTAATAGAATACCCTATTATTTTTATTTTAAAAAAAATAGTAAACTTTAATTAATTATTAATTATAAAAAGTTAAATAAAATTATAATTAAAAATAAAACCCTACTACTTTTAATTTTATAAATTAAAAATAAATTATATAAAAAAAAAAAATTTACTACTTTTAACCTTATAGAAGCTTATAAGCTTACTAAAATTATTATAACCCAACAACTTATAGTTATAATAAATAAACCTATAGGGTATATGCAATAAAGAAACCTTTAGCTAATATAGCTAATTAGGATTATATTTACCTTAAGAAAGTAAATACTAGTAAATAAATTCCTAATATAAAGGATATTTACTTTAGAAAAGTAAATACTAGTAAATAATAAAATATATAT